CTTCAGTCTGAAGGAGTGGATGCTGGGAAGTGTAGTTCTCCAGAAGGTCATGCTGCAGGTGCTGCTAACTCAGCTTCCAACAGCCTGAAGCTAAAGAAGTCCCAGTCGTGTGCTAACTTGTCATCATATACGTCAACCCATGACCCCTCTGCCAGTACCACTACCTCCTCCCACCTGCCCACCTCTAAAACACTGGCCAATGTCGCTACTGTTGTGGCCAAGAAGAACTCCATCACAGGTTCAGGGCTCCAGCCTTCTACAGCCACTGGAACACCCAAACGGGTCATTGTTCAGGTCAGTTTTACAATTATTAGCTATTTTGGCAATATCATTGCATCAAAATAGCATACGTTCTCCTCCTTTTTGTATATAAAATATGATCCTTTTTGTTTTTTATATTGTATAAATTGTATAAAAAGGGTTTGATAGGATAACCTTTTGCTCACATGTAATCTTCTCATAGCCTGCTTAATGAACATTGCACTGACTCACTGTGTGTGTTGTACCTCATGCAGGCCTCCACCAGTGAGCTGATGCGTAGTTTAGGAGAGTTCCTTTGCCGTCGGTGTTACCGCCTAAAGCGCCTCTCTCCCACTGACCCGGTGCTGTGGCTGCGCTCGGTGGACCGCTCACTGCTGCTGCAGGGCTGGCAGGACCAGGGCTTCATCACCCCTGCCAACGTGGTCTTCCTCTACATGCTCTGCCGAGACGTGGTGTCTCCAGAGGTGGGTTCAGAGCGCGAACTGCAGGCCTCGCTGCTCACCTGTCTCTACCTGTCCTACTCCTACATGGGCAACGAGATCTCTTACCCCCTCAAGCCCTTCCTGGTGGAGGCTGAGAAGGAGGCCTTCTGGGACCGCTGTCTGGATATCATCAACCGAATGAGTGGCAAGATGCTGCAGATCAACACTGATCCACACTTCTTCACCCAGGTGTTTGCTGACCTGAAGAACGAGAGCAAGAAGGAGGACGAAAAGACCAAGCTGCTGATAGGCCTTGACCGATAAAAGACTTCTGTGGGGGAGGAGGGGTGTACTGGAGGGTGGGGGGGTAGTCTAGATTTGAATGTTTATTAAGGTGATGATTTGGCCCAAGACTAAAAACAGTAGGTAGTACATTCTAAATTGTGTAAATCTTGTCCAAACAAAAATACAAGGACAAAATAAAATGAATGCCTTGTTTGTGTGAGAGGCAAAGTTGAAACTTTGCTAACAAGTATTAGCATTCAAAAATTTAAATGTGACAGTGCAGGAAACACACATCAGCACACTGAGCAATTTCAATACAAAAAGTGCTGATACTGTACGCTTCACAGTGGTCAGAGGAAACATGGCTGTTGTCTGACATTTGTGTCAAAACACAGGTTTCCATATTGTTCAAAATGTTTCCATAAACTTAATTGGTAATGATCTAAAGACAAAAGTGCCAAATATATACATTGTAAGATGAACTTAGAAGCAAGTCTAAAATATCAGAGGAACCATGGAATAGCTGGGGTCAAGCCAATTGATTGTGACTGTGTTCCCAGCTAACTGAATGGTTTCCAGTATTGATACATTGTGGTCTGACCCTGTGATACAAACAAATGAAAATGCAAACTCTGAAATGTCAGACAAACTAGAGGTGTTCTTGGGCAGACTGAAGGGTTAGTTTTTATGGAGGCATTGCTGCTTTGTCCAAACTAAAGTACTTAGCATGAAGTCACATATATTTTGCACATGACCACCTATTTATTGCCAGTAGTTACTTAATATATTGTACCAAACTGCATTGCACTCTCCAACACCAGCTGATGAGAGGTAAACTGTATAAGCTTGAATATATGACACGACTGAGCACTGAACCCAAATAATGTAATTGTAACAGTTTGAATGGTTTACATAGACTTGTTGGAGAACCTTTTAGCACACCAATAATAACTGATTATAACAACCTTAAATAAAGTTTACAAAATTAGTTGAAATTGCAATAATAGAGACATATCTGTAACACAAACTACCCCCTCCAAAAATAGATATTGTGTACAAAAAAATCATTGTTGTTGATTTCATTTTCAACATTTCAAATGATACAGGAAATATAGTTTATCCAAACTGAACTACAATTTTGATAAAAGAGTTCATATTTATTCCACAATGTTGTAGTTATTTGGAGTTGTGCACATTTCTCTCATGCTGTATATTAGTTTGACAGACTTGCAGTGGACTTATGTTGTGAGCGAGAGATGGACAGGAGACAGAGACTGCACACATCGGAACAAGAGAACTTATGTGAGGAAGATTCTGCATTTAAATATGTCTTGGGAGCCCCTGCTGCCGTTTGCTTCTTCTGTTTGCCCACAGTAGTTAGAGCCAGACTGTGGCCTCCCTATCCCCTGGTGGAGGTCAAACTCACAAACTCTGCCTCATACATGCATGTGTGCTTCTCTAGACCCCAGCATGCTGCTTACTCCACAGACTGGGCAGTTATGCTCTACAACTGAAGGTCACCACATGTCTACGAAGAACTATCTAAGGAATATCTAATATAAAAACTCTAAATGGACTAGTGCAGTATTGCGGCTGTATTGATCAAAAGAAAACATCACATCACTGATCTAAAAGACTTTTCTAAACCTCTACCTTCCAAGGGCAGAGATTCTGTGCCATATTATTCAAAAGACTGATCATTTCATGTATTGGAAAATATGATATGATATAAGTGTTTGTCCTGATCAAGAGCGTGGACTCACAGAAAACCTGACAAATTTTTTTCAGTGTTGCTTTGTTACAGACAGGACTATCAAATGGAAAACTAATGTATTTGTATATTATGTTGCAAAATTATGTCAACCAAAACTGGAAAAAGTCAGCATTCTCTTAGCAACTTTTTTATTTCTTTATCCAGAAACAACCTTAAGAAACAAAATGCAAAGTAAAAGTTCAAAAATTCTTGTCATGATAAACTGTGCAACCTCTATCGGAGTTTCAGACATCACTGCTGATACAACCTTGTTTTGGTTTTAATCAATGAACTGTAGTGTAGTTTCACTACACTGAACAATCACACAGAACACACAGAACTGATCAAGTCCTACACAACAAATACAATGCACTGCTTCCCTAAAGTACAAGTATTTTTTGAACTTTTACTTGCTGGCTGTTGGTTACCTGGATGACTGAGACTCATTGTACACTGAGCCTGTTTTGAACCAAGGCTCTAATCTGGAGGTGATACAAGGGAAAGCAGTAATGACTGATGATGGGTACCATGCTGTAACACTATATGTAGCCTTGATGCAGATCCACACCTCATAAGACAAATATGCATAAGAATAACTAGCTCGGTTTAATGAGTTTGACTGCAGTAGCAAGAATAGCTGTTTTATTTTGAGTTACTGAAATCAGATCTTGCAGAAATGAACTGTGTATGGGGAATACAGTCTGTAGGCACATCTTAACACCGTAATTTTATACTGTATTTATTACAACAAGCATGTTCAATAATCTAACATAGCATTTTTCTGGAAACTATTTTGATATGCTAATGTCTGTAATTCTCTTCTGGTTTTATTACGGATCCCATCAATCACACACACTTTTAATACTTCTACTAAATTTCAGAAAGACATAATACCCCATACAACCTAATAGAAAATCCTAATCTATGACCTCAAAATGTGAACAATGATGCTATGACAGTATCATTAAGTTGGTTCTTTCTGGGGTGTGTTGCAATTACATCAAAATCATGTCACTAATCAGGAACTGTCTTGAATGTGAAAATAAGTGACTGTTACCTCTATGCCCCCTTTTCGCTTATAGCTTGACCATAATAGTGTTTTTAGAGTTCACTACCACATGGTGTTGAGTTTGGAAAGACACACGTCTTTATCTGAGACAAAAGAACTGAAGATGAGCCAACTTTGCTTCCTTGTGCAGGTGTGCACAAAGGACTGAACAGAGGAGATCCTGCTGCCACCACCTCAAAACTATGTGCCATATTTTATCTTGTAAGAACTATTGTGTAACATACAGAGCCTATGATAAAGAGGTTATTACAGTTTTCTTCTTTTTCATGTGTGAATCATGTGTAAATTGGAAATGTTGAACAAACATTAAGACTATTTGTGTCACTGGAGTGCCCATGCTGCAGTCTATGTGGATGTATGAAATATGTATGTGAGATACGTATAAGAACTATTGTTCTACTGTTACAAGTACTTTATATAAAAACTGAACAACTATGGTGTGCTTCTGTCTGGTTATTTTCATATGTTTTTGCGTACCTATATGATATGCCTTTATTCTTTTTGCTTTTGGCATAAGGACAATTAACTGGTCTGTTTACACTATGGCACAGGCGCAAAATGTGACCCTGACACCTATATTTTGTTGGTTTTCGTGAATCCTACTCAAATGGCCCAAATTGCTTTGCCAAGACCACAAGCCTTGAGAGTAGAAGGGGCTGGGGGTAGCACTCTATATACAAACTGAACAGGGAAATGAACATTTGAAGTAACTTATACAAAGGGTTGCTACAGGTAATGAGGTAACGTGATAATTTTGCTGTTGAGTACAATGTTGGTGATTGTTTGGTGGTCAATGTTCACAGTGCCACCCGTGACACAAGAGGGCGCTGCGGCTGCGGGTTGGCACCGTTGGCACAACTGCTCATCAGCCTGGTCACTTGCAAAATGTGCAAAAATATTTTTAAAAAGAGAATTAGAAAGACTTAACAATAATATGTACAAAATAGATTCTTCATGAAGATAAAGATGCAAACGTCTAATCACGGTCCTGTAATATTGTAGCTTAGTCCAGTAGTGCTGAGCTGTAGTGTACAGGTTTGTACTTTTGTTTATTAAAATATGCCTGTATTCAAAGCAAGATGAATAACGTACCTTGGTACATCGTAGTGGGCCCACTACACTGTGCCTCGATGTTATTTTATTTCGAAACATACCCCCGGAAGTCGTTTACCATCGTTTTCAAAGAGCTTTACTTTTGCTACGTGCAATCCATTCCCAGCGCGAAGCAGCATCACACACCGGCACTTGGAGCAACTGCGTGTGCCGGGCTGCAGACACTTTCAGATCCCAACAGGAGAGCACTGGCGCGGGATGAATACCCCCTCTGGTTCCCCTGTTAAGTGGAACTAGTTGTTATGTTAGATTTCTCCCGGTTTTAAATTCCTCCCCCGTCTAAGAGCTGCAGAGGATGAGAAGACAGCCCGAGGCAGCTGGTACGGGGCTGCTACAGGACACACTACGCTGCGTGATGCTGGTTAGAGTCCGAGTGGACCTGGCACCCTGCGGAGGGGAAAAGGAGGTGGTCTGTCCACTGAGCTTACCTGCTCCAAACGCGTCACCATGTTAAAAATACCTGCTTTTGGTGAAGCTGTCACTGGCAAACTGTACCGTGACCTGGACTGCTGAGCTCTTTAAGTGTTGTCTCTTCTGGATTTCAGTCGCCTTTTGAAGGATTTCAGCCCAACTTTAAGAGATGGTCTGACTCCAAAGTGATTTATCACCAGCCTGGGTCAAGTTTGCTGCTGCACTTATGATGGCCAATAATAACGACTTACAGGTGAGGAGATCTACATCTGTTTATTTAGCTCAGGTCCCCCCTTCTGCCAACATCAATATAATGCAATATTCTTATTTACTGTTATATATATTTATAGTCACGAACGAAGTCAAAGTCTCAAACAAGGAGCAAGTTTCACTGTAGATTCCTCAGTATGTCTAATGTGTTTTATTTTTAACCTGACTCAATTTCTCATAAATGAAGTGAGACGGTTTCCTTTGTTGATAGTAGACAGCATGTATTGCAGAGATAAGGGTTAGTCACTGACGGGGCTTTCTCTAAAATCTTTGGTTACCTCCCAGTGTAAGGCCAGCTTAGTGCATGTTTAAAAATTAAAAGCACTGAGTAGCCTACTGTGGTCGCCTCACTCAAAGTCAACCATCTAAATGAAACTATACGCACTCTAACAAGGACTAAAATAGACCTGGACAAGTCAAATGTTTGTAAGTATAGGGGTTGCTAGTGACAGTCACTTCTCATATTTCCAGTCATTCCTCTAGACACATGATACTCTACGCTCAGCTTTTGTTGTGAGTTTAAATGTCTCCTCTGTGACATTTAGACTTTTCTGTGAACAGTGAGTGTATGCCAAATGTTTAGTGGAAAACACAGACACATCTCTGTGAATTCTACATTCTCTAAGATGAAAACAAACAAGTTTTGTGTACACATTTTCTACATTCTGTAGGCTAAAAATAATTCCCTGAGAATTGTAAGTGAATATGAAAATGGGTATAACATATTAAACATAAATAAATATGCTTGTATTGGGTAATTTACAAAGGGCAAGTGAGCTAGTCTTTTGAATTTTAAGGTGATTGTATGGAGTTTTTGTAATGGAGACAGACTTTTTCGTAGGCATACTACTGCTCTGTAGGTCAAAACATAACTTCACATCTTCTGAATGTTAGATAGGAGACATGACATTGGAAAAATCCCATTTGACCTCACTTTGCCGAGCATTTGTTTGCCTATTTAGCAGTATACTCATTGTTGGTTACAGTGTTGCTCAACATGATGATTAACACCAGGTATACCAGGTGCTGCAGTGGAAGGCAGGGTCTGTAGTTGTGTCCTTAGGCAAGGCACTTTATCCACCTCCTTGCCTAGTAGGAATGTGATTTGAGTGAGTGATTGGCCAATGTTTCTGTTAGTCTATCCCAAGGCAGCTGTGTACCAATAGTAGCACCTTGCCATCGCTAAGTGTGGAGTGAATGAATAATGCCTGAAAGTGCTATATAGGACTGCAGTGGAATATGTTTAATGCTGTGTATCTTTGCGTAATTTCATGTAGTGGTCATCTAGGCATATAAACATTAAGTTTGCACAGGTTTTGTTGTGGCTGCATGTGTTGTGAAGTATGAACCACTTTTGTAATACTAATGCAACCAACACAAACTACTTACTTACATTACTTACTGTATAATAATCTTAACTCTAAGGTCTTTTAAAAATCCCTCTGAAATGCCTTTGTCTAACATACCATCTGGACAGTATTAATAATTACATAACTCTTTCTTTAAATAAAGGGACTATCATTGTGGACTTTTGTAAAGTGGTTGCCTAACTTTGACTTTCTGTCCCGTGTATCTTGTTGTTTTCATTGATTCACACTTGTTTATCTCGTGCTCTCCTCTTCACATCACTTTCAGAAACGTAAACGAAGCTGCGGCTGAGCTGATAAGCCAGCCCTGTCTGAGGGAGCCCTGTAGCTGCCTGCTCATAAATGCTTTATTCCACTGGTTTCCTGTAGTTATTATCTATGAGAGGGGAGCTGCTTCTTTCACCACAGAGACTCCTGACCAAATGACTCTTTATTGATCACAGAGTGGAAGACTCTGCCCATTTCTTTAATGGTGCCTGGAGACTTCTGAGCTCATTCCTGTAGATTTCACCTAGCTGGTCAGATCAGATGGGCCTGCCTTGTTAACGTCACCTGTTGATGACATCATATACACATGTACACAATTTTTTGAATAAAAGATACAAAATAAAACATGTATTCACTCATGGGTATTAGTACAGTGTATGCCCCGCTGCCTGTGCTGCAGATAATAGGATTATAAAAGTGTGTTATATCTGACTTCTGTAACCTCTGTTATTATGTTATTTAAGATATAATTTTTGTTTGTATTTGTTTTTTAGTTTTTTAATAACTTGAATTTTGTTCAGAGTGCAAATTGTAAACGATTCCAGGAATGTTAATATTTGAGAGAGGACTGAAATATGAATTGAATATATTCTCTGAACTACAGGTACAGCAAGACCTTTCTCTTTTTTTTCCTATATTTTCTTATTTGCAGAGGACATTCTATTATCTAAATAATTACAACACAAAAGATCTATATTTGTGTTGACAGGTTTATTAAGAGTGACTTCTGGTTGGATTTAAATAGTCCATTAAATTGAAGAAGTCATTGTGTGATTTGAATGTAACATATTTGAATATGTGTGATTCATTCCATTTGTATTGTCATGAAATAAGCCCTTCTTGAGAATTTGGACATTTCCTTTGGCAGATCAGTAACAAGACCTCATCCATTGTTGCATAGAATGTCTTATAATGTTTTAATCTTTATCTATACAAAGGTGTTCTTTAGTTACTTCAATACTAATCAACATGCAGTTATATTTAGCGCATTTTGATAAATTTTGCTATTGAAAAAAATACATTATATTTTCAGTATTTGGTACTTAAAACCAAAGAACTGATTTTGGAACTAGAAAGAACTGGACAGCTGCATTTTTAAAGGGGCACTGTGCAACTTTCTGACAGAAGGTCTGACACAAACTCATATTTGTGGAAATGTTATTGTTTTGTCTGTATGGCCTGATCTATTTCTAAAACATCTGCAATTGAATAAACACAACATAGATGATTTCAATGCCACAGTGTGACACCTTTCAGGCAAACCATATCTATGGAAACAAGTGACAAGAAAAGTAACATGCTCCTTTAAATTCAAGGTTCTGAGACAAATTCAGTGCATCATATTGTGACTACTGCAGTCTTTCCCATTAAGAGAGGGACTATAGTAGATCCCCATAGTCTAAAAAGAAGTTGAACAAAAATGGTGTCACAAATGCTCCTTTATGCTTCTGCTATTGTTAGCTTGTTGTTATAAGTAAAATAATTGACAGCTATACTCCAAACATTGTATTAAATATGCCACCACCTATGTCATGCCATAATCTCAGTATAAACCCTTGGGAGACACTGGTTAACACAGGTTTAGGGGTATAATATCTGCTTATATTGAGGACTTCTCGTGAACCAGTTGGACATCAGCTGTTGCTCCATAAATTGAAGTCATCCCAGAGGCTTGGCAAGGATTAATTTTAGTGTTACCAGCTGGGAAAAACATAAGAGACATAAGTAAAAGATCTACTTGCTGTTTAAGCTGTGTTCACTGCATGTAAGGTTTGAAGAATGTAGTATTATCAGATTGAGAAATGTGACGGTAAGGCACCAGTCTGACAAAAGCACATGATAAATACTATCATGCACAGTGCATTTTTCAGTGAAGACAGTTCAGGAGTCTTTATACAGGATTAGCTTTTTTATTTACTATGTTTTGCAAAATATTTGTGGTTGGCATAAGAGATTGTAATGCCTATTCAATTGCAAATTTGCGATTAATCTTGCAGTGTTGTGGAATGCCCTGTGCAGTAAGACCTGGCTGAGGTTACACCTGAGTCATTTGAGATGAGTGATCTCTCTCCACGCTCAGGTCATGTGATATTTGACCACAGGGCTGGAGTTGTGTGTTTGGGAAACCTCTTTGTAAACTTGGAGAAAATACCTTGCCGTTTCAACACAGACTCTTATGTCTGGAGCAGTGAAGAAGTGTGAGAAAAACATCTACTGTTACCTGTTTGAGACAGAGGCGTCTCGCAGACAGTCCAACCCCCTCACATGTAACTTAAACTTATACTATTGTTGTTGTTAACACTTATTCTGAATTGCTTCATGACAGTCACTAAGGCTGTGCAGTTACTCAAATTTTCCATCCAGATCAAGATTCAGTTATTTTTAATAGTCAATGATATGTTTTAGTGTTTTTAATGGAGAGCTCAACAACCAATCAGATTTCAGATTTGGAGGAGGAAAAGTGTTGTGTTAAATGGCAATAATTAAAAGGTTATGTTCAGGATAGTGTTAGTAGAAAGCCTTTTTATTAGTTTTTAATAAGACAGAATAAAAAAAATGAAAATCTTGATCTGATGGATATGAGGGAAAAAATATGATCCAGTCCATTTACAATCAACAGTGTTGTGTCTTACTTAACCTTGTCATTAGCCTGTCTGCTGTAATTAATAACATTGCTCCCTAAGTGTTCTGCTGTTTACTAGTGCCATACTATCCTAATCAAAGGCATGGGTGAGGGGGATAATCGTGTACATTATAAAATGGACCTCTGATCCTCCTTCTGCCATAATCATTTTAATCTGCTTTTCATGTCCATTACCATCATGGCAGCATGTACATCCCATCAAGTTTCCTCGTGTGCTTCCTGAATGCAGCTCACAACTCTGAAGACAACTAGCACCACTGTACCATCATGCAACAATGACCAGTATCTAGTTTTGATAGTAGTTTTGGTGTCAATTAATCTGATTTTAACATTTTTGAGAACCCTAAATTGCGTGTTTGTTTTGAAAATCCCTAATAATTTATGCAGTATCTATGTTTGGAGTTGTTCCAGCATGTTGGATATGAGAGAATTCATTTAAGTGGTTTCCTGAGAGAGGCTGTGGATGCTAAATAATAAAATAGCCACAAGGAAGTAAAGCACTGAAGAGGCTATGTTTAGAGCATGGTGTTTGTCTGTTTTGAGAGAGACGAGCCGGGAGAGGCTGTTTGGTTTTGCATATTATTTGTATAAGTGATATCAAGGAAGAAACCCTTCTTTAAACACACATTTACTGCGTTACCTGGTCTTAAGACAGTAATAAATAAGCCACATCATTTGGGAAATCTTAGCCATGTTGCCAGGAGTTCAAACAACATACAATACAATGCAAAGCATAATAAATTTCATCAATACATTTGAATGGTGAGGTATGATTGCAGAACTCTTAATATGACTTCATAACATCTGAAGGCTGAAACATTTGATTTTGAATTTGTATTTACAATCATATTTACATAGGTGGAATAATGTTATTGGTTTAAATTGCTGAAAGTTGAATGTGAACAACACTTTATCCAAGTCTTTTTCACAATCCAGTACAAAGTATGGACGTACAGGAGTAGTGCCCCTAAAAGAGCTGCAGAAAGATCTCATAAATAAACCAGTCTGTGTGGTGTGGTCTGTCTCATGTGGGCAGAGGGGCCTGGTGTTGGTTTATAGTGTGAGTATTCAGTCATTTAACTTACCTTTTTACGCATATGGGCTTAATCATCTATGTGTTTAATCATTACATGGTACTTGGCTTATATTTGTGGTGTTTTACTTCTTCTTTTTGGGACAGTGGACTATGGAAAATGGAAAATACTCTTGATCGGTCGTCAGTTTAAATATGCTGGAAATGCTCACTGCAGCATTGACCTCTGAGTTAAAGTGTAGTGCTCTTTATTACTTGAGATTATATAATTATATAGCAATGTAGGGTAAAATTAGATGTAGTACTTATTAGGGATGTAACAGTAACTGAAATATCGTGATATGGTATCGTCAAAAGTCTCACAATAATGCCGTGGGGCATCACAATATATCAAATTACAAGTTCCTTTGCTTAAATACATTTCTATAGTAGAAATGGCTAATAAACATTGGGAACTACATGTTCCTTTATTCATTTCAGCGCAGACAACATGAAGTTATATGTTTTTTACTTGAATTCTTGGGATTATGACAGTAATAATTCACACCAAAATCTTGTCAAGGTATTTTAAAAGCAAAAAAGCATCCTATCTACAATTATATCAGCCTCTCCAAAATATCACAATAAATATCACACCGTGAGATGCACATCGTGATAATATTGTACCGAGAGATTTGGATATCTTTACATCCCTAGTGCGTTTATATCTGGATGTGTCTGACATGATTTTTTTTTTTTTATTCAGAAAGTTGGATTTCAAGAAGTTCTTCACAAATTAGACAAATGGTAATATATTATGTGGATGAAAGAAAATGGAGAAGCTGGACTTTTTTTGGGTTTCAGGATAGATCATGTGTGCATGTTCTTTGTGGTAGTGGGATTTTTTTGTTTTTGTTTCTTTTTTTGTAGTACCATAAAATTGGAGCAGTTTAGGGTCAGCAAGTAACTTCTATGATGATTACAGAATAGATACAAACAAATTAGTGTTTCATTCTTCTTTTTTCTTTTTTACTTACTTTACATTTAGAATATTTTTTTTTAGATAAAATAGTTTCAATACTATTGTTTATCATCTATATTTTCTTTCAAAATGTGATATTATGACAAGCCTAGGGGTACAGGATGTTTTTATACATTCCCTATTTGATTGTAATATGATTTTCCATCAAAACTAGTGCTTGCATAATGAATATAACTTATGTGAACACACTTATTTAGCTTTCACTTATAATAGCTTAAAAAAATATTAGTAAATGTAGTTCTGTTTTCACTAAGCCTGGTTATTATGACTCTTACTTTCCATTTTTAGTTCAAACCCAGACACTACGAGTCTGTTCAGTGTGGACAAAGGCCACAAACACATTAGCGTTTAGTGGAGTCTCTTGCGAAGCCTGACTCTCACAAAGTGTCCATTCATACCGCTGCTGCCTGTGCTCCTCCCAGCTGTGGAGAGGACACTAGTGAGGGACAGGCTGAGTCAGGAGACAGATGTGTGCTAACCCAAACAGCAATAGTTCATATACTACCACTAGACCTGTGACGGTAACACATTCTGAAACACAATATATCACTACAGAGATGAATAATGATAAATGATAATATTGTATCTACTTTTTGCCACTAACACAATAACTTAAAAGCAGGATAATCTCACTACTTTATTTTCATTAAAAGGCCTGAGCTGCAAAGAATAAATAAGAGAATGAAGCAATAATTATCCACAGAAGTGATTTATTCAACCCTCTAGAGCTCAAATCTTACCATAATTTAACTAAAATAACAAATATCTCCCCACTACTACAAAGAAATGAAATAGATTAATATAGTACATATTATTGTGACACGCCTAACGACCACATGCAAATATGTTACCCCCATGTGAAACAGTGGAAGAGATTTGGCTACACTACACAAGTTCTTTTGGAATATGAGGGATTTCAAGGATTACATAGTCCAAGGTACAGTCTGTAAGCCGCTAACATTCACAGTGGCTAAGTGACAAGTTATTCACAGCGCAGTCACTTAAAACAACTTTGTACTTTGAGGGCGCATTATGAATTGTAATACAAGTTTTAAATGGTCCATATTACACTATTTTCTGACCCACCTTGGTATTACAGGAAGTGCTCCACTGTTGTTAAAACCATGCATAATTGCAGCCCAGTCTCTACTGAGCAAATGGTGAAAGTTAGCTGTTGATTTTTCATTTTGAGATGTATTCAGACTAATAATGAAGGATAAGTCAAAGATGGTGAATGTAACAAAACACTACTGCGGGTCTGTTTTTGAGGAGGTAACAACATTATAACATGCCTTAAAGCTCACAAAAGTCAATTTAGAGTAATATGGTATCGTCAAAAGTCTCACAATCACATCGTGGGGTATCACAATATATCAAATTACAAGTTCTTTTGCATAAATGCATTTTTATAGCAGAAATAGCTAATAAACATTTTGAACTACATATCCCATGATTCATTACAGCGCAGACAACATGAAGATATATGTTTTTACTTGAATTCTTGGGATTATGACAGTAATAATTCACACCAAAATCTTGTCAAGGTATTTTAAAAGCAAAAAGCGTCCTATCTACAATTATATCAGCCTCTCCAAAATATCGCAATAAATATTGTACCTAGATGCATATTGTGATAATATTGTACCAGGAGATTTGGATATCATTACATCCCTAGAACTTTTATATCTGTATGTGTCTGAAATGATTTTTTCATTCAGAAAGTTGGATTTCAAGAAGTTCATTATAATATGGCTTAAAGTTCACAAGAATCAATTCCGAATCAGGACCTTTAAAAAACAGACAAGTATCTTTTCATCAGGTTTTGTTCCGTTCTGTGCTGAATGAGCATCATTTTATTGCATTTAAGAATTTAATAAAATTTAATTTTTTCATTTCCACAATTTTTGAGGCAATAATTGTAGTCACGATTAAAATTCTTTTAATTTCCTAGCCCTTCATTTAGATTTTGGCCAAAACTCCAGCTTGTTTTATGCATACTTCCCTCAGTCTAATGTGCTGTGTTGGCATATCAAGCAGCCATTTCCTCTTGGTGCTAGTTCAACTGCTTGCTTATTTATTACCCACCATCGGGCAGTTTGTTTATTTTCATCACCTTGTCTTTTCTGATTGTATATTTGAGCCAGACATTCATATATAAATCTAGAGGCAAGTTCCTTACTGTAACTTACTGTGGCAAAAGTTAGGTTGAGTAATGCTTTGTAAAATCATCTCTTAATGAAATTGTGTCGTGAAGGGACTCTCACTTCAAGCTTTTAGTAAATTATTTTTGTCACCAGTCAAGTCCATACGGGAGCATTTTCATTATCAAATGTGTGATGTGGCTAGGTTGGGAGGGAAGTGAATAAGGGGTTACTGAAGCATGTCTTAAATTCACCCCAACTAAATACGCTCTATATTTAGAGACAAGCAGGCAGCCTTTTGTGAGCTGACAGGCTATTAAAACTTCACAATCTCAGGAATGCTCTCTACATATTCACAACCAAAATCTGTTCAAACCATGTGGGCTGAAAGTATTCTGTATTAGGGGTTTGCTGTATAGGCTACTTTATAAAGCTTTGTCAATGTGTGTTTTTGCTACTGAAAATGTGCTGAGTCCAAGACCAGTGTATACATCCAGATTATTCAAGATCATTGTAACTGGTTGTGAAATCTGACCAGAGTGTTGCAGAAGTGGCATTCTGGTTTAGATTTAATCTCAGAGGAATATGCATTACTAAAGCATAACTGGATGGGAACCCAAGAGAAGAGGAAATAATTGTTTAAAAAAGTTTCCTTTGGGTGTAATCATTTGGGCACATTGAATATGTTGTATATTTGTTTTATGCATTTGGCCTAGATGCAATAATACTACAACACAACAGGTAGTTTAGCTTTAAAACGTGTCAATTATGAGAAGCTTGAAGAAGTGAAAATCCTAAAACATGAACTCTGCACCAGCTATTGACATTTGGCAGCATGTAGTTGGTAGTTGTCATAGTAACACAACATTTTGAATAAAAGAGAGATAGAGTTAACAAAAGAGAAAAAAGATAGCAAAATTACTTTACCAAAGACTCCTTTATTGGTTTACCTTTAGAAATTTGAAAGATGTTAAGATGCTGTTAAAAGGTTATGGCGGTAAAATGCAGGTGGGGTTCGACTGATGATTTATTCTTCTAAATGAATTCAGTGTTTGTACAGATATTTGTACTCTAATAACAATATGACAGTGAATTTAATACAATATATGCATTTAATACATACATGAATTCAATATAGTATAATTTCTGTGCAATTTTGACTTATTCTTGCAGTTGAAACTATAGAGCCACAGTTGTAAAAATTACACTTTACCTTTAAGAAATATAGTTGTGACTGATTTGTATACATAAGTTAGTTCCTTAGTGTGGTCAGTACAGTGGTGTTGCTATTCAGGTTTAGATGCTTTCTTCGTTTTGCAGATGTAACTGTATTTACAAAGAGGACAGACACAATGAATGCATGGGGGGCTCTACATCCACTGCTCCCTACCACAAAGGGGAAGAACACAGGGGCTTGGTAAGGACATGAAATGGTCTGCTTTTATGTCAGGCTGTGTGTGGACATGTTTGCGAGCTGGGCCACTTCCTATTGTTGAGTGGCAGCGTAAGGAGAAGTACATGTGCTGTGTTTGTGCAGAAGCCAGATGGCCCACAGTTAGGGTCAGTAGTCTCTGTACAGCTCTGACTCAGATAATCCATGGACCCTTGTTTCAGAGCTGTCACATACGAAAATGACAGCTTTGCTCACTCAGCTGCTTTTATCTGAATTCACAACTCGAACAAAAATACCTCCTCTATAGCTGTCAGGTTGTGTGTTATTAAAGCTGTGGTCACTCTTTGTAGCTGGAACTTTAACAATACAACAATTTTATGCCACCTGCTTGTAAGTGTGTCAAAAATAGCCACAACTTCAAAAGACATTTTAAGTATTTGCATGTATTTGCCAGTCTAATGTGCATCTGAGATAGGCTGATCATTTGTATCTCAATTCTCATTTTAGCTGCTTGTCATTGAAAAGCAAGGATAAAAACAAAAGGAGCTTACTAAATAATGGCTTGTAACCAACTGACTTCTCTGCTACATGCTTAAACACACGGAACTAGTACTTTACAGAATTAAAACACTTTATTGTGGTGGGTGAAGTGTGCGCTAGGGTTGCACTTTTTAAATTATGAAAACAAATTATAAATGAATGAAAAGTACTGTGATTGGATTTTGTGATATATTGTTAAAAGGTAGGATTCTATTCAGAGAGCACATTGCAAACAATTCTATGAGGAGTGACATTTCAGAGAAGACTGAAATATGAATCCTATACGTACAGGATCAACAAGATTTTATTGAGGACATTCTATTATCTAAATAATAGCAGGCTTTGCAATTTGATACCTGCACAAGCTCTAATTGAAGTTTAGTTTCAATTGTGATATATTGTGCAGTCCTAGTTTGCACATAAATAATGTTGCATCAAGTTTGGTCCTCCCATTTCTGACATCTCTCTTCCTCATGCATCCAATTACAGTCCCAAAGAGTCTGATACAAATGTGGTTTTCTTCTGGTCATAGTAGAGAATGACAACAGCCTGCGTGTGTCCCCAGCAGCAGCCCGGAAGCACAGTGGCGTTCTCACTTACAAAGGCACACAAGGCTGTGTATGCGTGTGTGTGTGTGTGTGTGCGTACAAGTGCATGACGCTGTGTCTATCTGGCACTGAGCAGAACAGGAAGCTGTGAGGTGGGGCTCCAGTCCATGGCCAAGTTCTCTTTTTTCCTACACGCTGCTCCGTTCACTCGCTCCCAGTTTAGAATCCTAGCCCGTGCCTAGAGGGCCTCCTGGATTTGAATCAGGAGGGAATAGCAGGAGTGTGTGCGCTGGGTCTGGCAGTGCTGGTCTGTTGGCAGATATGGCCAGTGAAGATGTGCAAGAGGACTTACAAGTGGATCAGGCCTTCGCTGACCTTGTAAACACTGAACATGGTGACACAGAACCTTCGGTAGGCACTTAAAAACTCAAAATGTCACTCTTTATCCCATCCATGGTTTCGATAATGAATGTGTACAGAAAATACTTACGTTGCATCAAGTAATTATTACCAATTATATTTTAAAATACATGTAAACTAAATTTCTAAGCATATTGTGGTTTGATGTAGGCCTACTTATAACTTTTTTTATTTAGGCCATCTTAGTTTCCTGGTACACTTCCTGTAAATTGTGTCTTAAACACACAGTCTGTCAGTGTGTTCTTCATGTGATTTCACCCCATCACTCTACTCTGTCATATGAAATACTAGAACTTGGCTCAGATTTAGAGATTTCAATTAGCACAGCAAAGGTGTTTTTCCTGGAGACTGTGTGGACCAAAAATGTAGAGGGACTTGCCTTTAAATTGGTTTAGGTTTGTGATCTTTGTAATTTAGGGTCTAATCTCAGATCTCTATTTTTTCTAAATGTCAAGAGTGAAATGGTGCCTTAGTGGCGCAGTATTCATGATGATCCTCAACTTTTTTATCCTCTGAAACACAGCTGTCATACCTTATGTAGGCTAGCTGCATAATATGTTAAGTTGTAATTGATCTAAAACTGAAGTGTATAGAATAGTCTGCGTAGGTTTTCTTAGCTTCCTTGTTGACTTCCTGCTCAACCTCTCCTGTCTTGCACCAACCCATGCTGACTCCTCACTCCTTTCTGCAGTTGTGATTTTGCCCATAGCTCCACTGTTTACTGTGAAACTCTTGGGATTCTGAAGTATTGTGTTGAATAGGAGTGCGTCATGGTACAGACTCTCCCTTCCTGTCACTCACGCTGCCTCGTCGCACTTCTGAGAATTGACCTATACCGGCTGTGGCGTCTCAGTGCCGCAAGTCTGACATGTCCACAATAGTGCTCACAAACATCTCTGTAGAGCGCAAGTCAAAGTTGGCTATTAGCACAATTTTCTATATTATATATATATTATTATATATAAACATTAAGCTTTTAAACACCCTTTAAGTGAATTTTGAAATGAAAACAGTTTTGCATCTTACAACATTTCAACATCTTTACATTTTTACTCTTACATACTTTCACTACTGTACTTTGATATGTGTCCTATTTGGATATAAAGGAGCTGATCCACGAAGCCAGTTTAAGGATAGATTTTTAAGGCCCTAGATGCAGACAGTAGTGTATATAAGTATATTGTGTTATATATTGTTTAATTATGCTAGTACCTTTAGCTTGGGTGGTACTAGCAGTCCAGTAATCTAATGTATGTCTCTGCAGTCTGCACTGATAATCCAAGATGTATTTATGTAATTATGGAGGGATAAAAAGATTATTTGGTGCATCTCATAGGATAAAAGTGGTTTCATTGCTTGTGAAAATAATGAATCTTCCTAAAAGTATTACGAAAAATGCACCATATTACCGTCAATATGTCTCAGCTATAGTTTGGTACTTGATGGTACATGATTTACACTGAGTTATACAAAACATGTGTCCCCTCTTAGTAACTTTACTTGCATCTGCTTATTGCACATCCTCTTCAAAGTCAAAAGATGCAGGCGAATCTCTGTCCTGGTGTTGTGTTGTGTAATGACATAACGTGCATTAGCACAGCGTGTTAAATCCAGTGGCTGCTCTGTGCTCTCCGTCAGTGCCATGTGCTTGGCTCCTGACTGCTGCTGTATTGTGGAGTGTGGTTGGATTATGGCCTTAATGAGAGCATACTGAAGCCCTAGCTTGCATGTAGCTGCTAAGAAGTTGTAATCAGATCTACTAAGCTGGAGGGCTGGCTGTACTGCAGTGAGAGCACCCAAGCACCGTGTGAGAGCAGACCACTGAGGCCCTTTGCAAGACTTACCTCTAATGTTATGAGAAAGTCTGAATGAACCGAAATTGCCCATCTCATATCTCCACTTCTGTCTCCCATTGTATATCTCTTCTCCTCTCACCCATCTCATATCTCCTCTCCTCTCTATTCCCCTCAGAATGACCCGGGAGGGCTGTCGGTCCTGCAGCAGCTGGGCTTGGACCAGAGCTCAGACTTCTCCGACTGCAGTGTCCAGCAGCGCCTGGACGAGCAGCGTGAGAGGATCCGCAGAGAGATCCGAAAAGAGCTGAAGATAAAGGAGGGAGCGGAGAACCTACGGAGGGCCACTACAGACAAGAGGAACGCACAGCAGGTGGACTCACAACTGCGCAGCTCCAAGCGCAAACTAGAGACTCTGCAAGCCCAGTTGCAAGAGCTGGATGCTCACATTGTGGTTAAAGGACATGACGATAACAAAGGTATTATATTTTATGGGAACCAATCGCACTATGCTTATTACAAATTAAGAATAATTTTAACAAATAAATCAACTTTTACAAATTAATTTGTCCTCTTTATGCAATTGAAATATTATTTAAACAATATGATGTGATCTGTTGGAGTAACTACATAAGTTTCTTGTCCAGATACTCCACGGTCTCCTGGGTCAGTCAGCCGAACATCAGCCACTGAGCACAGGATCGCTGCTCTGGAGCGACAGCTCAACATCGAGCTCAAGGTCAAACAGGGAGCAGAGAACATGATCCCCATCTATGCCAATGGAGCTACCAAGGTACTGTAACCTACTCCACTCTCCTTTATGTGACAACATGTGAAAATGCTTTCTTTGTATTGCTTTTTATTTATCTATAGCAACATTAGTATTTGATATAGATCAAAATTTGTAACATAACTTGTATTTTAAGTTGAAGTTAAGTTGATTTCTACTCCAACTTTGTTTCATTTGTGTTGTCTTTTCTACAGGACAAGAAGCTTTTACAGGCAACTCAACAGATGCTGCAGGACAGCAAGACCAAGATTGACATCATCCGCATGCAGATCCGAAAGGCCATGCAGGCCACGGAGCAGTCTGAGGACCACCACAGTACGACCCACTCGTCTGGCTACTCCTCTTTTCTCCCACCTGCAGCTCTCCCTCTTACACACAATGCATATTTAATGACAGGCGTGGTAATGGATCAATGTGCCTTCAGAACACACACACTGTCCATTATAGGCCTCTCTCAGGTTAGAGCCTATTGACGTTCCTCCAGCCCCTTGATGTGGGCCAGAATCTAAAAGCCACGGCTCATTTAGTGGAGGTTAGAGAGGAGCGGGCCGCGCAGGGAGCCAGGAAGCAGCAGAGACTAAAGGTCTGAGTCAGGGATGATGGCAGAGCCAACCCAGGGAAGTCCACAGAGAGGTGTAGATGAAAGACAGAAGAGACAGGAAGTCAAAACAAAGAAGAGAGCTGCTGGGATCTGAAGGCTCTCTGTGACCCATGTGACTCCAAACACTACCTTTCTATTACACAGTCCCTTTCATTTCTTTGGATAATATGATGAATATAATTGCTTGTGTTTTTCATATATATATCTCTCTCTCTCTCTCTATATATATATATATATATATAGAGAGAGAGAGAGAGAGAGAGAGAGAGAGAGAATATGTAAATGTTAAACATATAAACAGAATAGTTGAGTACAAACAATTAACTTCTCACTTTCAATTTTATCACAATTCATACACAGATGCATACATCACAGTGATTGGTTAAACCTACCTGTAGGCATGACAGAGGCTGTGTAACAGGTATAATGTGTGTGCCCAGGTAAAGCAGACCTGTGTGGGGTGGAGCTGCGGGTGGAGGAGCTGTGGCATCACTACAGAGTGGAACATGCTATGGCGGAGGGGGCGAAAAACATGATGAGGCTGCTGGGAGCCGGCAAGGTCCAAGACAAGAAGGCCATAGCTGAGGTGAGACACATTTGTGGACAATAGATTATAGAAGGTGTCAGTCCTTGTTGACATTTCATCATCAACAGCTCTGTCTCACCTACTTCATCAAAGAAGCATAGCCAGAGTTGAATAGACCACACTACCTCAAGGGATGGTAAAGAAAGAGGCAAGAGTCTACAACTTAGACTTTACAATTCTCAGGCTACTTTAAGTAACTTTAAGACATGCTTTACATTTTTATTTAGTTTTGTTTGGTATTGCTTTAATAATAATAATTAAGTAGAATATTATGTTCTGTTAACATAAATGCACTTCAAGGTTGTATTTTTTTTCACTTTTCCAATATTTATGGTCTGTCTTTCCCTCTCTCTAGGCTCAATCTGGTCTAAGCGAGTCCACCCAGCGTCTGGACCTCCTGAAGTGTTCTTTAGAGCAGAGACTACAGGAGCTACCTGAGGACCACCCCAAGGCCTGTCTCATCAAAGAGGAGCTTGTGTTAGCGACTTCCACTGCTTTTAGCAATCGTCACAGCGCCCCTTATGTTCACAACCAGTATAGCACACTCAGCAAACCCTCCCCTCTCACAGGTACACAGACACAATAGACTATTAATTAGTAACAATCAAGCAGGACCCTTGCTTTATATAATTGAAATATTAAATTCAATAAGATATTTCGCGGAAGTTATTAAGACTTGGATGCCTCCTCTTCTGTGTGTAGGTACTTTACAGGTACATCTGCTGGGCTGTGTGGGGCTCCTGGAGGTGGTCCCAGGACGTAGCAGAGGGACCCCCATCTCTCTCCCTTCTCACTCTGTGGGAGACGGACGCTCCTCCTTCAAACTAAGTGGCCTTTACAGCCGCAGTACCAGCAGCATGAGCCTGAAGATTCCCAGTAAAAACGAAGAGCTCTCATGTAAGTGATACTGTTTCACTGTCCCAGGTCATCTTAGTTAAAGATGTAACATCCGGTGGTTTGTCACTATGGAGATATTTTTGCTTTGCCTGGAATGTTCCCCAGTATAGTATTAAACTTATCAAACATGCATTTATCCAGTTACATATGTTTGAGCGTGGACTGGCCTAAAACTGCCTAGTGGAATTACCTATGCAGATAGATATGTTTATACATAGTTCCAGGCAAAGTAATACTGTCTCATTCTCCATGGAATTAAGCAGGTGGTGGGCCCGCTATCAGAAAAGTTACATAGTGCACCTTTAAATAAAGCATTGCTCATTTGTGTACCACAGCGGAGGTGAGTGCAGTGCTGAAGCTGGAGAACTCAGTGGTTGGACAGACGGGCTGGAGAACTGTGGGTGAACAAGCCTGGGACCAAACCTTCACTGTGGATCTTGAGAGGGTGAGAAGCATTGTGTCCAATTGTTCAGTTTTAATAAATTTCATATCTTTGTCATGTGTTGATACTAAGATTACATTAGCTTTTCATTCTACAATCTCAATATCCAAAATGAATGATAGTGATGCTCTCTAAACAGCTTTATCTGAAATCAGACCAAGTAACTAATATAAAAGCTAATAAAGTTTGGCACATTTTATGAACAGTTTTACTGCCAGTGAGTTATCTAATATCTTTCTTTCTATTGTTCTTTGTGTTCAGTCCAGGGAGATGGAGATAGCAGTTTACTGGAGAGACTACCGCTCCCTGTGTGCTCTCAAGTACCTGAAGTTGGAGGAGTTCCTGGACAATCAGAGACACAGAGTCCAGCTGGAACTGGAGCCACAAGGCCTACTGCTGGCTGAGGTACTGCCCAGCGCTCTGCATCTGTCACCAAATAAACCAAAAATAAACTAGAAATAAACAAAATTTCACTAACCCTTTCACTTATAAATCATTTTTTCAGGTGACGTTCTTTAATCCAGTGATAGAGAGAGGCCGCAGACTGCAAAGGCAGAGGAAGGTCTTCTCCAAACAGCATGGTAATTACGTCACATACAATGAGTCAGTTTTGCTTATTAATAAAACATAAAGATGAATCGAAATAAATTTGAGGGTCAGATGGTGCAACATTGGCCATTAGCCATTAATCTCAGCCTTCTGTCTGTGTATCAGAGTGACCTTCTCATAATCTGACTGGACCATTCTATCCCATTTACATCATATGTCATAATGGAGAAAATGTAATTTTTTTTATCTTCAAGCACGTGGGGTTCCTTCCTATTTCTTCCTATTAAAAATTTTGTAGGAAAGTTAAAAAACAAAAACAAAAACTGATGACTAGAGGAAGAGATAGGAGCCTCAAAACATTGTCAGTCCAATGCTGAAATGTTGTCTGTGTACTTGCAAAGTTTCTTTACTTTGAACGTGATAGCTGATACTATGAACTATTACATTTTGCATACATTATTGTAATTTTAGGTAAAGCCTTCTTGCGCGCTCGCCAGATGAACGTGGACATTGCTACATGGGTGCGGCTGCTCCGGAACGCAATCCCCAGTGGAAGTAACTCCCCCAGCTACACCCCAATCTTCAGCAACAATACGCTCTCAAATAACACAGGGTATGGCACCAGAGTTGGAGTTTAGACAATGGCAAATAAAGTTGTTTAATGTTACAAACTTTTCACCAAACCTCATTCTGTGTTCCAGAGAAATCTCAGTGGAAAAGCTGAATTTGGAAAGTGACTCTCCTCAGAAACCAGAGAACAGGAGAGACGTGGTGGACTGTCCCGCTGTGGTGAGTCCTCAGAGAGACAGACAGGAGACTTCAGCCAGGGAGCGCGATGGCCATCTTTACACTATCACGTTACTATTTCACCCACTTCCTACCCGAAACCATTGGCTCAAGAACAGAGCTCCAGTCATATGCAGCAAGCCGTAGTGAAATCTAATCCAGAGGAGGAGAGGGGAGCTGGAGAAAGAGAAAGGATGAGGACAGTAATTAGAGGAATGGGGATCTCACTGAGGCAGTTTTAATGGGGCTGAATTTGACAGAGAGTAGATCAAATTGTCCAAATACTGTACTGAAGAAGTCTAAACATCACTGGGCAGGGCATGAGTTTAAGTAAAGCAAGTAAATTCTGGGTATCATTTAAGTTGTCGATATGATACATACCTCGATACATAGGCTATGATATGATACATATCTCGATACAGTGCACTTTCGATTCGATACGACATATTTAAAAATGATACAGTTCAATAAAAAATAATGCCAAAATCATGACTGTGATACTAAAAGTCTTTGTTAAATCACGTCTTGTGCAAAGTGAATATAAAACACACCCATTTTAATCATCAAAACAGTGAATATGTCAAATGTGTTCCATAAACAAGTTTCCTTCCTCTGAACAAACAACAAAGTGGTGTAATAATTTTGTAAAATATACCAAAAAATACTCCTAGTGATATATTGATACAGCAGCCCTTGATATCGATACTGTATCATCACATTTATTAATATGATTTATCGATATTTCAATATTCTGCACACCCCTACTGTCCAGGTTTGTTAGATTTGAATGTTTGTGACTATGCCACAGTAACAACTTTGGTTCAATGTCCTAACTGTGAGCCTGTCTTTCTCTGGTGGGCAACAGGAACAGACGCCCCCCTTGGTAACTGAATCCACAACAAACGTCCATGAGTCACCGGTCAACACGTTATCTCGCAACTCTTCACGCAGGTGCTGTAGTCCTTGTTTTGCAGCACTTTTCAGTCTGAACAGAAAACACCATTATTTTTTACAAATCTTAATGTATGACTTTCTTCTACAGCTATTATGGCAAATCTCAATAGATCAACATATGCATAATATACCAAACCACTGTAAACACTGGGTACACTTGGCCTTATTAAATGTTTGTTCCTTCCCTTTACAAAAAATCTCTCAACACATTTAGAAGGGAACAAACTAATCATAAATACAACCATATTGAGCACACAGCTTGATATCCAAAACACGCCCCCACTCACAACATGTCCTTGCCCTTTTGTAAACACATGTTCATATTGCCAACACAGCGTTAGTTAATATGGAATACACCATATGACGCTCACAATAATCAAAACAATCACTGACCATATGGTAGTCTGTTTAATACAAAGATTATCTATCTCGATAAGCTTATGATTTTTTGTGGTGTTACTGAGGAGCTAATACTGGTGTGTGTTCCCTAGAGCCAGCAGTGGTCCTCTGTGCCTGCAGGACTTCAAGCTGATGGCTGTGCTCGGCAGGGGGCACTTCGGCAAGGTAGGCAAATATACACAATCTACCAAAGCCAACTTATAATGTAATTTATTTAATTTCACTAAAGTAATATGAGTGTATTTGATGCACTGGGTAAAATGAACTTCCTAGAGTTTAGCAAAGGTGTTCATGTGCTACTTTTTCCATAATACATTTCATTCATTCAGTTTGAGGAGGAGAAATGAGAAAAAAGTCATTTGACAAGCTTAAGTGCCTTGAAGGTGGAAAAGCGCTATAGAAAAATGTGACCATTTACCATTACCATTTAAAGGTGCATTGTTCGCAAGGATTTTAGAGCTTTACCTGAATGTTCCACAGCATTTCGTTTTTTTATCTCCATGGAGACAAGAATGCTACCACTCCAAGTTATGGGTCAGATCTGTGAAAAGGCCAGCCCACCCGTTTTCACTGTATTTTGAGCATTTAAAACCATAATTAAATTACACTATAATTTAATGCAAATTGATTAAGCCATAGTGTGGAATATTCCTGGCAACCCTAATCCAGGCACAGTAATAAAATGCTGTAGTGCAGGGGTCTCTGAGCATTAGATAAGGTACAGTTAGATGCCTATAAAAGGTAAACCATTATCCATTTATTAGTGCACAGAGTTAGGCACCAGTGGTAATAGTCATGTAATAAATACATTTTTAGTTCTTCAGCATAAGTATAATTCAGAAATCCCTTGGTGAGCTACTTAAAAGAGGGTGGAGAGCTACTGGTATCTCCCAAACTACAGGTTGGAGACCCGTGCTGTAGTGTAACCAGAAAATTTGCGCAGTTCACCTTTTAAAAATGTGTTGATCGACCAAAAGTCTTGTGAACCTGCTGCCTGCACATCTGCATTGTTTTTATTTCTTTATTTGTCTAAGCTTTATGCCAAAGTACAAATATGTAAACATTGTGAGTAAATTCAAAATGTAGATCTTGTAAGTATCACGTTTGTTTATACAAAGGTAGAATTATGCATGCTTAGTGACTTGATTTGTTTTTATTTATTTTTTTATATCTAGGTGCTGCTGTCAGAGTACAAAAGGACAGGCAGACTTTACGCTATCAAAGCCCTGAAGAAAGGTGACATTGTTGCACGGGATGAAGTAGAGAGGTAGCTTTCAATGACTCTGTAAAAGTCCCAGGAAACATTATATTATATTATCCATTGTCTCTTCCTTTGTGTGCCTCTAGCCTCATGTGAGAAGCGCATATTCGAGGTGGTGAACAGCTTGCGGCACCCCTTCCTGGTGAACTTGTTTGCGTGTTTCCAGACCCCAGAACATGTGTGTTTTGTGATGGAGTACACTGCCGGGGGAGACCTCATGATGCACATTCACGCCGACGTCTTCTCTGAGCCCCGTGCTGTGTAAGCCCTCTCTGTTTAAGGGACATGCTGCAGATGTATATGTGTGATTTTAATATGAGTGCTTCTTCATTTTAGATTCTACTCTGCGTGTGTGGTCCTGGGACTGCAGTTTCTACATGACCATAAGATTGTTTATCGGTAGGTTTTTTCTGTTAAATACACGGTATTTGTTGATACTAATAATGCAGCTAATGTCATCAACATTTCCTGTGCGTGTGAAACTGAAAGTACCACTCCGTTAAAAGCTGTTACTCAAGTTAGATTTTATATGAGCTTTATTTCAACACAATCTGACCAGAAAGTGCTGACATAGCTGCACAGGAGGGGTCAGACCTATGTTCCCTCAGCCCTTTGTTCCCTCATTTCTAAGATTATTCTCAAAGTGAAACTCTAATCTAAGTCATTTTTATTTTTATATTGCATTTAAATGATGATGATAAATAAATGATTAATGATGGGATGATTCAGAATCATTTGCACCATGACCTCTATATATTACATCTGTAGTCAACTGCTGCTGGATATGGGTGTAACTGATGACCAAATTGGGAGAAATGGATATAAAATCTGATGCAAAATGATAACAAAGGAAATGTGGGAACATACTAGTTTTGGAAAAAAAAAAACCCAAAAAAAACTGAAGTGCATTATGTTCATTGTGAGCTGCCATCACCAAAGACTTTAAGTGTAAAATGTACTCTAGTATTGATACTTTACAGTGACATTACGCTGGGGGTGTTCTACATGTATTTCTTCTGGTAGAGTGTTCAACAGTTACCATGGTGGCACAATGAACACATTAGCAAAAACTGCCACCAACATTTTATATATATAGTCTCAAAAAAAAAAAATCTGATTTAAACAACACATTTTTAGGAGCATGTGACAAGCTTTCATGGTACTTTTTAGAAATTTGATTTTTAACAAAAATTAAAAAAATATAGAGTTCATGGTGCAAATGACTCTGAATCATCCCTTTAAATGCGGTATAAAAATAAAAATGAGTTAGAGTAGAAATGAGGGAGATAGGCATGCTCCTGAACAGGAACACGTGTTGTTTATAGGAATGTAACAATATCCAAATCTCAAGGTGCGATATTTATTGTGATATTTTAAAGAGGCTGATATAATTGTAGATCAGACACTTTTTTGCTTTTAAAATACCTTGACAAGATTTTGGTGTGAATTATTTTTGTCATAATCTCAAGAATTCAAGTAAAAAACATTTCTTCTCATTGTCTGCACTGAAATGAATCATGGGATATGTAGTTCCCGATGTTTATAAGCTGTTGTTACGATAAAACCATGCACTTAAGCAAAGGAACTTATAATTTTATATTGTGATGGTCCACGATATTATTGTGACACTTTTGACGATATGAGTTATTCAGTTATTGTTACATCCTTAGTTGTTTAAATTTTGTTTAAAAAAAAAAATTAAAAATTGAAACTGTATATAAAAAAATGTTGGCAGTTTTTGCTAATGTGTGCATTGTGTCACCATGGTTACTGTTGAACATTACACCACTAGAGCTACATGTAGAACACCCCCAGCGTGATGTCATATATATATAAATACTAAAGTACATTTTACACTTAAAGCCTTTGGTGATGGCAGCTCACAATGAACAGATTTTTTTTGGTTGAATGAATAATGCACTTAAGTGAAGCACTTCGAGAACCTCATCAAGATTGTAAAATGCACTATAATTCTGAGCTGTTATTATATGTCCTAATTTAATCTCTTCAGCGTGTTGTGTTATATAAGATTGATTAGGCTTTGTTGTGCGATGTGTGATGTAAAATACCACTTTCTTGCAGGGATCTTAAACTTGACAACTTGCTGCTAGACACCGAGGGTTTTGTGAAGATAGCAGATTTTGGACTCTGTAAAGAAGGTTGTTCTCACTTTAATGTGGCCTACTATATTTAAGACTGATATTAATATAATATAAAACAAAACTAAAATGTGTTCTGTCTCTACCTGCTCCCTCTCAGGCATGGGTTATGGAGACAGGACCAGTACTTTCTGTGGGACCCCTGAGTTCCTGGCCCCAGAGGTACTCACGGACACGTCCTACACCAGAGCAGTGGACTGGTGGGGGCTGGGGGTGCTTATCTATGAGATGTTGGTAGGAGAGGTGAGTGGAAACCGTTTTTATTCACATATTCATTGTAAGATGCACGCATTCACACCTCTGCAGAGAGCTGAATATGTGTGACTCAGTGACAAAATATCCTCTACTTAGATTAAATCGTCCCCATCAGACCTGAGATTAAAGCATCCTAGTCTGGTCCTGTGCATGTTCCTGTAGTTGCTTCACCTAAAATTTCAAATACAATGCTAGTTTTCAATCTAACACACTGCAGATCCACCACCACATGCATACTAATGAAATGTGCTTCTGCCAGTCTCCGTTCCCAGGTGATGATGAGGAGGAGGTCTTCGACAGCATAGTGAATGATGAAGTGCGCTATCCACGGTTTCTCTCCACTGAGGCCATTGGCATCATGAGACGGGTAAGAGACATTCACACTTCAAACCATGCCAGCACTGCAACCCTGTCTGTTTTGTATTTGGTTATAATAGCAATAGACAAATGATATAACTTTGTAGCTATGTAACATTTACTGACATGTAGTAATAATGAGAGATTTACCTTGGCTTTATGTCCACTGGGCAATAAAACAAAACGTTTCTTGGTTCTGTGTGATTTGAGTAATTATCTTTTATCAGTTGCTGAGAAGAAATCCTGAGAGACGTCTGGGCTCTGGTGAGAAGGACGCAGAAGATGTCAAAAAACAGCCATTCTTCAGGGTGAGCATACTACATATTGTATTTATTTTATTTGTTTTATTTTAGTTACTATGGTACAGTTTACTTTTCCTAACACCATGAGTATTTAAATCACATTCTTCTGTTTAAAGGTCCGTCCTATATTACACAGAATGGATTCTTGTCAGCTTTAGGTCATGTTATAATGCTCTTACCTTCTCAAAAACATACCCGGAGTTGTGTTTTCTTTTGTTCCCACATGTTTAGAGTAATCCTGTTTGACAAATTGCTGAGCTTTAGAGATGTTCACATGCTCTGTTACACCTTGTGATGTCATGTACTTGTAGTTTTCAAGTTAATAGCTACTGTTTACCTTTAGTTCAGTAAAAAGACAGGCATTTCAAGGGCTGAAATCATCCAAATGATTCGAGTGAAGGTGCATGGAGTTTAAAATCACGGTGAAGCTGTGTTCTGTTTGAGAGAAGAACTCAGCCTAAATTCACAAGATTTGTGTGTTAAAGATGTTAATGAAACATAACACAACTTAAGGAAACAACATTATACCATAAATAAGAAAATATCGTAATATAGACCCTTTAAAGGTATAGGGTGAATCCTGTATCTTGAAGTATTGTCTTTATATAATATACATAGCTTTTTATTTTTCTCAATTTATATGTTTGTTTTATATGCACACTAATATGTACGGTATGTGTGTTTTAGGGTGTGGACTGGGAGGCACTCCTTCAGAGAAAAACCCCGCCCCCTTTTGTTCCAACCATTCAAGGAAAAGAAGATGTGAGTAACTTTGACCTGGAGTTTACAGCGGAGGCTCCCACACTGACCCCTCCACGAGAACGGCGCACACTTTCTCGCAAAGAACAGGACTATTTCAAGGATTTTGACTATACCTCTGACCTCTGCTAGGGTCAGATGGCTATCCACTATTAGCCATAGACTGCAATATTACTGGCTGACCCCTGGTCATGTTGATTGCAATTTGGAGCATCGATTGACCTCCAGACAGCGGTGGCTTTTTATGAGGAGGAAGTTGAATCGGACTAATCCAGATTATGTAACATGTGGCAGATGTTGTGGTGTGTTCTGCCCAGCAACACAGTGCACAGTGTCGGCGTCCTGTGTCTCTTTTCCCTTTAATCTCTGCTGTTGGTGCTGCTACAGTGTGTTAGACATTGACGTTGCCCCTTCCTCTGTTTTGAATGTCACCGTTGCACTTCCTGAGTATCGCCACAAGATGGAGTCCAACAAGTAAGAATAGCACAAATCAAGCCGTTCAAGTTTTGCTTCACCACCACTATCATTTTGTCCTTTCTCTGTTTTTGGTACAGCACAGACGTTAATCAATCATTCTGACTTTGCTTTTTCTTTTGTGATCTTCTATTTTGTCGTTTTATTTTCTCACATGTCATTTGCTGTTGAATGTGTTAAAAACTGTGACTCAGTAAAAATGTGAACCCTATCCAGATATCATTTATCTGACTTGCTCTTAGTGAGTTTATTTACTATTCTCAGTCTGTTCAGATTTATTCAGGTTTACGTGATGAAATGTGCAAAATGAATCAAACTGGACTAAACAAAGAATCTTTTATGTCGTCTATTTCAGTCTAATCCAAGACTGCTTAGTGGTTGGCATGAACTTACAATTGCGGGTAGGATGAGACATTTTTCTCAAGAGGAGCCGAGACATGAGATGGGATCCAAGAGAACGAGAGGAGAGTTTGACATAATGTATAATAAATAAATTATCAGCTCAGTTCACAATTTGGACCTCACAGATTTGTATTTTGCTGTAATTCTAGCCTGAAGAGATGTAACTCTCCAAAGTTTTTTTCCAATCCAAATGTAAACACAAAGGAAAAACATCTCACAAGGTATTTTTTCTCATGTGTGCACAATCTAATTTTAGCTCTCAATATCTTGTGGCATGAGATCTTGCAACATCCCTGCTTATAATGAATAATAATTATGATTTTCTTATTTTTTCCTGGATATACATCATTAGGTGCATCTTGGTGAATTAATTTGTTTCATAATTGCAAGTTTTTATTGACTAGCAATGCAAGTCAAGAGTAATTACATGCTAAAATTACATCTTTGCACAGTATATATGTGCAATATTCCAGCCTCTGAGATGATGCAATGAAACGATGTTCAGAAAACTGTGGTCCCATCTGTTACTACTAATGGATAGAAATGAAAACATTCTTTAATTATTGGTAAATGGACATGGGGCGCTGCAAAGTAGTCAGTGCAGCAAAAATGAGGTCTTATGAGGTGAACTACTTTTTCCCATTTGTACAAAATGCGTATGGAGAATTCAAGCCCCTAGACTAACAAATACCAGGAAGGATGGATGCAAAAGGTTTTAATGTAGCATGTTTTGAAACAATAAAACTTAATATTATCATAATGGAATATTATGGGGACATGACTCTTCTGCAATAACCAGTCTAAATGTTGTTGCCTGCTATAAACGAAATGTGCTTGTATAATAATTAGATTTAGCTATTTAATGGTTTTCAGATGAGACATTTTTCTTATTGATAACATTTGCCTTAGAGGTCCATATCTTGCAAATGATAACAACATTCATTTTACTTGGCCCCAACATAGCCCGATAGAATATTGTGATGTTATCTGAAATATATGATGCTATACTATCTTATTTTAAAGCACAAATGCGTAGCCTTGCCTAACTTCATCTTAAATTAATATTTTGGTGTCAGACTTGTTGCAACCTGTTCAAATAGGTAAGAAAATATGATGTGGAGTTTAAGATTTCAATGAAGTTTGTTTCATCCCTCCCTCATGTTGCATGTAGCTCTAGCGTCAGAGAAATAGAGCAGCCTCCTGGACTCCTTTCTTCGTCCCCTCGGCATCTCTCTCCAGTGTCACCCCATCCCACGGCCCCTCCCACTGCCCTTGTGTCTTTACATCCAACTACACTCCCCCTGGCATAGTCAATTAGACACTCAGGAGGGGAAATGAAGTTTATCCTTGGTAAATGTTCTGCCTCTGAACTGCCTCTGAGCACGTGTGAGTGTGAGTGGATTGTTTTGGTTCATGACTGGAGCGGTGAGTGAGAGCGGAGCTTTTGTCCACTGGAGACGCACTTGGATCAGCGACTCAACTCAAAGTGCTTGACGCAGGTGAGTCCCGCGCTTTCTCTGACAAACTTTAGAAAGAGGAATAAAACATGTGCTGTGTACTTTTGGTAACGTGCGAATTAACAACACTTTTTAGGCTTTGATGAACACTCGCGACAAATTGATTTCATTTGCTTGGAATAAAAGTTTTACCTCAGCAATACGCTCCGATTTAGTTATTATAGGTCTACTGCTTCGCCTATTGATGAATTATATGCTTAGTTGACTACAGCATAATGTATAGCTTCTCACAGAGTTTCTTTGTTTATATCCAAGAATGATCCAGTCTCACAGTAAATAATGTCCACAAGGATGTCTTCACTGTCAGCGTTTGGATGGATTCTTCTCTCTCTCCTCACCTCATACGGTAAAATTACATATATATAAAATGACAGCCTCCTTATTACCAAGTGGATAACCACAATACGAAAGTTTACACAGACTAAAACAGAGTGCACCTTCTTACAAATAATAGTAATAAATACAAATATTAATATTTTAGTTTGAACTCTGCAGCTTTGCCTCGAATGCATAAAAAAACACACACAATAATCAATAATTAAAGCTATCTGCTTTTTTTTTTTTTATTGTACGATGTCATGAACTGTGTCCACAGCTCAGACGGAGGCAGCCCGGTGCAGAGTTGGACTGGTCCAGAGCTCACACCCTGTGCAGGCACTGCTGGAGCGTTTCGAGGCGGGTCCTGGCTGTTCTGCCAGAGAAAGTGGCCCCAATGAGACCCATGTGATTGCAGTGGGACGAGCGTCAAACAGCCCTGAAAACAAAGTAAACAAACGTCATAAGAATGGTTGGAATGTGCTGTATTTTATTTTGATAAGTCTGTTTTGTGCGTGTGATCAGGTTATGGTATTGCTGACGCCCCTGTCTCGCTCTCCTGGACCTTTCCGCGTGATCCACCTCCTGCTCAGCTCCAAGCAGCCTGTGAACTGGAGCTTAGAGGGAGACAAGCTGCCTGGTCATCTCACAGTAATGGTGCAGGTCAGGCCATTTGAGTCTTGCATTTCATTAACAGATAGTCTTTGTTAAAAGGTAGCGTGCACTATCACTTCACCTGGGTTGCCATTGCATTAACTTGCAAAACATACATGTTTTGTTCATTCTCAGTATATGGACAGGTCATGCTTCCAATGAAAGCCCCCCAAAAAATGTTGGATGAACATTTTTTTTTACAATATTAGTTGATAGTAATTCTAAAATATTGTTCTTGTTTTGCAGGTGTCATCTCAGTCCACAGTGCAGTCCAACTCACTGGAGGTGCAGGTTCAGACGATGCATTCACTGCCCTTTCGCCCCCGTGCTCTTCATCGCTGGGCTTTGAGGCACCATGGAAACATCACCTCTTTGACACACTCTGCACACAGCAACCACGTTTATATCAAACTGGGACAAGGTGAGATGTTCAGTTGTCTTCCGCGTATTGAGGCAAACAATTTGAGGACAGATGGAAATGTGTACTTCAACCACAAGGTCTAAATTTGGCAAATAAGAAGATAATTTAGTTTATCAGTTTCCTTCACATCCTTGAGTGTAAATGTGACAACTAGTGGTCAACATTTTGGCTCTCTGACGCGTATAATGAAGGTTATTGATAGAAGACCCAAGGTTACTATAATTTAAATATGTTTTAAATGGAGTCAATCTCAGGAATGTTATTGCTTTACTGAAATGTTTCAGTCAAGCCCACTTACTGTAAGAATGCATGTATTTTCTTTCTTTCGGCGATAAAAAGCACCTGTAATTGAATGCTTTGTCACATTCCAGGCAAAGCACCTCTCCATGGAGACAAAGAGGTCACCAGAAAAGTTACATATTGCACTTTTATTGCACAGTATTTTCTTTATTTTCTTTTTTCTTAGATCAGAACCAGACTACAGCCTGTCACCTGCAATCAATGTTCCTCTCTCCCAACTACTTGACTTCTGATCTTCAACCCCAGGAAGTACAAGGCTGCTCCTTCATGACTGCAGGGGCTGTAGGAACCTATGGGCCTGAAGTGCACATTATTAAACTTCACTCTGCTGGTTCGGGCCTCTGTGGGTGAGGCATGACCGTCCATAAATGTGTCAAAATGAACCGTCAGGATTAGCGGGCCAATATTACGCTTTTTCCTCATAAAAAAAAAAACATACCTGGAGTTGTGTTTTGTTTCATACACACATGTTTAACACACAAACCCTGCATATTTAGGCTGAGTTCTTCTCTCAAACTATAATCACTTCCACCCTGTGACGTTGTGATAATACAGGAAGTACTCCACTGTGTTTTTAAACTCCATACACCTTCACTGGAATCATTTGGATAATTTCAGCCCTGGAATTGTCAATCTCAGCTGAACTAAAGGTAAAATGTAGCTGTTAACTTGAAAAATAAGCAAAGCATTTTGAGCTTTGGAGATGTAGACAGCATAATAAAGGATTACTCAAACATGTGTGAATGAAACAAAACACATGCTTTTGAAGACGTACCAGTTTTATGACATAGCTTACAAGAGTAAATTTTGCGTAATATAGGACCTTTAAAGAATAACACTGTCTTTTGTCTGTGACTTCCACAGCTCTCTGCAGGTGGAGGTGGAGGTCTCCCTTATACCCTCCGTCAAGTTCAGGGTTCACAACATCGTACTTATTCTCAGTAGCTCTGTTCCTGTTAACTGGGCCATTTTGGCAAGAGGGATTCAAGGCCGTGTGGATATTTATGTAAGCACTTAAATAATATAGCCAACCCAACATTCAACATGTCATTATAAAGTATTGCACTACTTAAAAAATAATCATCTCTCATATTGCCTATTGTTTAGCCAGTCCCACAACAAGCTTTAATACACATTTAAAACCCTTAATAAAATAAATAAATTGATTTTGTTGCAAATTTAAAGATTATATTGAAGTTAATTGTTAGATTGTTTCGCCAAAGTTGTTTTTTGTTACACGTTAAAATGTTGCTTTCACTTTGTATTTTATTTCTTTCAGTCTTCAAACAGCGTTTCCCCTCCCTTTCCCCCTGAACCAAACCTGAGCGTGTCCAGCAGACTCCACACAGACCTGTCTACTGAGTCCAACCTGCTGCTCTGGGCCCGGGACAGAGGCTTCTCCACAGTCACTTCTTACACAGAGGCAGACCTGGCCAACCGATTCAGGGTTCACCTCACCAGGCCTGGGGCAGGTCAGGTGTCTTTTCGCTTGATAAATTTGGCATTTGTGTCATTATCATTATACAAATGGCTCTAACATGAAATATCCAGGTACAGTTATGATTAGTAGCCAGTTAAAGAGGATTGTATGAAATAATGTCTTACCTTTTTTTCACAGAGTTGTCTCCACAGGGGGGCAGGCCTCCCTGGGTAGAGGAGCAGCGGCTCAAGCAGTGGCTAAGTGATTCTGTTGCTGGAGACGGAGAGAGTTTCTCAGTACAGTGTAAAGACGGGCGACTGAGCGTGACAGTGGACCAGAGCATCCTGCAGGTCTGCAAACCTCTGTAACATTGACAAAGGCACAAGCAAAAGCCATACTCTAGTATGGGCAGTTATGTTTAACTGATTCACATTTTCTACACATAAATATTATTTGGAGGAGACACGTGTCAGTTCAAACCATTTCCTAAAGACAGTGCATAAATGGTTCAAATAGCACTAAATAAATGTTTTGTTTACTGCTCTTTCCCCCAGAGATTGTCTGTACCTGTATCTGCTGTAACGCTTCGAGACCCGACATGCCAGGCCCAGTCCAATGGGAGCCATTTCCTGTTGGTGTTCCCAGTCATTTCCTGTCAGACAGAGGGAGACCTCAGGGGACCAGGAGGGGTGCAGTACAAAAACACGGTCAGGGCACTCTCATTTAGTTGTCTTCTGTTTTGTTTTGTTTTTTTCAAAACTCTACTTCACTTTTAGACGGCTCATTAGTGAGTTATGTAGTCTTTCATTATATAAGCACCTCTTTTGAATTATTATTGCTGATTAGAGCAATGTTAAGTCTGAAAACTCACTGTCCGTTTTAAATTAGATGGTTCAAGACCAATTCCTTGCACTGTTTTTCAGCTTTGTTCATTATTGACATGTACCTGGTGACACTGACGACCCAGGTCATCTTGACCAGAACAGTCCTATGTTGCTATCTAAAAATGGGATGCACTGAGTCAAACAAACGAGGGAGGAAATTGGACAAGGCGAGGATCGAGTGTAATTTCAGTGAAAGTAGAGGTGGGGCGCAGTGGGAGGTAAATGTGATGAAGCACACTGGAGCATGTACAAACACAAATGAGGCTGAGCCATGCTGACTGCTGCAGATGTAACTTTTTCTATATTACATTTAATTGTTTTATTGACATATACATTCTGTATTATGTTTATTATTCCCAGGTTTTTTTCTGGAGTGACAAGCCTCCAATGATTTTGGATTTTAATGAGACAGAACTGAAGTCCAAAGGTCCCATAAGCATCCATGTGAGTGCTGTTTTTATTCTGGTAAATACTGATCTAGCTTGTTATAATTATATACTGTTAATAAGAGTATTTTATCCAGCTATTCAGCTACTGTGGGCAAGTATTTCTGCTTATGTAAAAGTTCCAAATATGTGATGACGCAGGATGTTATAATTGTCATCACAATATGAATCCTTTGTACTGTTGACCTTTATTCATTCTGTGTTTTTTCTCAGTTCACCTGTTTGACCTCATCCCCTGCACTCGGCTCTAGTGATGACATAGACAGTGAGAGCCCCATCATGGTTCCCTGGGCTCCACCAGGTTCAAAATCAGAAGAGCAAAGGAGAACTCCATCACCCAGACGCAGGCCTGGTCCTGAGCTGGAAATGAGGCTTTTAGTGTCTGAAACATATGAGGAGAAGAGGATTGGCCCATGTGTGATCACTGCAGAGCACCGAGTCTACACTGAGGTCCGTGGGTATAAAATATATAAATCTTGTATGATTTGATCTTTTGCTGTGATAGTTGTTTTTGTGTACGTACTTTGCAGATTTCAGCCAAAGGACCCTTGGTGGACGTGATTAAAGTTAAATCATGTATCATCTCACCACAGTCGGATCCAAAAAAGTCCCCATTTTGGAGTGTCATTATGGATGGTTGCTCCTCAGATGACTCACTTATTCTTAGCCCAATCATTAAACATGATAATGTCAGTACAAAAGCTGATCCTCTGGAAAAAGACAATAGCTTTGGTGCAAACATAGCTGATAGAAGTAAAAGAGACACAGAAAGGCCAGAGGAGAAGCGGAGCAGGAGAAGGATGGTAGCAGAGGAGCAGCTTCTGAGGTTCAGTTTTATCATGAGAGCACTGTATAATGAGTCCATACAGTTCCTCCACTGCAGCCTGCAACTGTGCAGCTCTGACATGAAAACAGGAGTCTCCACAGCTTCGACGGGAGATTGTCTTACTGGGACATGGATTCCTCCTCTGGTTTCCACATCAACCTCACTCCAGGTACATTTTCCCTACCTGTATTTTAACACTCCAAATATGTTTGTGCTACATTCATAAGTTATTCTTAAGGGCTTGGCAATTATAGGAAATAAATCTATCAAGTCTTTTTTTATCGTATTGATCAACCATGATTTCCTATTTTATTAGATTTTTTTTGTCTTATTAAAACAATTAAATATAGCTTTCAATCTCAATTACATAAATCAGTTCCATTTAACACAAAAATGTAAGCTTTATTTGCCCACTCTCTGAACCCTGCTCCAACAGGAACCCATGTCCAAACAGAGGACTGGCTGTAGCCCTCCCAATGGTCACATTTTTATATAGCTCTTTTCCATTTTCAAGGAACTCAAAGTGCTTCACAACAAGGAACCACACACCCATTTACACGAACATTCAAACACCAGTGTACGCAGACACTGAGGGTGAGGTAGGTTAAGTGTTTTGTCCAAGGACACAATGACAGCATTTATCTGTGAGAGCTGGAGTCATACTGCCAGCCTGTGGGTCAGTGGATCAGACCGCTCAACCAATGATATTTTATGTCAAAATAGGGATTCGAACTGCCAACCTTCAGATCAGTGAACAAAATGCTCTATCAGCCATCTTTTTAATTACTCAATGCATTTGATACATTAGATGTGTACCACTACAGAATACACTGATAAAAAATAATCTTACAGTCATGATATACATGTTACACTACTGCTTTGGTAATTAACTATTAAAAATAATTGCATCTTTTGTCAGTGTGAGATTCGAAACCTGTCCAGACCCATGGTGGTGACCCGGCCCATCAGCTCTCTAGCCCCAAAACCGAGGTCGCCCCCTACTGGACAAAGATTTAAAAGACTCAGTGTATCTCCATTCACAAGCCCAGACCCTGAGCACATCAGTGAGTGATATTTCTTACAATAACTACACTATTTACAGTCTTCATAACAAACAAACAATGTATTCATAATTATTCAGGTTTAGTAACTTGGATCCTTTTATTGCTGGTTCAATTACTGTTTTTCATTGTTTAAAACTTGAGTAATACTAATTGTTCAGAGAGACACAATCATTCAGTCAACAATAAAATATCCTCATTAATGTTCCATAATCATCAAATTCACCTTTATCTTGTGATTTACGAATAATGTTTATTGACTTGGGTCGCAAAGGTTTGTGACTTTTAAAATATGGCTCCCCAGAAAAAAAGTTTGGGAAACACTGAGCTAGACTAAATTAATGCATTGTTATTATTAAGTGTTACCCATTTCTGTTTAATTTTGTTGAACTGATAATTGTTGAATTCTAATGGGGTTTATATGCGCAGGCTCCATGGTACAGATAGGACCACTGATGGCTATCGTGTTTACAGCCTTTGTGATGGGCACCTGCCTGATGGGGGCGCTCTGGTACATCTACAGCCACACAGGTTGGGCCTATGGCTTACTCTCTGCCTATTCACTATTACTGATTTGAAAATAGACATGTGTTGAGTAGACAAAATAGACAAAATGTGTTGAATGTTTAGGTCAAGCACGGCTCAGAGACGGTTTTAGAGAGGAAACACTCAGAAACCGCAGTCTGCTAAATCCATCGTCACAGTCCATCCAGTCCAACAGCTCTGTGTGAAAGGTGATACTACTAGATACTCACAAAAGGATAAAATAAGTAAAGGTTCACAGTTGACAATTTAATGGGTTTATGTGAATTGTTGTGTACTGAGTATTGGAGTTACCGTAAAAAAAAAAATCTCATAACACTCTGATCATAGTGTATAACTATTTTTTCAATTTACATGAGAAAGAACAAGGGTTCAGCTAAACCTGTCACGATATTTACTATATTGACTTATATTTACTTATCGTGTCTACATTTTCTTTGCACTACTGTGAAATGTTTGGTTATTTTTTGGCTATACAATAAGATTTAAGTTGTAAAAGATTGAATGAATAACTTCTATGGCAGATGCAAATGAAGTACTACTTTGATTCTGCTATTTATTTATTGCAGCTCATGACAATACAATACAGACAGTACAAACAATATTGTACATTTAGAATAGTTATTGTGGTTTAAATCTGCTCTTGAGTTTTGTGTCAGTGCCATAAATTAATTTCAGTACTATTGTTTATCGTCTCTCTCTTTTCACACAATAATCCACAAATGTGAATGTGTAATTGTAAAGTAATGCATACTCTACCATGTAGGATGATGCTTCAGCTGGATATCATACTTTGACACAGTTTGCTGAAGCCATGTAATGAAAATAAACTATTGTGGTTTGGAGCAATGCCAGTCAGAACATACAATTACAAAGGCACCTGCACATGCATCTAAACCGTTTCTGTGTTATCTCGTCCTCAGGGTTCCGCCTCAAATCTGAGAAGAACTGCACAACACTTCAGCTGTGTGGGACAGTAGCCGGTGTTCGTTGTTGTGCTAGTCAGTATATTTAATTGTGATGTACCACTACAGTAGCTTATTGTAGCACATCTTTGACTCAAAACGAAACTTGCTCTGGTGTGAAGCTGCTCTATTATTACTGACCTGTCAGTGCCACATCTTTCACATTACATAGATTCAAAGAAACAGAAAAAACAAGACACCGCATGCATTTTTCTTATTTATGTTGCATTTTCAATATTTGTCAATCTCTGGGAAAAGAAGCCACTTTGTGTAATTTCTATGTGTGGCATAAGCTTACATTTTAATGACACTGAGCTAAATTAGTTGCAAATGTGACCTTAATAAATTGTGTAAGATTTATGAAAGTTATTTTATGTACAAATTAGACATTTATTATATATGTTTTTTATTACACCTGTTTTAGTTTAGTGGATTGACATGTGGCTTTATGTAAAAGTTAGAAATAAGCATTAGTTCTTAATGTGCATTTAAAATCATTAACTATTAAAAACATTAAATAACATTTATATGTTAGTAATGTCTGATTAGGAATACATAATAGGATAATAAAACCTTTGACCTTTGACCTTGGACCTTTGACAATATAATAAGCCTGCTATAGTAAACAACTGTTCTTATTACTTTACATTTCTCTGAGGTATCACAGCTACTTAACAAGCTTAAGATAAGGCCATGTTTGGTAAAATAAGGTTTGCAAAAAACATTTAGATATTATTTACAACATTACACTGCTGTTCATACATCTGTCCCTTGTTTGCCATCTTGCACTCAGTTTTGAGTATACAAGGTGTTGTAAACGCAGGGCACCTCCTGGTGGCGCTGTAGATCCACCCTGCGTTGGAAGCTGAGCTGACAGTGAGGGCAGTTGAAGGGCCGGTAGCTGCTGTGCTTTCGGCTGTGGGTGATGAGGTTGGAGCTCTGGCTGAATCCTTTACCACACACTTTACAAACATGTGGTTTCTCACCTGCAGGAGTACAGCCATCATGAGAAAATAGAATTGTGTTTGTAATGTTGAAAAAGACTGAGGCAGACCTGTGTGAATGAAGGTGTGCTTCTTCATGTCAGACTTCTGGTGGAAGCGTTTGCCGCAGTACTGGCAGGGGTAGGGCCGTGTGTCCGAGTGGATCAGCAGGTGGGTGGACAGAGTGGACGAGCGCTTGAACACTTTTCCACACACTTTACAGCCAAAGTTACGCTCCTGGACAGACAGAAGTAAACCAAACCATATATATATATACATATATATACCATATATATATATATTATATATATATTATTTTATTATTATTATTATTATTTATTAATTTTTATTTATTTTTTTATTTATTTATTTTTTTTTGAGGAAGAGGAGGAGGAGGAGAGGGGAAGTTTACACAGACAGATATTTCAAAAGCTGACAAAAGGCAAGCACACATATTATTTCCAGTACATTAGGTTCACACTATTATAGCTTATACAGAAATATTTGATCACAATTAATATAATATTATGTTGTGTTACATTATTAATTATGTTGAAGGGTGATTTGACCCTGACTAAAATTATCCCTAATAATTTACAGTTATTATTATCCCTAATAATAACTGAAGCTGTTTTCTGAGCCATTTGGAGTGCAAACTTTTGGTCTGTGCTGTCAGGTCTAATCTAATTATAACTGACAACATGCCTAGCACTGAGTAAAATGTGATTTTACTTGCTGTTTAAATTTGGTTTTGGGTAAATATAACAAGAAGTAAAGCTGCTGTCTGAATGGTCTGATAGGCACTAGACTGAGCATTTTGATAATTGCCTTTCAAAGCTAAATCCCAAATCACTAGAAACTAGTTATTTAAAGCCATTTATAAAAAAGTTTTCCTATAAAAGGTCTATTAGGATTGTGAATTTTACTTTTTTTATGGAAACTCCAGATTTTCCCAGAATGGTTGATTTGACCTTTTAGTTTCACATGTCCAGGAGCTTAACCAACAGGTGGTGGACAAAAAGTAATAAATTAAGAAAAATGTGTCCTCTGTTTGTGTTATTTGATTTGATGATTTGTGGGCAGTTGTACCTTAGCTCTGCCATAGTTTTCCAGCACTCTAAAGGTGAAGGGGTCTGTGGTGGAAGAGGACCTGGCTGAACAGAGACCATTGAGGAGATGGGCCTGGAGACCTCCAGCTGAAATGAGCACCTCTGGAACAGACTGACAGAGGCAGGCGCAAGACATTACATTCAGTATCTTATTTTGAATTTTCATATATTAAAATATATATTCCAAAAAAATCGTAAATGTTCTAAAACATTATATAATCTATTCAACCACCCAAACCTAAACCTAAACCTTAAATATTCATTGTTATTTTGGTGTATTGGACATACCTTTTCACAGAGGGGGCACTTGCTGACAGGGGCCTGGGTCCTGGTGTGAGCTGTGTGACTCAGGAGCATGAACACCAACCTCTCCAGCTCCTTCTCCCTCTCAGATCGCTGCTGTCTGTCCGCACACAATTTCAGCTGCTCTCCATTCTCCACCATCGATTTGGTGTTAACATGAAAAGATGATGGCGAGGGCACTGTGTAGTTTTCAAAAAGTGAGAAGAATTATATCCATGTAATACACTTTTATTTCATTACAACTCATGGCTGTTGTAAAAATTACAGATACCCTTTATTAAAAGTATTACATTTTTTATTGCTTTTTTGCTATATGACACATACATTTATAAAGTTGTTCTACTAAAATTCTTTATTGTGATATTTAAATATAATCACAATTAATTAAGATCAATCTTTGGAATAATGTGTTACATTTAAAAACATATCTGTCCTTAATAAAAATATTTATTAAAAAAAAAACAACATATCTGTCAATCAGCTATTCTCAAACTGTGACTGTAAATCTTTGGTTAAGATAGTTAAGATTCTCTTAGGTTGTAAAAACAATAATGGTCTTACCAGAGAAGTTTGGGTTGCATAAAACTGAATTCCCATGGCTTGATTCTTTATCTTCTGACAGCCTTCTGCACAGACTGACCACATGTGGTCTCTTACTCTTGACTAGGAAAGATCGGGGCATTGTATCTGGCAGAGATCGAGTCTGGCTCTTGTTCGTTGGCGTACTGCTGCACCTGTTTGGATATGTTCAGTTACAAGGCTTTACGCTTGAGGTTTTCTTCACAGACAGCCCACACCTGCAAAAAGATTTAGGATAACCTTCAGAGACAATACAGCACAAAAACTGTTATAAATGGATACTCTTTATCAAAATAACCTTTAAAAAAATCACAGAACAAGACACCAAGACATGCTACAGCGGTTGGATGTTGGAAATGGGTGGCACTTCTGATCTTACCTTTGTTTTGCATTGTAGAAGATTGAATATTTCTCCAATTTCAGTGACATCCTCTTTTCACGCCCCTCTGATGACACAGCATAGGCCCGTTTGACAAAAGAAAAAAAAGCTATTATATATCTACTATAAAATGTATGTATTCCTCATGGCGACCTTTTATATACTTAAATCTGTATTACCACATGCTGCACTGTTTGCATTGTGGACAAATTGGTGCTCTGTACTCACCACAATAACCTGTCAGTGGGAGGTCACATGAGTACGGAAAATCTGGTATGCAAGAGATTCAACTTTTGTTTAATTTGTAATTAAACAACAGTGGTATGACCACACAAAACAAATAAAACTGTGATACTTTAATTAGAAAAAAGATGTGTTTATTGTTGTTGTGTTAAATGTAAAATTAGAATTATATCTGTATATTATAATATACTCATTATATAATATAATATTACTCAATATTATAATACTCTGTCTACTATTAGTTTTTACAATTATTTGTTTTGGATAATTAATAAGTCTTTGAGAAAACAAAAATACCTGTTTAAGTATAAACTGACTTGACATATAAAACCATGCTTTAGAACTTATATTTTATTAATTATTTTTGACAAATATAGAATGCATCAACTTAGTAATATTACAGTCACATTAAAAAAGACACAATTATTATTATTTTTTTTTACATCAGTAGATATTTTTTGCTCTTTTTCCTGATCTGACAGATTGAAATCACACTGTTAAGAATACTTAACATAAACCTTTGAATGGCTTCATTCTGTGTGTCTGGTTTGAAGACTGTGAGCTGGCTGTGTTCTCTGGGTGCAGGCAGTTGGCAGCTGTGTGGTTGATGTGGTGGGGGGCTTGTCGCTCTCTCCCGGCAGGGGCTGCAGCACAGAGAGGGGAGCAGAGACAGGGGAGCAAAGTGCAGGCGAGAGGGGAGCTGGTGCTGGCTTCAGTGGGTTTGGGGCTGGGGGTTCGTCGTTCCCATCAGGGTGGTACTGCGCCGCCTTTCTAGGAACATGAAAGTCACAAAAACCTTGGTGAAGAGATGAGCTCTAAACTTTTGCTTGTTGCTTTGTTGTAGATTTAAGTACATTTACAAATCCTGCTTCCAGGAAACCTGAGACAACACAAGACATTTACATAAGGATTGGCACCTGTAATAACTCTTTGATACAATATCATAATTTAGGCTTTAGAAATGTGATGAAGAAAACTATTATTACAGCTGTTCAACATTAGGCAGAGATGTGTTAAATAATGTTTCTAAAAGAGTGCAGTAAGAACTATCATGCTAAAATATTGGTATTCAATGTACATCAGTGTACACCAATTACTAGGATATACTGTATTAAACCATCAACTTTTAATTTGAATTATATTTTCTCTTTTTACTTGCCTACTTTCTACTTTTTATTTGCTAGCCTCTATCTCTGTTACCACACATACTACATGATGATTAGAACTGACTGAAGGCCGAAAGGCAAATCATTTTCACTGGTGCTACTATTAGCGGCTGTGCTGTAAACATGCTAGTGGTAGAACACTGTGGCTAACAGCAGAGGTTTCAGCTCTGACAGCTCTGAGCTGTGCCACTTTCTCACGGTCAGAAGCTTGTCTTTCAGCCCTTCACCACATCACCCCCACCCCTCCAACACTCATCTGCTCACAGCTCGGTAACTTTCTCGCACCATCGCCAGCACAGAGGCCAGAGCAGAACTTGAACCATTAGTGATATTGTTAATGTTGTTCACTAAAATCTACAATAGGCCGAGTGCCCTGTGCATGAGCCAGCTTTTTATAAACTACCTTCTGAACAGGAAACTCTCATCTGAGGGTTTTTTTTTATGTTCCACACAATCAGAATTGAGGGCATCACAGATTCATGATCATTGGTGACGAATTCCAAAGCAGTGTTATTTGCCACTTGACATTTTTGCAGCTGCTGGGGGCATCCTCAGAAGAGGTAATATTGATGATGTCACCTGATATTCACCAACACCGCTCTGACTGCAGTAGTGAAGTGACATGGCAGGGTTACACAGAGGTGAGCGGGTGTGAGAACGCCTCAAAATGACAAACCCAGTCACGCAATCGTTGCACTGGGAGGTCAACGTAAGTTTTGGTGAATTCATGATCATTTGATTTAGGGGATTACTAATTCGTATTCATAGAAGCATCGTTGAAATAAGGATCTGGGGATTGCCAAACCTCACAATAAAATACTGGTCTAAATATATACAAATACAGGGCCCACTACTTGATACATATCTAGTTACAATGGATAATTTTAATGTGTCTTACTATGCTTGCTGTTACTATTAACTTGGGGGACACAGTATATAGCCTTTAATATGTGTTTTGCCATAAGGAACTTCAATATATGCTGGTGTAAACATTTAAGTATATAATGTCATCAATATAATTTTCAGTTTTTATAAATCATCCTACAAATCATAGCACACACACAAATAATATGTTTGTTAACTTTCTACTTTACTTTGAAATTGCTTACAGTCTATGTAACAGCCGAATGTATTCTTAAACCGTTCAAAGTTGGGATGAGGTTGATGGGGTTAAGTCCACATTCCTAATTATAACATGTTATTTTTGGAGATGTGTGAATTTGAGCAGTTCTTCAAGTTCTCATGGTGACACAGCGACATAATGTGTTTGTGCATCTTCTCATAAATGTGCTGAGGGCTGTACTGATAGAAAAAGTAAATGTGTGAATTTTGTCATACCACACTGTTCCACCCTTCATTGCTTCATCATTCACTCGATCAGTTTGTGTGTTGGTGCTGTAGAGGTGTGAAGCCGCAAGCAGAACTCTTCGACCATAGCTATATAGGACATATAACACCAAAACACAGCCACTCCCCAGGAACAAAGCTTGAAGCCCTTTCCATTATGTCATATAGTCAATAAAGCTGTGAGCCATCTTCAGAAGTGTCATGTGTTTCAGTTCACATAAACTGAATATGTTACACTTACTTAATTTATATTTAATTTATCACACTACAAATATTTAATTTGATTTTACAGTACAGTTAGAAGGCAGGCATACTGTTTCTAACCTGCACCCAATAAACTCTTTAAAATCCTTTGTCATCAGAATGTTCAAAAGTCCGGATTGGAGACAAGTGGAGGCAAAGTGAAGCAGAGCTCATATATTTTCAATGATTAACTGATGAGCAGATCTAAATGCTACAACACAAAATAAATTTGCTTATCTGTTAAGATGATTATTTCTGTAAATATTTATCCAGCAAAACTTAAAAATATGAATTTTTCATTTATCAAAAATGCTTAGTATTTATCATGATCTCTTGTAAATGTTTTAAACACTCACATGTATCATGTGAAAGTGGTTTTCATTTTCCAAATTTCCTATGTATTTTCCTGTTTTGTTATATTATGTGACTAATCCTAGTTTCCCCATTGTAACCGCATTATTTTCCACTTCACTTTTGCCTCCAGTGGCCTCCATTACAGAATTTAGCAAGTTTTTGTTTACACATTTTTAAAGGGTCTTTATAAAGAAGGTTTGTGTTGCAGGTCTGGCTTCTTCTCAAGATTTTGACTTGACATTTAATCTAAACTTAATACATTATCCATGCAGGAGTCCATGGAAATCTTACAGAGAGAACAGGTGCATCTACGAAAAAAGAATCTGGAGCAAAAAGTTAAACTGACAATGAACCACCAAGCTGAACCAGTTTACAGCTGGGACAGACACCAAACCAGTGGGATTTACTGTTGATGTGCTGAACCCTAGTATACCAATAAACAACTTGAAAATTACAAAAAGATGCTTCCTTGTAAATGTACTTTGAAATGTATGTTGAAATGTGTTTGTTTATCTTTTGTTATGACTGACCCACTTAACAAACAAAACAACAAAAAAAGCATTTTTATGACTCTTCATTCCTTGATGAAGTTTCATCCAATGCAATATTACTGGAAAGGATCATTCCTATCCCTATACAAGTCACTGTTATAACATGAACAAAACAAACAAAACATTTTTAATAATGTCACAATAAGGCACAGTATCTGCTATTTGACAGCCATGCATTATTGCCTACTATTTCTCCCTTATAACAGTACACAATAACAATACAATTCTGAATTTAATATTAGGTATAGCCAGGGTGACATTATTTTGACAGTGAAGTGAGCTGTGAATGAGTTAAATGGTGCAGCACTCTAAAGCAGGCCTCAAAGGGTGATTTAGGATTTTCACTCTCACATAGTTTGCTGTCATGGCAACCACTGAGAGCTTTGTGGCAGCTCAGAGCACAAAGTCGCTGTGAGTTTGGTGAGTTTTTCACAGCAAAACCGGACCGTGCTGGAATCATGTTTGCTATACTCAACCTCTAGACATAAAAGGGGCTCATACTTCTACCAAGGACATCAACAGTGGTAGGTAAATGTTCCTAAATGGTTTAATGAATGAATAATTGTAACATAGGCAACTTATTTGGTCTCACAATTGTTTTTCTATATCCAGTCGACAATGTTTTCCCTGTCTGAGCTGGCACCTCTGAACCAGCACCAGAACCAGTGCAAGTTACTGAAGCCCTGGTGGGAGGTCTTCATGGATTACCTGGGGGTCCTGATGCTCCTAGCCTCCGTCCTGGCCTGTACCGAGCAGCTTTCCCGGGACAAACTGTTGTGCATTCCTCTGGATCCACACACCGGTCAGTCTAGTAGCCCTAGTGACAACATGGAGCAGATTACATCTCAGCCAAGTACCACCGCAAATCCAACCATCAGTTCCCCGCCACAGGGTCGAAGAACTCATCTAGTCTATCAGCAATATGTGTACATCAGCCAGGTACAACCATCCTAAAATAATAAACTACAGTAGTTCCCTCATTACAGACCATAGAAACATTACATGGGCAACATAACAGCATAGAGGAAAACACAACTGTAAGAAGTACATAGGTCAAATCCAGGACTTGGTGGGGCCTTTTTTAGGTTTCTATGTTGTCTTAGTTTCAGAGTGGTTTCTTCCTAAAGCCCTGGCTGCCCATAGGCTACCATGAAAAACGTGTAGTCTTGGAGCCAGTCGTGAAAATTTTCTTCATTAGAGGGCCCATATTATACAGTTTTCTGATCTATGTTATAATGTTATTTCCTCATCAAATACGTAGCTGGAGTGGTGTTTTGTTTCATTCACACGTTTAATACACAAATCCTGCACATTTAGGTTGAGTTCTTCTCTCAAACAAAAAACACTGCTGTTTCACCTTGTGATGTCATGCGGTAATACAGGAAGTGCTCCACAGACCTTCACTAGAATCATTTGAATAATTTCAGTTCCAGAATTAAAAATAAAAGGTAGCTGTTAACTTGAAAACTACTGCTCCATGACATCACAAGGTGGAACAGAGCCATTTGAGCTTTAGAGATGTAGACAAAGTGATAATAAAAGGTTACTGAAATATGTAAATGAAACAAAATAAAACTCCAGGTATGTTTTTGCTGAGGTAACAACATTCCAACTAAAAACTCATATGAATCAATTTTGTGTATCATAAGACCTTTAAATCATTTCCATAGTGCACAATATAGCCAAAGAAAAAACATTTTCCATGGAGCAGGATGGGGCCCTCCCTCCCCCAGGTCAAATAAGAGTCAGTTTTGCGGAGATGCAAGTCCGCACTCATGATTTCTTTTTTTTTTTTTTTCAGAGCACTAAAAATATCCAAAATTAAAACAAAAAACATGATTTTACTTAATTTTTTGACTAAAAGTTACACAGTAGGGCTTTCAATAATAAAAGAAAGTAGAACAGGTATTCATCTTATAGCCTATAAAATGGTACATTATCTTGTGTCTAATGTGCTTTGTCTCTAGGTGTGTTACCATGACGCTCTGCCTTTCTGCTCACGTTTCTTCCCCTACATGGCCTTGATGCAGTCCCTGGTCCTAGTGGCCTCTGGCTCCTTTTGGCTGCACTTCCCACACACTTCAGCCCGCATAGAGCACTTCCTCACCATCCTGAGCAAGTGCTGTGAGTCGCCTTGGACATCCCAGGCCCTGTCCCACGCCGCACAGCAAGACACTGTCCAAGAGACAAACATGACCAATCAGAGAACTCTGTCACAAGCCTCATCATATTTCCTATCAATGAACTTTATCAGACATGTCAGCATGGACTCAGGTAGTGACAGTCCATTGTTAAAAAGAGCAGAGAGCATTTCTACCACCACTCCTCCATCACCATGTCCCTCTTCTCAGTCCTGCACCTTCGAAAAAACCTCTGACTTAGTGAGCGCCCAAACACACCCCTTCAAAGCAACAGTCGTGGAAAATCATGATCCCCAGCATGATGTCAGGCTGGATAAGAATGATGGGGAACAGGCCAGGGCACTGTTTGAGAAGGTCCGCAAATTCCGATCACACAGTGAAAACTCTACAGTAATATATAAGGTAGGATTTTAGGAGTTCTTCGAGGGTTAAAGGTGAACTATGTAACTCTGGTGGGGGCTCCATCACCTGCCTTTCTCCATGGAGATGTTATTGCTTTGCCTGAAATGTTTCACAGTATGGCATTGCATCTGTCTAACTTGCATCAATCAATTACAGGTGTTAAAAAAAATACTATACCGAATATACTGAGGGTGTGCATTCTTACTGTGAGGGGGTTGGTTGCCTCTCCACAGATGTAGTCTGTTATGACATCACCTGCTTGTTTCTACGTAGATACATTTGTTTTATGCCCACACTGTGAAACATTCCAGGCAAAGCAAAGCACGGTGCCCAGCGAGTGGCTGAAAAGTTACATGGTACGCCCTATAATATTAGATATATTACATTAATAGAGAGTATTGCCCTATTTTTTTGCTTTGTATGTAAGCAAGAAATATATTTCCAATACAATTTTCCTTAAAATAACAATTAAAAGAAATGCAAGCAAAACAAAAATCTATGTGGATATTAAGTGCGTAAACTATAAACTGATTGTAGCTCTCAAAATATAGATAAGAAACACCTGTCATTAAACCTGTTTGCTTTAGGTGTACCTGGCTCAGACTGTGTTCAAGCTGTTGTTGGTTGTGCTCATTGGGGGTTACACAATCCCTCTGCTGAGCTCCTTCTCCTTCAGTCTTAACTGTGAGGCAGAGGAGCAGGCTCTGGTGGGATACTCCTCTTTCCAGTGCATCCATGTTCTCTCCTCTCTGCTGCGGAAACTGCTGCTGGCCTATATAAGTCTGCTGGGAGTTTATGGCCTCCTCAATCTCTACACACTGAGTTGGATCTTACATAGGTATAGAACACAAGAGTTTTGTGCTTCATTAATCTAAGTTGAATGTATAATAATGGAACTGTCTAATTACTGAAAACTGAACTTTCACAATGTTTTCTTATTTATTTAACAATCTTCTCCAGTCACACTATAATTGTGTATTGGTTCACACTGTTTTGCCAGACCTATACTGGGCTAAGGCTAACTAAAGATATTGTAGCCCATGGCTACAATGTGCAGGTGAGCAGGTGACCAGAAACACCTTTTTGACAAATTTAATTTGGTTACTTCTTCACTGTGCTAATTCCTATGCAATATATGTTAGTATCAAAATAATATTATATGCTTCAATTAGCACAGATGTATTTAGTATATCTTAGTATATTTGATCTGGGAAAAGTGGAACCTTGTCAACATGTTGCAGATGCCTGATCATTGTAATGTATTCTGTGTGTTCCCAGTGCTCTGCGTCAATTCTCCTTTCCCTCAGTAAAGGACGTGATTTCTCTGAGAGAATTCCCAGACCTGAGAAATGACCTGGCCTTCCTTCTGCACATGCTGGATCAGTATGACCCCCTGCTGGTGCAGAGACTTTCTGTGTTTCTGTCCCCTCTGAGTGAGCGCCCTCTGGGGGAAGAGGACTGCCTGGAGCACCGCTGGGGGGAGGAGCGGCTGAGGGCCCTGGTCACAGTAGACACAGAAGGCAGCTCCAAACTGACTCTAGTGGCCCTGCCCAGGATTCCCTCAGCTCTGTACACACTCAGCCATCTTCATGTGCTCAGACTAGAGCTCATCACTGACGTTCGGTTTACTGCACAGCTGTCAAACATGTCCTCCCTCAGGTAAGCCTAGAAGCAAGTCTATCACTGAAATCACCAAATATTAGTATCCTGACATCGTTTATTGAATTTTAGGTATATTTTTGGCAATGTGAAATATCACTAGTAGTTTAGGTAGAGTATGCATAGTATGAACTCACCTGGCCACTGTGGTAAGGTGAAGTTACAGAAGATATCCTCTGTTGTCCGCAGAGAGCTGCATCTGTACCACTGCTCCGCTGCTATAGCCCCTGGTGCTCTGAACGTGCTACAGGATCGTCTGGAGGTTCTCCACCTCACCTTCGCCCACCCGTCACAGTTGCCTGGGTGGGTGCACTGCCTTAGGGGCCTACAGCAGCTCCACCTGAATGGTCGTCTGCACAATGAGGGAGGAGTGGCCCGCAGCTGGGCCCTGGGAAGCTTACGTCAATTCAGACACTTGCGTGTACTAGTGATTCGGAGCATGTTACAGCGTATTCCAGGAGAGCTGTGTGAGGTGGCAAGCACACTGGTGAGGTTGGAGATCCACAATGAAGGCACACGGTTGTTGGCTCAAAGTGGACTGAAGCGCTTGGTTGGTCTCACAGAGCTGCTTCTCCAGGACTGTCAGTTGGAACGTCTCCCTTCTGCGCTCACAGCACTCATTAACCTGCACTCTCTTGATCTGCAACACAACAGGCTGAGAACTCTGGAGGAACTTAGTGGATTGTTACAACTACACCATCTTTCAAACCTCAGACTTGCATACAACCAGATTGTAGCACTACCACCTTGCATCAGTGTACTCCAAAAGCTGAAGTTGTTAGACCTGGCAAACAATCAGCTCCACAGTGTCCCCCTTGCCCTTTTCACTCTGCGTGGTCTGCAGAAGCTACTCTTGTCTGGTAACCTTTTGCAGCAGTTGCCTGGTGAGGTGAGGGCACTGCAATCACTTACAGAATTGGATGTAAGTGGGAACAGGTTGGAGAGTCTTCCCAGTGAACTGTTCAGTGGTTGTCTAAAGCTGCGCATACTGAATGCATCTCACAACTACCTGCGCACCTTACCTCGGGGTGTGGGTGCCTTGACTGAGGTGCATAAGTTGGACCTGCGTAGTAACAGTCTGGAGGAGCTGCCCTGTGAATTGGTCCATTGCTCTGGCCTCTATGGAGGGGGGTTGTTAGTGGAGGACTGGCTCTTCTTATCTTTACCTCCTCTTGTCAGAGACCTGCTCAGTCAATCCCAGTCCAGCTCTCGGCCGGAGTCTGATACTTTTCCATATTTTTCTCCAACACAGTGGTGCTTCCACTCCGCTCTGGAATCACAGATTTAATCTATTACTTAGACATCTATATATCATGATGTGAAGAGACATCTTCACATCATGATATAGCCCTGTAGTGTTTAATTCGGATGGGAGATTTTTTAAATATGAAGTTGGATAAATTAAGTGTGATACACATTTTGGTAAGGTAGGTACATGATTAAATTCAAAAGGTGATATTTCAATTGAAGTAATCATAGGCCTATCAGGCCTAGAACTCTCTCCATTAGAGAAAATTTGTGCTATCATCACTTCGCATATTCTGAAAATGACTGATATTGTAATTTAGTTGAACAAAGTCATTGGGTGTTATTCACACACTGCTGTGATGAATCAAAATGCTGAAAGTTGTGCAGGCATATAGGCCTACATTTTTACTCTGCATTGTTTAGTCTACATTTTTAACAGTGTCAATGTGGCAGGATGATACATAACAATTTGGAACATGAAATCTGTTTACATGGGCTCAAGAATACACACTTCTGTAATACTTTACGAAGATCCTTCTGTAACCTAAAAGAAAATATAGATGAGTCTGGACCTGCCATCAAGAAATCACCTTCTTGGGTGGTTTTAGCGACATCCAGTGACAAAGATGCATAACCAATCCCTCGACTATTTCAACCATAGACTGACTTCAAACGTAACAAAACTACTAAACTCTATGTGATGTTTTTTACACAGTGTCCCAAACAATAATTAATCTCCGGGTAGAGATACACTCTGCTCATTTTATGAGCCAATATGGTATTTTGATGTAGCCTATACACTGAATAATTTACAATTTTTAGCTACAGATGAGATGAGAGTTGAGAGATGAGACCATATGCCCCATATTAGACCAGGGTTATTTTCACAGAAGAGAAATCCTGAGGGCAAATCTGTGGGAAATTTTGTAAACCTTTTTTTTTTTTTTTTTTTTTTACATAATTTGAGGGTACTAATTCTGAATATTTTGTTAACCAAGTTGGATTTGGAGTTTTAATTTACTTGTAATTTGCATATTAATATGCATATTAATATGGGAATTGTTTATCCTTTTTTTTAAAATAGCACTGGTCATATTTGAGTGTTAAAATGGTGCATAATAGTCATATCCAGTTGGCAGAAGCACTATTTGCCAGTAGTTTTACAAATTCATAAAAGTCAGTGACATGAGCCTCAATGTTTTCCTTGAACTCAGATATATGCCTGAGAAATTAATGTGGGATTTTGAACACATTCTTCAGCAGCACGTGAGCAGTAGTAAATAAACCTCTTTCACTTCCAAAACATGTCCATTTATTGCAGAATTCCTTAAGTCATTAATCAACCACATCAGTATTCTCCCTTTCTCATAATTTGCTCCTCTCTTGACTGTGATGCTCTTCTTACAAATGTCATGTAATGAATGGTAGTTGCCCTCAGCAACTATCAAATCACTTACCCCTGCCACATGTACAGAAAGACTATAATCACACTTTGCAATCTCAATTATTTGTTGATTGACTTTAAAGGTCATAACAGAGCGCAGTGTTTCTTTCTTGGATTGTTTACTTTGTTGGCAAGATAAGCAGAGCTTCCAGTCATTTGATGATGCCCTGCTTCGTATCCGTGAGCTAGTCTGAGGTATGGTTATGGTTGAATGTGATGGTTTATTTAATAGTTTTATTTTACCCTTATCTGTAAAAGTTGTAAAACAGTTCTTATGCCAGTTTGCTTCACCTTAATGTCAAAATCCTGTGGATCTGGTCTGGATTGGCAGCATCTTGAAATTTCTGTCTTTCCTCTGCAGACGCCTTAAGTGATTCAGGCCTTGTGTTGTTCCTCTATAAATAGTATTTTTTCTAGATTTCTGACAAATGATACAGTCTTCATAGGAAGGACCAGACATGCAGCGTCTCAAACAAGTACTCTCTTCAATTTTTCTCCACCACCACAGTATGAATACCTAGAGAGCATCTCAGTAACATGTATTATATCACAAAATTTCAGTAAATAACAGTAGCTCTATTTTCAATAAAGAATGAAAGCTGTTGATAGCAAACAGTGATAAATGACTTACAGGGGAAAAAATGAGCAATCACCAAGAATCTGGTAAAAGTCTGAATCAGAAATTCCATTTCATTTCTGCTCATCAAATGAAGGAAATGAAGGACACTAGCTTTAAAAAGCTGCAATATAGCCTTGTTTTTATTTCATTATGCCAATTAGGAGTCATGTGGTGATCTTACTTATCATATTTATCTAATATACATACAGTATGTTGGTATTTGTTTTCTGGACTTCTTATGAAATCCATTCAAATGAAGCGAACGTTAATTTGATTAGCCTGCTGTCCATGGTATTATGTTAATTAGCTGTCTTAAAACTCAAAATCCATCTTGGTAAACAAAATATTTGGAATCAGTAGTCTCAAACTATGGGAAATAGCATGTTTACCGACTTTCCCCCAAATTTGCCCTCAGGACTTTTTCTGAAATTATTTCTTAGAATTATTCTCATTTATTAATTATTAATTATTCATAAGTAGTCAGTTATTCATTATTAACTCAGTTATTATTATCTCAGTCTCAATTATTCTCATCTAGTTCAGTTTATCTCCCTTCTTACTGTAATAGTTGGACACTTCTCCACCTAGTGGTAAATCTTACGAACAGCCTGTTGTCGCCGTCACAACATGCTATTTATTTTCTTTTTTCCCCCTCTCGATTATTATTACAACAACTTCAGGGGTGTTGTTTTGTAGTGCACTTAGGTAATATATAAAACTCACTTTTTTGTCATCAAAAAAACAAAACCAACAACCAATGTACCTCGAGGGCTCCTATCGATGTAGTCCGGTCCAGTAGCGATGTGATTCCGCATCCCGCTTCTTTTGTGCACTGTCGACTGCGGTATTCCCTTATCCAATCATGTGCCATCTTTGAAGTTAGACGTGTGTGATGACCAATCACAATTTAGTATTCAGTGAAAGGTGGGACTTCCGGTTGCTCGTATAAACCATCTGAGGCCTGCACATGCGGTTTTGATCTGTTGCTTGGCCGTAGCTCACACCGAAAAGGTAAGAATAGATTTATAAGCGTTTTAGCTCTTTAATATAACTATTTACTTAGTTTGATAAGGCGATTTCATGGTTACTGATTTCATTCCAGATCAGTAAAATCAACTACAACTTCTTCATTGTTTCACGGTTTAGCACAAATGGCGCTTAGCATTAGTTAGCTCAGACAACGCACCGGTCTTTTGTTGTATTTTCATTAAGCGATACAACATGTATTTTATGCACTTTTCTAAAAGCATCCGTTTTTAGTTCTCAGTAGTATATGTTCATTCCTCGTATGCACTTTGGTGGTACGTTTCTACGTTTCGTACATTTTGCGTATAAAATAGCTTGGCTATCAAGTTAGCAGAGGTTATGCAACAATGGCTCTTCAGTCTAGTATAAGGGCTTTATGGTGAGCGCACTATTCGTATTACATTGAGGCATACAGGTTCCAGTTTTTGTTGCTATAAATTGTTTTATAGTAGTAATATAATGTACAGGCAGGTCGTTTGTTACATCAGCTAAATGCTTAAGGCTATGTCATTGTTAGCTCGTAAACCCAAAGATGCTAAAGGTGCGTAATCGTGATGAATGAGAAGTGCGTAGGGAGGGTTGTTTCTGTCGGGCCAAAATGTGATCGTGGTGTGTTTTTTTTTTTTTTTTTTCCCTTTTTTGAATATGTTAATGTTCTCTACTGAACAATGCAGATCTGGTTAAAAGAACATTAGCATTTGGTGGTATTATTTAGCTCCAACTTGTGAGAAAACACAGGAAGGTGTCATTGAAATAAAGGCGGCGCAGACCCAAGAATTTACATCTCCTGTTTCTCCCACGGTCCAGACAAACACAATGGCCGAGAACGATGTTGACAATGAGCTGTTGGATTATGAGGAAGATGAAGAGCCACAGGGAGCCCCCGAGAGCGCTACTCCTGCCGGAAAGAAGGAGGTCAAGGGCTCGTACGTGTCCATCCACAGCTCCGGCTTCAGGGACTTCCTACTCAAACCTGAGCTGCTCCGGGCCATTATCGACTGTGGTTTTGAGCATCCATCTGAGGGTAAGCTCCAGTCTGTCTTTATTTTGGTTTTTATTTATATTATCTCAGTTGTGTATGTATTTATGTTTTTTTTTTTCTACAGTCCAGCATGAGTGCATTCCCCAAGCCATTCTGGGTATGGACATTCTCTGCCAGGCCAAGTCTGGCATGGGAAAGACCGCTGTGTTTGTTCTGGCTACACTTCAACAGATCGAACCCGTTGATGGCCAGGTTAGTGCTCTGCTTTCTAGAGTTGGGTTTTTTATGCAGTATAATTTTTTTTTAAAGTACATCATTTGCAAAAGTGTAAAAATTCCACTCACCTTTAGTGCAGTTGTTAGCCAACACATCTGAAAGCAAATTTCTGTTTTTTATTGGTGGCATAGTGCAGGGTTGTATGCACATAATTTTCTTAAATGGCACTGCTGTAGAATGATTTCTGAATACTTTTTTCTTGTGTATTTATCTTTTTCATATAGGTCTCCGTTTTGGTCATGTGCCATATACGAGAGCTGGCCTTCCAAATCGGTAAAGAGTACGAGCGCTTCTCCAAATACATGCCCACAGTGAAGGCAGCTGTGTTCTTTGGAGGCCTGGCCATCAAGAACGATGAGGAGGTCCTCAAGAAGAACTGCCCCCACATTGTGGTGGGGACGCCTGGCAGAATCCTGGCTCTGATTCGCAGCAAGGCCCTCAGTCTGAAGAACGTCAAACACTTTGTCCTGGATGAGTGTGATAAGATGTTGGAGCAGCTTGGTAAGTGGACATGATTCATTGTGATTTTTTTTTTAAAGAACAAAATCTGGGTTTGTGTTAAATTTTTTTTTTTTTCATTTTTCTCAGACATGAGGCGAGATGTCCAGGACATCTTCAGGCTCACCCCTCACGAGAAGCAAGTTATGATGTTCAGTGCCACACTCAGCAAAGAGATCAGGCCAGTCTGTCGCAAGTTCATGCAGGATGTAAGTAACCAGCGGGCGGTGGATGCTCTGGGCACAGTACTTTGCACTGTTGTGCAAATCAAATAATTTATGGATGCATGTATGGATGCCAATACTAAATGCATTACCAGATACATGTAATCTATATGTAAAAACACTTACGATGAAATGTTGTAACAAAATTAATATAAAGAAAATTCCATGTAAGTGTAAACTGTCAAAGGTGAAACACTCAAGTGGCAACATGTCAGTTTTTCTAAAGAATTTAATGTCTTAACATTAAAATTTTTAAGTTTTGTAATTATTGCTTATTTGGACATTCTTAGCCCATGGAAGTGTTTGTGGATGATGAGACAAAGCTGACCCTCCACGGCCTGCAACAATACTACTGCAAACTAAAGGACAGTGAGAAAAACCGCAAACTCTTTGACCTCCTCGATGTTCTTGAGTTCAACCAGGTAATGACCATTATATAATGGAAACTTCAAGTTTTCCTGTGTTTATGTATTTAGAGGATGCAACAATTGTACACAATGAATTTCTAGATACCTGGATAGTGGTCTCAATTTAGTGACTGTTTGTTCTGTAGGTGGTGATCTTTGTCAAGTCAGTGCAGCGCTGCATTGCCCTGTCACAGCTGCTGGTGGAACAGAACTTCCCTGCAATTGCCATTCACCGAGGGATGGCTCAGGAGGAGAGGTAAGGACATCTACAAAGATTACATATGCCACATAGGAGTGCACACATGTTCTTAATGCACTTTATGTTCCCTTCTGCAGACTGTCCCGCTACCAACAGTTTAAAGATTTCCAGAGGCGGATCTTGGTGGCCACAAACCTGTTTGGACGAGGAATGGATATTGAGCGGGTCAACATTGTGTTCAATTATGACATGCCAGAAGACTCCGACACCTATCTGCACAGGGTAAGCATGAAGCAGCAGTGCAATAGACACATGCCATTAGTAAAAGTTTCTTCAGTGCCAGAGATTTTATTATGGTCAATTCGTCTCACAGCAAGAAGGCCCAGGGTTCAATTCTCAAACTGTACAGGAGTTGAGTGAAATTGGCATGCTTTCCCTTTGTCTGTGTTTCTTCTACCTTTTTAACTACATGTAGGTCAGTTTAGCCCATTGTGGCAGGGCACATAATGACAGTGGTTCAAGATTAATCTGCTAATTTAAATAACAAATAAGGTCTTTTTACTTACGAATAAACCAGGGTCTTGTTTTTAATTCAGAGCATTTCTAAACTCATGTGAAGGCAAATATGGTGAATGCATTTCTCACACATGGATTCTTTTGACAGGTGGCCCGTGCTGGTAGGTTTGGGACCAAAGGTCTGGCCATAACCTTTGTGTCAGATGAAACGGACGCCAAGACCCTGAATGACGTCCAAGACCGCTTTGAGGTGAACGTGGCCGAGCTGCCAGACGAGATCGATATCTCCTCCTACAGTGAGTGTCCAGAATAACTTCTTTATGGATGAGCAGGCGCACAGTTCTTTGCACTACAGACAAGTCGGCCTTGTTGCATCTGATCATGTTTAGTAAAGCCTGGGTATTTGCTCAGCTTATGAGTGCCCATCACATACTGGGCAAACGTAATGTGCATATTGGCAACAAAGGACAACAGTTGGCACACTCCTCAAAGTGCCTGTGCACAATTATCCTAATGGTGCTAAGTCTGTTTGTTCAGCTGTTGCACATATCTTTGATATTTCAAATGCCTAACCCCTGTTTGTCTGTGTCTTTCTAGTCGAACAGTCCAGATGAGTGACCAGCCCCTCTTCCCCATCGGTGTATTGTGTATTTGAAGTGGCTGTACTTCAGTTGAAAGCTCTGCCTGATCCCTTGCTCACCAAACACTTTTATTGTCAATTTTTGGCGACAAGGTGTGGTCGCTTTTAATTTGTCTTTTACTGTTTTGTTTTGCTCAGTGAAATTAAACCTTTTTATAAAACGCCATGTTACTATTGTGGTCTCTTGTAAGACTATTGTTTATGCCCTTTGTAGTTGGCAGGATGTCAGGGAAAGGACTTGTCTAAGCAAATTGAACCTAGTTTTTCTATTAAGTTTCCCCATCACTGAATAAATTTGGTAATCAAGTAGTTAAACAGTAACATGTTAGCAATTATGACTTTCGGCAGCTCTTCTGTTCAATGAATGTTTTGGTACATTCAAAGCTGTTATTCTGTCAAGTTTTGATACATTGATCATAACCTCACTGTATTATTAAAACCTATTCTTAATGTTCTTTGGATCCTGTCGTCAAATATTTTAAGAATTACTCATTTAAACTGGGGGGACTTTATTTGAGTTGTTTTGACAGTACTAAAACATGCACAACGAGATGTATTACACCATAACTATTAAGCATACAATTCCAACTGACATCCTGAATTGGTGAATGCTAAAATAATTGTTTAAGAAATGATACAGTTGGGACAGGGCAAATATGACAGTATAAAAAAGCTTTTATCAAAACTTGTCATAGCAGAGAATGTTTTTCAAAGGTATGAAATGTTTAACAGGAAAGCTAAGATTTTTTTTTTTATTATTTAAACATACAATAAATGATTTATCAAATAAGTATAGGCTAAAGCAATGCTGCATCTGTAAACCCAGCAGTTATAAGGTGCATGAAGTTTCTTGTAATGTCATTTGCATTGTAAGAAAAGGTTAGTAGCAGTAACAGCAGGTGAAAGATGGAGAAATCCACCGACACATACAGTATGTAGCACGTATAAACATTGGTGTTGGGAGCTTATTACTATGGGGTAGGAGAAGATTACAGGCAGATGAGAATTGCAACTCAAATTACATGTTTACCTCAGAACAAAGTTTTGTGAATTTATTTTTATAACACCAGCAGAGGCAGTTTTTCTCACAAGCAGCTTTCTGAGGAGTATAATTTGCTGAATTAGCCAGTGGACTTGTTGACGCCAGAATCCCAGGCTTGTTCATCTTCTGCTGCTAAATGTCTCAGTTTGTTGTGGATTTAAGGCAGAGTGCAGCTGTGTAAACCACCTCTGACTTATCCTTTACTAAAACTTATAGCTTTAGTAAAGCTCCGCTCCCGTTCTATGTTTCTCCAGTCATGACTTTGTCCTCCATCATCACAAATCCCTGATCCCTGACCCTGCGGATCTAGATGGATCAATGATCCTGTCTGTTGCAGAGCTTAGTCGCTGTTGCTCCATCCTGTATGATGACCCGCTACAGTCACATCAATAAATAGCAGTGAATAAATACCATGAAAAGACGATCTTGTCCACAGCATCTTTGCGCCGGACTCTTCCCTGCTTTGTTCCATGGTGTATCTTCACAGGGTCCAGATATGACCACCGTGGGTCCAACTCTGACCCTGCAGCAGCGTGTGAGCAGCTTCTGTGCTGCCTATTGACATCAAGGATTACACAGGACCATCACATTTGTGCGCGTGCTTAGTGCCCTCCTCATCAGAGTCCAGTCTCACAGTTCAGTGTGTGGCAGTGCACCCTTGAGTCTGTGTCATCACTACAGTTTAGTTCTGTCCCAAACAGACAGGCACTTGTTGGAGGCTCTCCCCATTTTCCACAATAAAAAAGTTTTTCGAAAAGGTCTTTGTTGAGTGTGCCTTTCTCACATTTACTCATGAATACACTAGGGACAGCTACTCTCTACTGGACCTCTAAGGGGAGCGTCAGTGTTGTGGGGCTAGTCGATGAACTTGTGCGTGTCCCCGTAGAGCCACCTCTGGGGGGGCATGGCCGCCTCGTTCAGGTGGTTGCATTGATCGCTGCACTTACAGGACTGGATGAACATGACAGACCTGTGGAAGCGCTCTCCATCAGGACAGGAGAAGGCCACAGAGGCAGTGCGTGTGCGACGGGGGGAGCAGCAGCGGCCATCCCGACACACTCCACAGTAGTTTGGTCTATAGAGACGAGTGCTTCTGCAGCCAGCGTACGACAACCGCTGAGGCTCAGGCGCCTTGTGAGTGCGAGAACATTTACGGCCTTTCTGTGGAAACAGATAAACAGCACTTTAGTCAAGGGCAGGACCAGAGGTCTACATTTAGGCATAACAGTGGTGGAGCCACCATGTGAATAGATTGCATGATCAAACCAAGCTCACAGAGAAACATGCTGCACATGGGTCAGCCAAGAAAACAGACAGAGTAGAATAAAGGAACTGAAAGGCTAGTTACTGTATGATGAACACCATACAGTAACTGTAAGAATGCTTAACCTGTGAAAATATCAGGTAACAAGACCCTCACCTTGACAGGCATGGACAATGAACTGCACGGGCGGATGTTACACAGCCGAGTTTCTTTGATCAGTTTGCACCGTGCGTTGTCATTGGTGACCCGAGAAGACACGCCCATCCCACAGCTTCTGGAGCATTGTGTCCATGAAGTAGTCTGCACCACACACTGGTCACCCGCCTGCCTCCATGCTGGACCAGACAGAATACAAAGTGATGACGCATGTTTAGCAGGAGAAGCAACATCATCAAGTCAAACTGGGGCTAAGGAGCTGGTGGGAGCAGGCGGTAAGGACAGCTTAACACACTACTTCCATTGACTTCCACAGGCTGCACTGACGCACACAGCCCCATTAAACAGACCTGTGTGCTGTGCCAGACTGAGCTCCTCGGTGTGCAAGGAGCCAGTGGAAACCAAGCCTCACATAAATGGTGACATGTACACAAGAGCTGTTTGTGCGCCTCAAACATAAACATGATGCTTTAGAGCATGCAGGAAACAGACCACACTCTCAGGGAAAACATGCCAGTATGCCAGCCTCTATGAAGCCATTGTGGACAGATTAGCTCATAGAATCCTAACTCAATCTTGTTCTGGGAGTATAACCTGTTAAACCTTTATATGCTTTAGGGGGGTAGGAGAGGCTGAGTCAAGTTTGGATTTATTTTGGTTTATCTTTCACTTAAAAGTCCCGCTTTGGAACAGGTAGCAGACTCTGTAACTGTGTGGTATGGACCCCCAAGTAACTTAGCTCCTAGTTCTAAATTAATGTCATATAAATGTAACATGTTCAAACACTAGGCTCCTTTCACTAATTGGTATGGGCACTGCAACTGGAAAAAGATAATGCAGCTGAAGTGTTTTGTCCAGGCACATAAGGAGAAAATTTTAAATTTGTCCCCTCCCCTTTCAGTGGCTGGCAAGTTGAAAAACCACAGAAAACCCTGTCTCTCCTGCCCAGCTCACTATACTATATCTAGTTTCATGAATTTTCTTGGGATTCCTTTTGTATTCCACACAAGATTAGGTTTCCATTACTTTACCTGCCAGGTGATTGTGTCCACGTGCCTTCTCCCACTTGCGTCCGACCTCAAGGAGCTCATTTCCATAAGTTTCCTTGTCTTTCTTAGATTTGAAAAGTTTGTGATATGGTTTGAGATGAGGTTTGGTGTATGGATAGGATGGATATGGCATGAAGAGATATGGGTGGAAGGCAGGCGGCTGGGGTTTTCTGTGAATTGGAGGTACCACTGTAGTTCCCTTGTGGCAGTCAATGCTAAGGCAGCACTGCCCTGGGACTTTCACCAACTGTGGGGCTGGACAGGAGGGCGAGGCCAGTGGTACATGGCTGGGACAGAGGGGCACACAGCCCACTGCTCCGTCGATACAGGTGCACTGGTGTTTGCACCCTGCACGGAAGTTCTCCCCATTCTGATACATGTGTCCATTATATTCGCAGGAACGGCCTTCTGCCTTTGCTAAGAAGAAAGAAGACATTAGGGTCAGGCAGGGTTCTATGGCTTTTCCTCTACCAGAAATAGTAAGAGTAATATCTGTATAACAAATACCTGGCTTTGTCAAAGTAATTACCAATATTCAACCCCAAAAATACATTCTCCTAAGTCTTTACATTTATATTTATACACAGAAAATATAGATTATTGTGATGACTTGCAAAAAACAAGCTAGCCCCAGAGTGACAAGGAACAAAGGCTGTTGCTGGTCAAAACAAGCATATCATAAAGTTACAGTTAGGTGTTAAAGACCTTCATGGAGATGAATATAATATATTAATTTCGAAGTGACAGCTCATCAATTAGAGCAATATTTTTACATACAAAACATGCCATACATCATAAATGGTTCTTCTCAAATATGGATGAATAAACAGTAAAACCACAAGCTTCTAATTTGGGCTGCAAATCAAGTGTGCAGCAATAAAAAAAGACTACACAATGCATCTCTCTCAAAAACCACAAAAACACATTTTTGACATTTTTAAGTATGTTTCTACAATAGCACATTAAGTAAACGACTTCGGTCATTGTATATTGTACATCATTTACAATTTTTACAGTACAATATATGGCTATAGATGTGACCAGTGTGTTACTACGTGGCCTGACAGTATTAATTAGCAAAAATGTTTTTTTTATGTCTGTAGTTTGAATGTTGATTACAAGTTCCTTACAGTGCCACTTAGATTTAACATTTAACATTTAACATAACCATGCAGCTTTCAGTAAATTAATATGCAAGTAAAGATTGTGCCCAGCCAAGAGCCTATTCTTAGATAGGGAGAACATTCAACTTGCTAAATATGTCTTTCCCCTTTTGGCGCCTCAGTGGGACTCCCCATACAACACCCCGGATACCCCCCCTCCCCCCGTAAAGGAACCCCCAATTGAAGCTGCTTATGTGTGTTTTTGCTGAGATGCTGTTTGTGTACACAGAAGTCCCTGCGCTGGCCCACACTCACTCACAGCTCATGAAAGTGCTCTCTTTTCTTAATGTGGCACAGGTCTCAGACATTAGGACCCTATCAAAGAGAGAGACTGCTGCCTCCACACCCTGAAGTTATACATCCCCTCAATCAACCCCAGGATCCCCACCAAAAACACCCAATCAGAGCCAAACACTGGCATCTGTGTGGTACCAGGTTTTGCTCAAATTCAGGCATTATAACACAGTTATGTACAGAATTCTTTATACTGTTGTATTATACTAACAGTATGATGTTGTTCTGCAGACAGATTAATTAATTGTATTTAAAGAGCCAACTACGTACCCCTGCAGATGCCATGGGTACGGCCCACATCATTGCCATAGTTACACTCCAGGCCCTTGTGGTGGTCGCAGGGCTGTCCCTCATGGCAGTCCTGGTTGAGCTGTGCCGCACACACTTTACAGCAGCCACAGCCATCTGGTACAGCGCTGACCCCTGGAGGACAGGAGGGGGCCCCTGACGGACACTCACACACCACAGGGCAGCCAGCCATCACCTGGAGGAGCAGACACAGAGGCACTTTGTGATACATTTTATGTAATATTTTGATGAACCTGAATATAGCTTCATAGTTTACTTTACACACAGCCACACAAACTGGTCAGAACAATACTTTGACTCATATTTCACTGATCACAGAAATTCCTCAAAGTGTGTGCGGCTTAAATGTTCCCTGAATGCAGTGCACTGTCCTAAAGCCCACAGGGATATCTATAACCCTCACTCGCCTTCCGCTTGGCATTCGCTACAGCAGCCAGGATGAAAGGGGCGTTCACTGACCTACCCCCTCCTACACTCCTGCACCTTTTGTTCCCACAATTCCCAGCAGCAAGTAGGAATGACAGGACAGTGCCAAACTCACTGTTTACACTGGGTCAATTAAAACCATAATCTGTGGCCAATCCATTCAATACAAGTTCCCCTGTCGCTTTTTCCCTGAGAATTAGCATTAGGCTATAGAATAATGAATAGGACTATGTATAGCCATAGACAGTGGCATGCATTGCTGGAGCCACAAACTGTATTTCTACAGGTAGACCTATTTGTGAACTGTGGTCAAGTATTTACTTTCAGAGTATTTTTATCTGACTTGGATATGAATACTGCTGTGCGTCTATTTCAAACCTACACTAAGCTTTTTGTACTCCACTCTGCCCATTTAAACAGATGTATAAAAACATATTAATTTATGAGCTTTGTTTTGAACATTGCCATTCAGTAGACTATAAAACATACAGGAACAGCATTGTTTATGTAGCCTACCTATAGGCTATTGTTTCAAATGTCATATTTTGTCAAATTCTAAAAACAAAGCAGCAAATTAAACAGACATGGGCATAATTCCTGCGTATTTATAGGCATCAGATGTCTTGCCAATATTATGTTCTAACATTGTCATTTTTACACAGCAAAGACCCAATAATAGACCTAAGATCCAAAAATACAACTGACAGTTAGCCTACCCGCTAGTCCACACAAATAAGTTATCTAGCAAACATGTCAAATCCAATGTGTTTACAGCAGACATCAACAAGTGACAAAGCACGCTTTCTTACCCAGCCTACTGTTGACACTTGCAACACCGCAAACAATAACAGTATTCCCATGTTGTCAGCAAATTCACATGTAGAAGAACGACACAATAAATCCTTTCAAAAAAATATAAAAAATGCCAAAGCAATATCCACCGTGGGTCAAGTGTACTCCATCACTTGTAAAGTTTCATGCGTAAGAGGTTGTAGTGCACTTTTATATGAGCGCGAAGCCCCGCCCACGCCGAGTTCCCTCTGTCCAATCAGAAGACAGGCGCGAGTTGAGGGCAGTCAAAAAAGGAGAGGGGGCGGGGATTATCGTCCCGGGGCGTGGCTATGCATGAATGCGCTCATTCATAAAATTTCTGAATTACTACATTCCATAACCCGACCGGGCTTTGGGATATTTATGTGTCTGCATGTGTTAAGTCAAAGTTATTGTGTTTATAATTTTCACCATTTTGTTGTATACCTACATATTTTATATTAAAATACCGGTAGATCTATTGACTAATAATAGCCTATTAGTTACGTTATTGCCAACATACACAATATAGTCTAACCAATATATCTCTCATATTTGTATAAAACTATTAAACTAAACCTGAAGTCAAAATTTTTAAATTAAAGATTAGATGTTTTTGTTGGCTCTTATTTGCCCAATAGGAATTAAGCTTAGACTTTTTTTATTATAGAAGATTGTGTTCTATGATGGATTAATACCATATTCTCCTATTACAGTAAAAAAAAAAAAAAAAAAGGTAAATACTTCACTTGTGAGAGGGTTTTCACATCAACCGACATTTCATATTTGTGTTATTAGTGGAAAATACAGTATGTCGCTCTTAATGTAGCCTATATTTTGATTATAGCCTGGATTAAGATAATTTAGCAAGTAATTCAACACATATTTTTCCTGCTCCCATATCCTGTTTTTGGCCCATCACTTCCAGCCCCCCTACAGACTGGGGCATATGCAGAGACAGGTGGAAGCAGTCAGCAACATTCTGCATTGCACTTGTGGTTTTCATTGAGGAGAGTTTTGCAGAGGTGAGAATAATCTTCTTGTCATCCCCACAAAGTTGCACACAGGATACCAGTGATCCACAGCTCATGGCTTGAAACCTGGGAGTGTTTGGTCCTTGGGCCATATCACATGTTTTTGTTGGAGTGTAAGTTTAATCGGACTTCCGACATAAACTATGAGCTGGTGCACTATACTAAATGTCTACAAATGCTTAGAATAACATGCACCATTTAAAACATGCCTTATAACAGGAAACAGGGACAATTTTCTGAAGGGGAACAGGGAATTAAAATACCAGTACTTAAAGGCAAAGCCCACCTTAGTCACTGCACATCAGGTCCCAAGCCTGGAATAATGAAAGTTCTTTCTGACAACTTTGAGAAGCTTCTTCCTCCCTATCCATCTCCATGTGTTGGCTGAGCAGGTGATGTAAAAGGCCATCCATGTACACAAGAGGCAGAAACACCCTGGATTCACATAGTACGATCTCTTCTTTGTTTCTGGTTTTCCTAAATCTTCAATAACAGACCCATTCTTATGTGGTGATTGATTAAAGTTGCACTATGTCATTTATCTGGTGTACAGTGAGCCATTTCCCCATGGGTATGCTATGGCTTTGCCTGTAATGTTCTACAATGTAACATTAAACTCAGTCATGTTTTTCATTACTGAAAAAAATACATTGAAAAAAAGAGGGAGAAAAAAACAAACAAACAAAACATACATCACTTACTGTGAGGGGGTCACCTATTCACAGATTTGATCTGTAGCTTGACTCGATGACATTGCCTGTTGCCGTTACCTGCTTGTCTCAATGTAAACAGATGCCCTAATGAGGAAAGTTTCAGACAGAGCAATAACATCTCCATGGAGACAAGCAGGCAGCACACTCTTCTCCTGAACGTTGCATAGTGCACCTTTAAAGGTAAATGTTATGGGAATGGCATTTGAACTGATACAGAAGTCATAAATTCAAAAAACCTGGCTGGGTACCTCTGCTCATCAATCTTTTAGGGGTTAGATTCCTATATTGCCCCTGAGCAAGTTACTTCATCAATATTGTGCCTCTATACCTGCTGCATTAGGCCTTTCTTCATCAATAACTAACAGTGGCAATATGGAGCTGCCCTGAGCTCTGACCTATGCATTCTGAACTGACAGTGAGCAGCATCTCGTAATGGTTCAAGTGACAAATGTCTGGAACTCTCCCTGTTATTAAAATGTCAAGGCTCGCGGTTGTAGAGCAGGAAAAGCTGAGCAAAAGCAGCTGAACTTCAAAGGTGCTAAATGAAGGGAGTGGAGTGAGGTAAGGAGAAATATTAACACTATTGGAATAACAGAGCCAGTTGTAAAGGAGAGGGAGGAGCAGAGGCAGGTGCACAAAGTTTGTTTAGTAAACATCATGCAGGCCACACCTGTCCCAACACCGCAATGGAACCTTCTTTTAAACATCCACAGTCAGAATAGCACCTAGAATTTTTGCTGTCTTTGTTTAAACCATTTCAGCCTATTTTTCCTAAAATGTCTAACTAAAATAACTTTTAATGCAAACTGAATCTGTTTCTGAACCTTTTGAAGACAAATGGCTGAACTCTTTGTGACGCTAAGGCCTCTGTCTAATCTACTCTACTTTTAATTGGGAATAAAATCAGAGAACACAGAAGAAAGCCAGAGTTCAAACTGTGTCTAAATTCTTTGATGTAAATAAGAATAGGTATAGCTGGTGTCGCTGGGGATGGTCTGATAGGAACCGACTGAGCATTTGTTGGGTCTTGACAATTCCCATGTCAAAGTTGAAGTAGATCTCACTGGATTACAAACTGGTCCAGATTCCAAATTTTTTATTTTTATTTTTTAAAGAACCTAACCATTAGATGGAAAAAAAAAGCCTTAAGAACATTTTTAAGGCTGACAGTAAATGAGCACTATTGTGAACATCAGTTATTGTCTGAATATAATACAAAATATGTGTGAGGGGAAATACTGATATGAGAAAGATATGAGATATACGATTTTGTAACTTCAAGCTGTTTCTCTAATTTGAATTCAATACATTCATGTTCATGAGTATTTGTAGAGTAATCTTGCAATTGTAATATTAAATGTGTCAATCTCTAAAATAAATCTGCTTTGGCCTCCATTACACAGGCTACAGACCCATGCTACATGACTAAGGAACAAGGCGACTACATCAAAATTAATTACGGTCAGATATAAAAGTGCAGCAAAAACAGGCAGAGGTTAACAAAGCAAAAAGGATGAGAGCAGGGGGCAAGGAATTCAGGCCCCAAGTTATTTTTAAACTAAGAACAGGAACTCCACTGTTGGTTTCCTAAACACTCGGGGCATACGTGGCTATAAGAGGAGCTGAGAGAGGGATATGGAGGGGTTATGCACACACGTGAGACTGTACACATGCTATCTGCCTTGCCACTGTCAACACCATACAACCAGTTCAGAACATGCTCATACATCTAGAAGGTGAGAGAGAAAGAGAGAGAAACACTTAAGACCTGTTTGATATGTTCCTGCATCATTCATCACCCTTCCTAAAGATAGGCTGAGAGATTGCTATATATAAATTTGCCTAAACATTTAAAAGAAATGATGGGATGAGGGCAGAGTGCAGAGCAAAATTGTGACTAGATAGTCCTCTTGTGGGTTTACAGTCAAATAAGGTTGTGGGTAAGTTTGTTGACATTCCAAATAATATAATTTGGGTAAAATCTGCCAAAAGTATGACAAGCAAAAAAACATGGTCTTGTCCTACCACTTATATGTTTGTGAAGGGTCACCAGTGGGTCTCAACATCTTCACTGAATCATGCATGTCTTCAGGGGTTGAAATAACAAATGAAATAAAAGATTCCCATATTACACTATTTTCTGATCTATGTTATAATGTTGTTTCTGCATCAAAAACATATCTGGCATTGTGTTTTGCTTCATTCACACATGTTTAATTCACAGATCCTGCACATTTAAAGTTCTTTCAAAAAACAAACAAACAAGCAAAAAAAAAACAACAACCTTGTGATGTCATGTGATAGTACGGGAAGTGCTTCTCTGTGTTTTTAAACTCATAAGCCTTCACTAGAATCATTTGGCTAATTTCAGTTCTGGAATTTCCGATCTCTACTGAACTAAAGGTAAAAGGTGGCTGTTAAATTAGAGCTTCATGACATCACAAGGTGGGACAGAGCATTTTGAGCTTTAGAGATATAGACAGACTAGAAGTAAAAGATTACTCAAACATGTGTGAATGAAACAAAACACAACTCCAGGCATGTTTTTGAGGAGGTAACAACATCATACCATGAGCACACAAATCAATTTTGCGTAGTATAGGAGCTTTAACTCCACCAACAAATTAGGAAAGTCATGAAAGGATTTTAATCAGCATAGCATAGCTTCTTTATCAACACTTTGCATACTAAACCCTTAATTTCTTCTGCATCAGCATATACATATACAGTAAATGTACAGATTTGACCCAAACAAACTAAACATTGGGCAAGATGTGATGTTTTGATTCCTGCTGGATCCACATATTTCACTCCCACCAGCCTGCTCATTCATCCTCATTTGCATCTTCGTGTTTATGTCCTCAAACTCACGATGAAAGATGTAAAAGGCTTTCATTTTCTTTTCTATTTTAACACTTATGCATTCTATGGATCTGCTGCAATCATGTGGATGTATAAGAGACAGTCAAAACATGACAATTACAGACCAGCGCTAAGATCAGGCATATAAAACCAAATGACAGACGTGGGAACAGAGCCACAGGGATATAGTTTCATGGTAAAATAAAAAATAATCAACTATAATCATGCTCTGAGTGCATTCTACTCCAAAGTCTCTATCCTGTTTACCTCCTGCTCACTGTCATTATTAAAAACACCAGACACAATTCAAAGAGTGCATTATCATACTTGCATTCATGTATGCTGCTGTTTTAAATCTCAGACTATGAATAGAAAAACTGCTGATTCAGAGGTAGATGAGTGTTCTACAAATTTCAGTTTGAATAAAATGCAGCTGGAGAAACAGGTACTACATAACTGCAATTAAGCCATCAAACAATAGAGTAAAAAGTAGGGTAATGAATATGACCTCATACCAGGGAAATTTGCATTTGTTATGTATTGGAAAAGAGTCCCAAGGGAGGCTGTCAAGGCCCATGCTGACACCACCGGCTGCTGAGTGCAAATAAGGAAGAATTATCAGTATGGTTTTCAACCCCAAAACCATAGCTAAAACTACAACTACATCTTTTAAATGTACGCATCGTGTTGAAGCAGCTGGTTTTACATATTTGTATGGTGCTCATAATGCATTGCATTTAGAATTCATATTCCAGTGGCATGATCCACTGGTCCCCTGAATAAGGAGAACAGTTCTAGGCAGCTATACAAGCACTAGGCTCAACACAAACATGTTTTCAGTAAAGGACAGATTTACACAAGGAGACAGCAGGATACATTTTACAAGACATGTTTTCTGATATCTGAGAAGTAGCATTCGCATAAGTTCTTGTAAACCAAACTCAAGTTTTACAGAGACTACAAGGCTGTAAGGTATGCTAAACCCTCAAATGGTATTTGACAAGTTTGTGATGGTAGTTATATGGAGAAGAAAGACTTCACCCTGCGTCACACTGCAGCACTTCCTCCTGACCTTTGCTCCACTGACGACAAGCTTCACACGCACAGAGAGTGGGGCTGCTCGTGGGCTCAAAGGGCACTGGGTCACCTGTACCTGTCCATCACTGGACACAGTGATGCTGCTGCTGCTCCACCTAAGGCAAGGTCACGCCCGCCCCCAGGCCCCAGCCCTCTTCCTCTGCGTCTGCCCTCCCCTCACCTCCTAAACATGACAGAACACACCTTGTTCTAGTCATCGCCTCCTTTCCACCAGGAGCCCTCAAATATCCCAAGTATCCTTGCAATTTCCGGTGCCATGTTTATTTGGGGGAGAGTGGGTTGGGGGCTGAGAAGGCTTGAAAAGAGACGCTCACTGACAAACAGTTTGGGCTGCGTTTGAGAGTAAACATGTGCTGGAGGTGTAGCCAGGCGAGCGGTAACTGCACTGAGGCTGATGTGTTCTGGTGCAGGGCTCACAGAGGAGCTCTCTGTTAGACTGCAACGGCCACAGGCTAATAAACACCCCACCCCTACCTGTGCTGCCCACAGCACAACGCCCTCTAGTGGGCTCAGGATACCCAGAGTAATGCTAAAATATATAGAGTAATATGGAAGATATTTGTACTCAGCATAATGCAGACCAGACAAATGGAGAAAAGGCTGAAAGCCTATGCAATAAAAAATTACCATTAATACAGAGATACAGAAAAACTGAACTCATATGTGGATCCATAATGTGATAATGTACATGACAGAAGGCTGCTATGGACATAAATTTGTAGACATAGTTGTAACTCATATTGGTAGATATAGTATCTAAATTGTTGATTTGTCAATGACCACTTTGTTTGTCTACAAATTACAATGAATAGGCAATCACCAATTAAGTTAACCATTAAGTGTACAAAAAATAAATAAAAGGTTAGGAACTATAGTGTGTGTGCCATAGTGCCACATTTTCATCTTCTTCTACTTTAATAATAATAATAATAATAATAATAATAATAATAATAATAATAATATAATAATAATAATTATTATTATTATTATTATTATTATTATTATTATTATTATTATTATTATTATTATTATAGATCCATGGACGTTACGCCGAAGCAGTAGCCAACTAAAGAAGGTTTGTTTCAAAGTGTTCAAACGGTGGTCCACCTCGAGTGCTTTGGCTACTCCACCAAACTGCAGTGTTCCACATTTGGTGCACTTGTGAGTTGTCCCTGTAGATGGCGCTGCTCGTGAACCTGTGCAGTGTAAAATCTGTCTCTTGTTCAAGTGCGGCTCCAAAGCGGAAGTGCTTGTAGTCCGCGAGGCCAAGAGCAGCGGCAACTTAACAGCAAGGTAAACCCTCTCAGAGCTTAATCCTTCTAGTTTTATTTCGGAAATAAGCTTTTGTCGTTTAAAGCACCACTACAGACCGGAGTGTCTCGGTAAATTATGTGTTTGTTTGCCCGCGGGAGGAGCTGTTTGGCGGCATGAGGCTCGGAGGAGGAGGACATAGTAGAGGGCAAAGTCACTCGTAACGTAGGTTAATGGAGGAAGGGAGACTGACCCAGTTGGCACACACTGAAGAAGTTATGATAGGATATTATTCTTATTGTGCTAATAATATACTGTATTAATGATTGTAGTGTGGCCATTGACTATAATTTTCTGGTCAATAAACTGTGCCTTACCCATAAAGTAGCATAGACATCTACGCCAACAGCTGTCCTTATTTAACTTTTGGCACTTATATGGATGGATAATCTATAGAAGAGCAGGCGCCATAGTTAGGCCTGGTAGTCATAGTAACAGTTATCCTACTGCCATCTTTCGAGCGGTTGCATTAAGCATATTATCATGATTGCATTAAGCATATTATTGCGCTACAATTAGGCTACTTCTATTAATTCAGAACTGAACTATGCATAATATGTCCAGGGGGTATAAACGTAAATGCAAATGTTGATTCTGGTTCATGTAAGTCTGTACAGTCTGTGCCCACTCCACTAGTTAAATCTTGTTTACTCTAAAGTTCACTGTCCTGCAGGAAGCGCCCCCCTCCTCCTGTGCAGAATGCCTCTAAACATGCGGCTCTTGCATAAGCGACCTGCTCACTGTATGGTGAAGATTTTGTGTGGCCCCCTGCGTTGACTTTGGCCAGTGCAGTTAATTATCTTATGTGACTGCTGGTCTTCATTAAATAGTTTAATTGAGTTAACCCTACAGCTAGAAATGTTATACTTGTTAATAAATACTGGCTATTTTATCATTTTACTGAGTTCCCTGACATTATCTTAATTTTTAGGTTTGATTTTAGATTTATCCTTGTGTCCTTCATCTCTTGTTTCAAGTCGCTCCAGGAGCACACCTACTATTACTATTACATTGCCCATTTTGTCTTCATCTCTTTTCATAGATGGCTCAGAGACTACTGTTTCGCAGAATTTGGACAGCTGCTACAAAAGAACTCCGTCAGAATTCAGGCCTCTCAGCTTCTATTGCTTCATCGTCCTTCTCCACGTCCCTTCAGCCCTCCTCAAACCGTGGACCCTTCTTGACATCTTCCCGTAGCCTGCCTCGCTCCCTACCTCTCGCCTTTCACAGATTAGTGTCTTTTAATGTCCAGGACCAAGAAGACTTCACAGAGAGGGTCATCAACAGTGAACTGCCCGTTTTAGTTGACTTTCATGCACAGTGAGTATAGTGGGACTACTACAAAACAAAGATGGAGGATTGGTCCGTGTTATTAACATTGGTTTACAAAGTACTATAATAATAAAAAACCTCTTTTGGGGATATAAAAAACAACATTCTAATACCAAATTGACGATTGATAGAGATTGGGAAGAGAATCAAACGTAAAAAATGATAATATGTGCCAAACGTTCATATAGATACATAAGCAAAAACAACATAAAAAAAAAAAAGCGAACTAAAGAACCGTGGAACAACCTGATAAATTGAACACTAAATTTAGTATATTAAAATCTCCATTAGTTTAACATTATGCTATCTGAAAATTCTGTGAGGTGTCATTCTCAATCCCAATCTCTATACTGGTTTGTCAAATACCTGTTTAATCTTAGAAAACAATTTGACCATGTTAATTAGAGTTGGTTCAGGGTTAGCAATTTGTGTGACTAAAATTGTTTAGGGATGAGGCGTCACCTGTCAGGTGAGTTAGAGAAGTGCCATCTGTATGAAAAACAAACTTTGCTGGTTTATGAGTTAGTAAATAACATGACTGAATTGAGAGAATCTAAATTGAGAAAAGTTAGATTTTGTTTAAATGATAGATGACCAATGAGCTTGTTTCCCCATTTATCACTACAATAAATTAACCTGACTACACAGCCTGAGTTGGAGGCTAACATGGAGGTGCTTCCAGCTCCTTCTGACCCTGGCTCCAATTGACTTACATTGGAATATTGTCACCCCTATTTCTGCAACTCCTGCGGTGAGCCACATCATTTTGGTCTTAAAATGTTTGTATTAACCCATTCTGCATGATCCTGGTGTTTTTATGAAGCTATTTTTTAATTCTTTATACATGAGTAACGTGTATCAGTAAACAGAAAACATCTGTTGTATTCGTGCTTTGTTTTGTGACGCATATTGGCTCAAAATTGCATGGCAAATCCAGAATGATATCTGCCTGTATTTTTTTATACAGATTGATATCAATCTGGTTCGCACACCCTCGGTCACGCTTCAAGCCCAGTCGAACATGATTGTGCAATCAGATTTGTGTCTTCAGTGATGCATAAGGAGCTCAATGGTCATATCATTTACAAATAAAATCACATTTATCTCATCTCAGTTTAATAGAGTTTAGTGTTTCGCTCTTTAATTCTGCAGAAATTGATTTTTTTATTTTTTTTCAATCCAGACGGACAGTGCCTGTTCCTGATTGGCTAATCCATCTGTCAGTCACAGATGGATTAGCCAGTGTGACACACTGACCATCTCTAGGAGCTAGTACCCTCCAGGGGTTCACTTTAGACAATGGAGACACACCGTACCATACCGGTGGAAATGAAGCTTATGTGTTCACTTATGTAAAGCAATACAGTTTAAAAGTAAAAAGCTAAATCTTGCCTTTTTAGGTGGTGTGGTCCTTGTAAAATCCTTGGTCCACGGTTGGAGAGGGCTGTTGCGAAACAGAAAGGCAGAGTAGCCATGGCTAAAGTTGATATAGATGACCACACAGACCTAGCAATTGAATATGGGGTAAGTGTAATTACATATGGTTAATCTATTTTATAACAATACATGTAACATTAAATTATTTTTCTATGTACAGGTTTCTGCTGTCCCAACTGTAATCGCGATCCGAGGAGGCGATGTTGTTGACCAGTTTGTAGGAATAAAAGATGACGACCAGCTAGACTCATTTGTCAGCAAGGTCATTGGACAATAAACCAGCGGCCTCCTGTTGGGCCATTATTGCAGCAAACAGTTTGCCCACATAATATATGTGCTTATATTAGTATTAAGATTTGTGTGTCATGAGTAATGAAAATCTGCTATGTCCTATGAAGCTCTCAGACACAATCTGCCTCTTCACATGTTTGAATGTTTCTATTTTAATTTAACTTTTCATCTTCACATCTAAACTCAAGACATATTTACTAACTGTATTTACAGAGTTTTCTATTCTGTGTATTCAGACACAAGTTTACTACACACAAATCTTAGTACCTCAAAATATGCACATAATTTAGCTAAAATGACAACATGTACCATTACCGATAGCTCATAGTTATCGCTGCTGTCTTTTATTCCCCCCCTTATGACATGTTCAATAACTCCTTCCGCCATTTTGAGCCTGTTATCTCACTAGCAATGTATCATAGCCATAATTCACTGGCATTCTGTCAACACACACCCATCCCTAGATATAATGCTTCAGCTGTTTAATAACATTTTTGAATTTGTCTGTTTTCTCCCCAGTGGTGGGTGTGTGCCTCTAGACTATACTGTGTGGTTACGGTCATCGTCTGATTTACATGTTTTATTTTTTTATCAACATTGGAGAGCTGCTGAAAGCTTGTGTACTATGAATTACTATAGCTTCTCTGTAAGATGTATTGTTTTAGGAAAGGGCAAACTTAAATGACTATTGAATGACAGTGTTACGTGCAGTACCTGTTTCATACTCAAGGTGGTGGCGTTTTCAATTCAAGAGCCATTTTTTGACGTTATATACACCAATATGCCTACTAATGTGAGAGTGAGTGAGTGCGAGTTTGTATGTGTAATGTGTGAGAATGGGTCTTAAGTGTAAAAATGAACTCAAGTCAAACGAGTTTAATTTAGTTTATACTAAAATGAATGAATGGATTTATGTTCATAACATGACCAAGTGAAGTAATAAAGTGTGGGGGAATAATGTTTTCTGTATTACGTAGCTATTTATTTATTGTGTTGTGTTGTGTACAAATCCAGTGAGGCTGGCAGAAATATGTATTTAGACTTTGTTGTTCACACAAGTTACTACCCACTCATTACTCAGAAGTAATTACACGCCCACTCTCTTCACTGTTATTTTTCTGCCCTTTGTCATCTCAACGAATCTAATAACACCTTTGTGCCAAGAGCTTTATTCTAAAATCGTCTATTTAATACAATCAGACATGCATTAGTCAACTCTTCTGATCTATTCAGTCTTGTTTCATCATTTAGCGGTCAAATTGTGAGGCCTCCACTCCATAGCCTTTGCCTCTTCCTTAGCGCCCTGTCCAATCCTAAAAAAAGCACTGACACGTCAACAACCCATATAGCGAACATACATCCAGCCCTTTTCTGTTTCTTTTCAGAGAGAATACAACTGTCCCCCACTGTACTCTTAACCTTAAAATACTTAATACATTGAATCATGTATTAAAAGAAGGTGATTAGATTTTTAAATAAAACATAATAAAGCCCATTTAGCTTGAATGTGGGAGGCTATATGCTTGAATGCACTTGAATGCACATTTGGTATCTTAGGTTATTGCTCTGAGTTCAAATGGGGATAACGTGTTAAAAAATGTTTGCTCCTCCAGCTATTATTCTGTCATCCACTCTTTTCTCTTATTCTCAGTGCAAACACTGTCCCACCCGTCTACCACCGTCATTCAGCATGTCCTCACCCATGCCATAGCTGACAGACGGTGAGCGCATCCCTTCCCTTACAATCAAACATCACCTCACATGTCCTCCATCTTTGCTACTGTAGGTCATAATGAGTACTCAGAAGCATTCAAAGGAGGAATTCCTCTGGCATTACATAATTAGGTATGAGTGAAGCAAATGGGGTTATAGGTGCAGATGTCCAAATGCTGCAGTCATGTCAGGATCAGAGACATTCCTACATAGTTCTGTGATGTCTGGGACTTTGGCAAAACCACCTTATGTTAATGATCAGCTTTTGTTCTGTCGACCCAGGGAAGATACAAAATGGTGCAAACAATGAGATAGGGACATTAACAGACCTTGTTCTGGGAAAACAATATCCAATAAATCTAAGTCTATTGGACATTGTAATTTTGTCTTGTTCTAACATAAGAAAAATACTGCCTCAATCTCTGAGTATAATAAAAGTTACTGTAAGAGAAGAGTAGGAAGGCAACACTGGGTTGGTAATACACAACAAAATATGTATGAAATTACTTCCTAAACTTCACTGTAAACATTTGCAATTTAGAATATAGCCCTATAAGTAATCAATGAATCCTGTGATCGAAACATACTGTAGCCAAGGAATGCCAATAGGGGTGGGTGACATTGCCAAAAAAAAAATCATAGTAGACAACATATCTGAATTTATGTTGCTTGAATGATACACAAAACGTTAATGGAGAGTAAAAATAACCATGTGCAGAAACTTTTGCTTTATATTTGAATTAGCAAGTTAAACATGAACTGCTTGTTTTTCACAGAGGCCTATAAGGATGACCTTGCAGCAGAACTCTTTTGGTTTCTTCTTTATAGGTCAGTCTCTAGGCCTGAGGAATCCAGTCCCTAACACACACACGCACCCATGCACATCCCTGGTCAATGTGTCATCTATTTACTTCTATTCTATTCAACGTCTGTGTCTGCTCTCAACCCAGTGCAGGACACACTGAGGTGACTAAAAGCATGACGACAGGCTACAAAGGTTCAAGAGCAACACGTAACCCTACACCTCTTCCGCTGAAAACAAAAGCCACACCCCCCTCCTGGCTCACGCACTCGCACACTCTTACCCAACTAGCCTTGCAACCATATAAGGCAAAAAACACTGGGGAAGCCAAGGCTGTGCACCAGAAAGAGAGAGAGAGAGAGAGAGAGAGAGGCAAAGTTGTAGAATTCTTAAGCTTCCAGATCTAGCACATTTTATTCAAGTCTGACACAAGCAGTTTGGGAAATGTCTGTCAATAGGCCAAGTACTTTTGATAAGGTGAGATATGCCTTTATAAACATCTTGCCCAGTTTCAAATCAGAAAATTTAACTCAATCCTATCATCAGATGTGTTTAAGACAATTTGATGTTAGGCTGTTTCAAAACTAACAAGCAAAAGTAAGCCTTCGTTGATACTGAAAAAAGTACTTTGAGAATGGTCTTTATCAGAACAAGCACAAGACCACATGACAATATAAAGAAACTATTATTGTTTTATGTTATAATTATCCTTGTGGTTGAAATTGGTATCGAGTGTCCTTTTCCTAGGTATATGTCATAATCTGATTAAGATGGACTTGGTACACAACAGTAGCCTATAAAAAGACAACCACTAACACCTCCAGTCACACCTAAATCTTTTAATGCCTCCACATCAAAACATGACAGACAGAAGTGTGAGCAAGCCATCAATCTTTCACACATTTGATAAACTACTAGGGATAGGCTGAAATATCATTTGCTCTGAATTATAAACAATGTGTATCGACACTGGCCATGAAAAAAAAAAAAAACATTGGTTAAATTCTTTAATATCAGTTTCAGTTTGCCTACTTTAATGGCTCAATAGTTAGTTCAGTACACTTTTATGTTCTCAAACCTTTGACCCCACTGAAAATATCAGTGTAATTATTAGCACACCAAATTATACCAACTCACTAATGTCTCACACAAACGGCACATTTTTGATAACTACCCTCCATAAAGACTTTAGTGTATATCACCAAAATAGTGTAACAATACAAGATCATAGATCAGATTAAGTACTCCTATTGGTCCAAGGATCTCTATCTTCTTGCATGCATCAATTTCATGTGTTACTAAATACATACAAGTCCATGTTTTAAGATCTTTCTCATGAATCAGAGCCTTAGTATCAAAGTGAGAACAGTAAGTGGTCCCAGCCTGGCACAGCCCCAGTCTATTCTGTTTACTGTAAACACAAATCAGTATTTAGATTTCAAACATGCTCCACCCTTCACACTCATCTCACATAACTGTAGCCTACTGCTGTATTAGCTTAAACATAAGTGACTGTGTCTGTCCCAAAGTAGACATCTCCAGAAGGAAAAAGCCTTGTGTTCACATTCCAGACCTTTGTGAGTCAACATGCTCTTATCAGCTCTTCCTGTGTACGATTACTGAGGAAGAACAAGGAAGGCAGGACGGCTTCACACACAAGACAGAAAAACATCCATGACACCTCACATAGGCCTAGATTTTATGAAGTTTGTACCATATAGTACCTACTTTCAATCATTTGCTAGAGATGATTCAAACAAACAGTTTAAGCCAAACTGATAATATCAGATCACAGTCCCTAAAGTGATAATGATGTTTATCAATTAAGTATGACTGTAGCATAATTTCATTCCTAAATATTTTTCAATAAAACAAAGCATACCTTCACCAACCACATGCATGCAGCACATGCACTGCTGTCCACCAACATCAAGTAGTGTAAGTATCAAGTCAACAATAGCCTAGGGCCTTCTGTTTATTGCCTATGATAGAATGACTATTGAGCAATGTTGTTGTTGGTAGAGAACAACAGGGTCATTATTTATGTATTTTATGAAAAAAATGTTTGTCCCTTGATGTGGCGAGAGCCACCTGCTCAAAACCAGTGCCAGTTGGAATCCCTTTTGCAAAACATAGAAAGACAACACACTATAAAGCATCTACTACATCTGGATGTGAGCAGATATTGCATGTGACACAAGACTTTTGTTGCTCAACTGCTTTTGGCACAGGGTTTGGAAGTAACTGGGAATGATTTGGAAAACAAAGATTATAATGAAAGGCAATGTGTTTACAATGGGCTTCCATCCAAACAATGTGTGAGACTGAAATGTAACCAGCAGACATTGTTGAGCAACCAGTTAAATGGCACACGCTATTTACTGAGTATAGAGTATAGATCCACTTAAAGAATGAATGTCCACACTTGAATTGAGTGATTACATGTCATTAATAGCAAAAAGCTGGTCAGGGAGCTGTAAGCTCACATGGCACCCTTTTAACGTGCTGCCACTGAATGGGTCCTTTTCACTTCAACTGCATGATATAATGGCCTTACACACCCTGAATTACAGACACACCCTGCTGCTATTACAACAGAGCGTAGGAAAAGGAGAGAGAGAGTAGGTCATAGTGAAAATAAGAGCGGGAGGGGAATAGAGAAAGGGGGTGGGGGGTCAGAGGTGTCCATATTTGGACATTTGTGCCTGCATTAAATCCAAAAATTGTTTTAGCACTCTGTTGGTTCCTTTCAGTGTTGTGCAAGACTGCAAAAAAAATGCAGTTTAACTTTCATTTGTGTACACAACAGCCTACACATAGGAACTGTAAAGCCTACCTAAGTGTAATGTAAATACAATCTAGCAAAATGATATGGGAGTGCATTAAGATAACAGTATGCTCCTGCAGAGGTAGTCATGTCATATTAATTAGTGGTTCCAGGATGCGTTTTCTGCTAGCGTAGAAATAATTTAATTTGCAGATGCTATCAAAAATTATGTGAGACAAGAAAGTGAGGATTTACTCAAAGCTTAGTATCCAATGTCATGTTGCTCCTAGTCAGGATAATATCTAGACGTTATTATTGTGTTTGATTGATAGAATGGAAACATGTGACATTTCCATACTTAGAACAACATCCACTTTCTCATTTGACCTTTTCACACTGGTCACAGTTAACACTCTGTTTCCTTACCTGATCCAGGATCTCTTGCTTTGACCTTCCAACTCTGTTCTCTGCTGAAACTTCACATATTTCCTATCCAACACAGAGAGGCGGGAGATTTATTGATTTTTCCAGCCAATGTTGTCCCTTTACATACATGTGAAGCCCAGCTGTTAAACCTATAAGAAAACACAGAGCTGCATTCCTCTCATAGTGACACATGGTGAGCATAAATCACACATTGTACCAAAAGTTGCTTTTCTGAGGTTAGTCAGTAGATGCCACTCATGCCTTTAGAGCATAATATAATATACATTGTTGTAAACATCTCAGGTTTGTTTGAATGGAGTGGTAAGGCTGCCATTGTGAGTCATTTGTTTCAGTGGAATCCAGTTGTTTACAGGTTAACACAACTCTACTAACAACACTGTAAGTAGCTACTGAATATACATAAATAAATTTGAGTAGTATAAGTGTAATGTTACTTTGAACATTTGAGAAAATCAACACGTTCTTACAGTTTGCCTCTGGCTGATCATTTGAATAATATTTTGGTTCCATTGCTAACATCTTGCATGATAGTCCTTGGCTGGGTGCCCTCTGCTGTAGCACTTCCAGTAAAAAACTGGTTGAACTGTTCCATAGGTTTAGGCAGTAGCATGATAAAACTACTAAGTGTGCATAATCTCTCTCTGTCTGTTTTTTTTTTTTAATTTCCATGGTTTCACATCATTAGTTTCCATAATGCTAAGAATGCAGCTCACTGTTACTGCCCTATAGCACCTCTGTAGTGGGTCTAGCCAAAACAATTAATCTCTTTATCTCTCTTATGTATTTTAACAAGTCAGACTTTTCCTCCAAGCAAATGTCAACACATATCAGGATTGAGCAGTGAACATTTGAATAGTATTCTCACCTACGGCAGTTCCCAGGATGTAGAGACAGGCCTGGTCATGAATCCAGGAGTACCTGTTCAGATAATGGGACAAGTGGGAGTAAATCACACAGTGCAATAAGCATGCTATTATAGAAAATATTAAAATACTAAAAATGGGTCTCTGAGATGAAATAAATGTCAATCAAAAAGCGCTAAATAAAACTGATCCTTTACTACTCACTGCATAACTATAAAATTTCATTATTTAAATGTGATACAAAAATCTTCAAGACAGAAGTATTCTTGTCATTTGGCCTTGATTGATGATTTGGCCTTGCTATTCAGCCTAACCATTATCCAGAAACCTAACAAAGCAAACAAAACAAAGTAGGCTACATCCAGTTCAGTCACTGAAACCTAATTTATGATCTAAAAAACAAACAAGAATAAGGTTCTACCAACAACATTTAGGATACCTTTCTAAAGGCCTCCAATACATCGATATTTCATTAGGTCCATAAGCAACAGCCTAAAAGGTGTTAAGAAAGTTTGTTCACGCAGTACTACTTTTTACATTTTGAGTTACTCGCTCACCAAAAATGTAGAAATCTGACATCAAAACATTGTACAGTGCTTCATGGATTTGGTTAATTAAAAGTGAAATGATATTACGTTTTAGGCCCATTGTAGGCTACATTTAGTAACCTAAAATCATTTCTGGACTGACTTTGTTTTCATATCACAGGCTATGGTCACACACGACGTGTTGACACACTGGGAAGACCCTGTGTGATGCAGTCCATGCGAGGGACCGTGGACTACTTATATGGTCATAAAAATCCTTAGTATGCACATACCTCACTCATTAAACACAACCTTAGCTGTTCCCTTATGCCCTCCCTCCACCTCTTTCAAGTTCAGTCTCTGCTCCGCCCGATGGCTGTCATTCTCCGCCCTCACTGTGGCCTGGTTGGTTCAAAGTGTGCAGATTATTAAACAGGCTTTGTGATTGGTTATAAACACTCATGAAGTGGACCAGAACCCGCCTTGCTCTGGACCGCACCCCGGCTGGAGCTGGCGGCCACTCGCCGAGTAAAATTACGCAAACCAGTCAGCAGTCTGAGGAAAAGGGAGGGCAGAAGGAAGAGGGGCAGAGAAAAAAGCGATAGAAAGAGCGAGTGAAGCGGAGAAAGAGAGGGAGGAAGCGAGCGCTGTAGTTTAGCCTCAACTCCACAGAGCTGCTGTCGATAGAAGAGACCCACGGAGACGCAGAAAGAGCCGCACGACTGTCGTTTTCCACCCCTCGACGGCGACCTGCACACAAATAGCAGGTAATACTTTGAACTTTACCATTTTGGTGACCACGCGTTCTCGGGGTTAGCCTCCACGTCCCATTGTAACTACAGCGGCGCACTTCAGCAAGTGCACTGAACCAGGAAGCTCGGCTGCTAGTTCACGCTGCAACTTCAGCAGCAACCGTGCTATGGGGAGTGAGGTTCAAAAGTGATTTATCCACACTTTTACAACAGTATACGAACTTCAGAGACGCCTGTTGATGTTTGCGGAAACTTTTAACTCCGTCATGACTCTAATAAGACGCAGTTTGTTATTTGGCCGCTGCTCAGGAGCTAAAAGCCATAACGGAGCCAGGAAGTGGTTTCGCTGCTTCGCTTGAATGAGTTGCAGAAAAAGGCCGGTGCGCTCTGAGCTTGATGGGGCCAGGGGGAGAGGAGTTTTTGGGCTACATGTAGCTCGGCCGTCCTTTCGGCAGAGACCAGACAGGGGTGCAGTGTATTATTAGTGTGTGGTTAAACTTTAGGTGTGTAGAGCTTGGAGCACACGCTGCGTGTGGCCAGAGAAGACGTCTGTCTGGCGGCATGACGTCATACGTACACCGGTGATCCGAAATACGCGCCCGTGCGTCCCTCTTGGGATCATAGACCAACTTACCAATGTTTTATTTCAGCATTTCGTCATTCTGGGCAATTATGTACCTTGCTAGATGTTAAAAAATATAGGATTACGGATTGCCTTTTTAGTTTGCATGCTGCAGGAGGTTATTTCCTGGATAGCCTTTGTAGGCCTACGCTATCCTGAACTCAAGCCTCTAGCTCTGACATAATTTGATAGACTAGGCAGCTGACCTGGTTTTTAATAGGCTATTTGCCAATGTTAACTAACAATGTACTGTTTAAATATGCTGGACAAGTAAACAATGTCCACGTATATGCAGTGATAAAAAAGTATATTATAAACTGCATTTAACAAAATAAACCACCTATAGAACAGATGATACTATTGCTTAAATTAATATACTCTTCTTATACTGACAGAAAGGTGGTAGTGAAATCCTTGGCAAAGGAGAAATTCAATTTGACAACTGGACAAAAGTAAGTTTTTTTTGGTCGAATACGTTTCACAGCTCATACAAGCAGCTTCCTCGGTTCTACTAAAATCCTTGTTCATAAGATTATGTATACTTTCTATTCTACAGAGCACCTGATTGTATGTGTAATGTAAATTCTTGACTTAACAATTCTCCATCACAGTTCCTATGTATGTGTTGGTTCCATTTGTGTTTGCTTTGCTCCATGGCACATCATTGTATTTGGTTTGCACTAGAGAAGCAAACAGTCTCTGGTATGTTCGCAGTTCGCACACCCTTGGTCTGAGGTAGGCTCCGTCTCTGCTGTCTCTTGCCACTTTTTAAGCGGCACAAATCTGGCATTTCTCCAGCTAAACCTGCTTGTGTTTAAACCAGGTGTTGGTGGTTTAAAAGCTCTTCAGTCACTGTAACAAGAACCACTCTTTTATTTGACATGTAGCGTTATTTAAGCCTATTATTAATTACAGGAGCCGAATCTTGTAAACGTTAAAAAGGGTGTGTCCTTAATGTTTTAATACAGTCCATGTAGGTGAGTATGTAATACCCATGCAGTACATTTTATATATTGTGAACAGTCATCCTTTGAACCCACTGCTCCTCATGTCTGTTCAGATCCCCCCTGCAGAGATTATTGCCTTCCTTCATTTATGTGTCAGCGAAGTCCATGCACAGACCCTGTGGGAGCTTATACCAAAATTGAATGCAGACGTCACAGACTTTGACCCAGGAGCTGGTGTGAGAGGCGGTTCAATCTGAGCGATGGTGCCTGTGGATGTTTAGATTTCATTGTCCTGAGTCAGAGAGATTACAGGAGGCCTCTAGCTGGAGTTGGGTAAAAGAGTAGACGGAGGACATCAGGGCATTGTTGCTGAACTATAACCCAAAGCAATCTTGTCTTATTAACCTCAAATTGTCAGTTTATGTTACTGTTATTTACAGACTGGATTATCCTTGTGCAAGTTTCAAAGGCCAGCTGTGTCCGCAAAAAGTTTACCTCAAGCTTTGCTGGAGCGTCATCTGGATTTCAGATGGGAGTGGCCTCATCTTCTCACATATACCATGTAGAGAGTTTATTAGTCCAAGTATGGCACAAATGCAAAAATAACACTGTAATTTATTAACAATCTGCATTTCAATACTGAGAGGCTACATTTTGGAGCAATCCTTTCTGGAGGTTGTAGAATCAGTTTACTTTACCAGACTTTCTTAAAGTAGAGACCGTTGGCATTTTTGGTTTGGTATTGCCTAAAAGCACTTTCCATTCCTCTAAACCACCTGAAAGAAAAGCATATTTGCACAATTGACCGTACTTTTTGTAAATTTGTCAGTTTCCAATTTTTGTAAACAGTTTGAAAATGTAACCATCTCAAATTTTAAGGCTAAATCTTGGTTCAAGTATCAAGGAGAGCCTTGATCTGTTGACCCCACAAAACGGCAAAAAGTTGCTGATGTTAACGTATAATTTGTTCTTGCATTGGCATTACAACATTATTGCTTATCTATTATTATTTAGCCCATTGCTAGTTTCCATAGATGCAAAAATCTCATGGTATGGCTAATATTTATTGCAATATATAAAAGGGAGATGGCTTATGCTTTTTATGTCTTCTTTCCATGTGTTGGTTTGCACAATGTCTCTGCTCTGGAGCATCAGTCTTTGGTTTGTGACTGGGCCTGGTCAGCTGAGATTCATTCATGGGGCAAAACATTCCAGTCTCTTTGAGGGGGGCTGTGGGACGCTCCATTACCCCGAGCAGAGTGGATCAGGCCATCTCTCTGCCTCATGTCCTCCTGTCTCTTCTGCCCCTCCACACCTCCGCCTTCCTGTCTCTGCCCCTGTCCTCCTCTCTCGCCTTTCTCCCCCGCTCCTCTGCCCTGTTACTTCAGCAAACGCCAAGTAAACTTATATCTGTATGTCATGGTTGCATTTTGTTTAACCTCTACTCAAATATTTCCTTGTCTTCTCTTTACTTACTCCCTTTTCCTCTGCATACAATATCCCGCCAGTGTTACATCCTCTCTCCGGCTCGCACCTGTAGGTTTCCAGTGCAAAATGGACAATACCAGGAAATGGCAGAGCTCCAACTGGGATTCCATACAATAAAGTCCAGTCCTGAAAAATGCACTTTGACCTCTACTCTAGGAGCTATTGCTTTTTGGATCTTGGGTGGATTTTTTTTTTTCTTTGGTGTAGAAAATGAGGTAATGTTGGATTGGTGATAAGTACTGACCAAAGGAATGCAGTCTTAATGATTTTACTAAGTTGGATTTAACAGTTTCACACAGGAGTTCTTGTGCTCTGTGGTATGGCGCCAGACTCTTGGTACTATTAAAGATAAGGATGTCATCAAATAAGTATATCTTGCGAAGGGCGTGGCTCAAATTATTTTTGGCTCAGAGCATGGTTTATGCACCAGTAGGAATTTCTAAATGTATACAGGCCCACAAACAGATTTATGAGGCATTTCTATGTGAATTGTGAAATCGGTTGCCTGGTCAGTTGTGTTGCTTTTATGGATAATGTTGATTTAACAGAATTTAGAAATTGTTGTGAAAATAGAGCTGCTTTGAAGGATGACATCACTTTCTCCATGTTGTGGGTTTGCTTACTCCTTCCACACTCCCCACAAATGGATGAATGGGAGAGGGCAGAGACAGAGGTCATTCGTGTTCCCTAGGATTAGCGGTAAACATTTTGGGTTTCATGTCTATTAAAATAAACTGGCTATAGGTGACTTGTGAGTATGATGGACCATGTAGTTAGATGGGTGTGTGAAGTGTGCACCTGGTGTCTGACTGTGTATGAAGATTGAGCTAGTTAATACTTAAGAGATTGCACAACGTGTTCGTTCACACAGTTTGGTAGTTTGAACCAACTTTGAGCTCTGTGAACTTTAAAACGTACTGTGCTTCAAGTCCACAGCCTGGTTTTAAAAAATCTGTCATCACCTGTCATCAAAACCCCTGCAGACCAGATGTCCAGGCTCCCCCATATGTGTTGTACCTGTATCAGGCTTAAACTGTTTCACTTCTGAAGGAGTGCCCTCAATAGAGATAAATTCGCAGAGTCATAAAATAATCCAGTCAGTAAAATACATAACAGACTAGTTATAAATCAAACGAATTCAAGTGGTCTGGTGTAAGTGATGGGGATTCTGTCGGCACATTCCACAGTATTTCACTGTAAGGAGTGATTGCCTCTGAGATCTACTCCCCTCTGCATTCTTCTATGTCTGTTTATAGGCTTACATAATCTGTCTGTTTGTCCACTGGTCGATATCACTGCAGTGGGGTTGGTGCTGGGTACTCCAGGAAAGAGCCAACCCATGGTGCATCCATTGGAGTTAATCAGATTAGATTTATGCAGTATGTTGTTGGAATTTGGTCTTTGCCCTGAAGATGATCTTATCAGCTCTTGAAGTATATTTTTCCTGGTTGGATTTTATTTCCAGGTTGGAGGTTTTATTTATATTTATATTTATATTTATATATATATATATATATATTTTTTTTTTTAAACTATACAACTTTTGCTGTTATTGTACTCAATGCATGAAATTAAACATTTTGGAGAAGCAGTTTCAGAAATGTCTGAAGGAAATGAGAAGATGTTGGGTTTAACTGTTCTGTGTTGAATATGGGGGTTATTTCATACTAGTGACATTTTATCACTTGCATTCCTCAAACATGGAGTCCACTCCACCTGAATAGATCCCATTGTTTGTGGAAGGCCCTAGCCTTGTGTTAAAGTCTTTATTAGCCCCTATAGAAGAGTGTATGCTAATGGAAGATGGCATTGGCCGACTCACATTTGAAAGTGAAATGGGACCCAGGTTTGGACAAGAATGTAAAAGTAATGTGGAAAGTGATGACGATCTGTCATGCACTGTGTGGATTTTCCAGCCAGACTTTAATTGACTGCTCAGAGGTCCAAGCCGCACAGCGTGTGCCCACCAAAGCACCACCTTCTCCTTCCTCCAATCCTCCACAACAAGCTCCACAAATGGCAACATACTTCTCCCACTTTGTCATTTCCTCCATCTCCGTCTGCCGCATGAACCACCTTCAGCTCTGGGGAAGTGAGGCCATGTTAGGCCTGGCCCTGGACCGTCTAGGACTGGAGATGGTTTGATCTGGCTCCACAGATCTTGATCTTGGCTTGGAAAAACAGGAAGACCAGTTTTCAAAAATAAAATGGCTCAATAGTTAAACAATTAAATCACAGCCTAAATAATAATATCCCATCTTATGTATTTTTTGCTATTGCTGCGGAAAATATGGATGTGGTGCGTTGTGTGGAAAGCATGTTTAACAGTTTGAGCAGGGTGACCGGGGCAGACATTGTCAAACATCCACAGCTGATGAGGACATGAGGCTCTTCTAAACCATGTGAGCTGTGAGAGGATGCAGTTGGACTACGTAACTGTTGCTCTGTTTGTTAATATTTCTGTCAATGCAGCCAATGCGGCGCAGCTGGACGAGCACCATCACAGTGCACAGGAGTCTACAGAGGAGGCCAGACCTATGAGACAGGGGGTCGCTGAGGTGGAATGGAATGGGGCTGATGAATGGAAAGCCCTGCTTCACTGTAAAGGCCGAGGTTGACCTGCTTTCTGCTCCAGAGCTCCTCTGTCACACAGGGCTGTGGCTGCACTTCCTCAGTACTAGTATCACTTCTACTGTTTGTTTTATTGGTTCCTTTTTTGTGTTGGGCTCTGACAGGCTGCTGCTGCTGTTTTGCCTCTGACTCCTACAGGCTTCCTCCTAAATGTCACCCTTATGTGCCAGAGATCACTAAAAGTTTCTGGTACTTTGATCTAGGTTACGTTGTGTAGTATTTGTGTACATTACAATGATGTCCTCAACTGATACAAGATACTGACACCATATAGTTTAACTTTATAATAATTCATGTTTTATTTTATAATTTATCTCAAATGGGACTCCATAATTTGAGATCCTGGATTTTAGTCCTAACATCCAGGAAAATTTCATGATAACTGATTTAATGAGTTCCAATGACTAAGCCAACTAATCCTGTTGTAAATTGCTCTCTGCAGAGTAGATGATATTTTCACAACCAAGAGAGCAGTGGTTCAATGTGGCAGGAGAAACTTAAGATTTTTAGAGGACCTGACACAACAGAAGGACTAAGTCTTTTTTTTTGGTACAATGAAGATTAAAGAGATATTATTTGCCACACAGCGTGTGTGGACAATATGGCCAAACAACTTTCCAAATGATAAAATGAAGTTGATGTGACATAAACAACCAGATAAAAAGCACTTTATATGTAGGTTAACTTTAATAGAGTGTAAATTGATTTGGAAGGATTATTGACCAACACAAACAAATAATCTTGATATCCTAAAATGGAAACCTGATGCTTTGAAAATGTCCATGCTGGTTCAGTTCAACAGTTATTGTAGAGTCTGATGGAGGCGTTGTATATGGAGCAGAGAAGAGTAAAATTAGTCTTTTCCCCAGAGACTGAGGGAGTAAAGTGTGTCACTGATCAGAGTCAGTCCTCCACCCTCCTGTCAGTCCTCAGTGCAGGAGCCCTTGGCCACTCTTTATGGTTCTGGGAAAACCTTTACAACTCTCTACTCCATTGACCTGCTAATGCGGTACTTCCTTGGTAATATGATTTACTGGGATATCTATCTGTCATGATGATCTCTGAGAGTGAGATTGTACACAAGTAATTATTGGATTGATAAATATAGAAATGAGTGCATTCACTGAGCTATTCCTTACAGGCCAGCCAGAAGTTGGTAACTGAAATGTTTTAGTGGAATATTTTAGTTTATTTATTTATTTTTTTATTTATTTTAAATAGGTAATATATTTGTTTAAATATATGCATCTGTGTTATCAGAGAGTTCCCGCATATAGTATTGGTCAAATATTGAAGGTATTGATTTTATTTTGTTTACCTTCCCATAGTTGTATGTGTTTTTATTATCCTATAAATTTACTGATGAGCTTTATTTTATATTACTTTTTAATTGCTACAGCTCCTCAATTTGCTTCTTACTGTTACATATACATAGTCTTATCCAGTCCAAAATGCTGGAGCCTGTGATGTCCATGGGAAGGGTTTAGGAAAAACTTAAGACTTTGACCATGAGATCCAAGAGCCCAGGGTACACTCCAGACTCAAGTGTGAGGAGAGTGCTGAGAGCTGAGCAGGAGGCGCTGATGTGATGGGACACAAAGCTGGAGAACAGGTCAGAGATGGGAGGCCTGGTCAGAGCGGACTCGTGTGGAATTCCTCTCCCCGATACAGGGTGAGTATGAGAGGAATGTGACCCTGAAAGGACTTGGATAAACACAAGGCCAGAGATGGAGGGAGCAGAGAGGGAGGAGGGGACACGCAAAGGCTTACAGCGCCACTGATTTGACCCACGCTTGGTTGCAGGACGGGGTCGACATGCACCAGGGAGGAGTTTGGGAGCAGAGCTGGTGCTGGTTCTGAGTGCATACACAGGGGTCATGAGAAGAAGGAAAGGGTTCTCACAGATCAAGGTTAAATGTACCGGAACAGACACAACTATGTTAAATTGACCAACTTTCTTCACACTGTGTTCTTAAGGGACTGTAACTGTTGATGATTGCACAAATGGATGTTGCTTTTACAGATGGATCATTGCTGTTTTTTACGAGGGTCGGTTAAAGGAAATGTGATGTGCAGAATCTGGTGACCTGTGATGTCAAACATGAGAATGTTAGCCAATTTCCAACCCATAGTGTTTATAAAACTAGTCTTGTGCAATCCAGATCATTACCCTTTTGCTAAATTTAACTTTAAATGGTGATCATTTGTCTTCTCCAGTGTTGTTAACTTGACTCTCTAAAGTTTTGTTATGGTAAAACATGTTTATTGTAGGCCTTCTTTTTTGTCGTGAAGTTTTAACTTTTTTTAAAAATACTGTTTGATCGGTTTGGCCCGCCACTATGGACCTTAGGCGGGTAGTTGAAACCAGACACAAAATAATTCAAAATTATGCTTATTTTATCTACACTCCCCTTCCACTGCTGGTTTGTTCTACCATCACACTCACTGATCAAAGTTACAATGTTGAATACCCCAGGGCACTTTTAACAACCTGGTTGTAATTTCCTTCATGTTTGCATATGAAAAACACAACATGAATAAGCAGTGTGTAGTCCCAGAGGAGGGCAGTGACCTGGAGTAGAACTCTGATGGACGATAATTGAGATGAGCAGATGCACATGTTCTTGTTCAGTGAAGTTACACTCAAACCTCATCTGCCTTTTCTACTGGCTGGTTTTACTGGTCTAGTCACTTTCAATGTGTGATAGTCCTCAGCACTCCCTTTTGTAGTGTGTTATTTGTGTCTAAAGCGGTGTCAGTGTTGTTCTGGTATGGTTTTCCGAGTTGGTGGTGTGTCTAATGACTGGATGGCTTCAAACTAGGGGCTGCCTGACGTAGCATTTGTAGTTAGTGACAAAACTCCGTACTGCTGCTGTTTGACCCAGTTTCAAGTTCTGCCATTTGATGTTTACTTTAAGTTCCACATTCCATCAAAACAGTGATACGCCTCTCTGCAATTTACTGTGCAATAAAATTATATTGTTAAAGATCACCATATTTTACTAAAGGGGCACCCTCAAGTAATCACTGAGCACATTTTGCATTAAATGTTCTTTCAGAGATCAGTTGACGCATGTTTATTGATTAAGTTCTGCAGACACTGGTTACCTGAGCATCAAATCACCAGTTCCCAAACGCACACGTAGACCTCACAGAAAAGAATCCTGAATCTTCTCTGATCTGTTGTGAGTCGGGTCATCACATTCCTCAGAGAGCACACTGAGATGCGCAGATATCAGATGTCATGTTCTTTGTTTTGCCAGAACCAGTCAGGTAGGTTAGTGGACCAAAATAAAGTGACTTAATTGCTCCCATGTCCCCTATATATTCTTTTGTAATGCCCTAATTCCTTGTTAATTACTTGATCAGTCTCGAGCTGCTTGTTGCTCCCCCATGCAGTTATTTATATTGAAGTGTTTTAAGTAGTTATCTGATTTAATGTAAATATCTTTTTTGTCTCCCCCCAGCCACCATGTCAGCCGCTGACAAGTTCCTGTACGTGGACCGTAACATGGTCAACAATCCCCTGGCCCAGGCGGACTGGGCGTCCAAGAAGCTGGTATGGGTGCCTTCAGAGCGACTGGGCTTCGAGCCGGGCTCTGTGAAGGAGGAGCGTGGAGATGAGTGTGTGGTGGAGCTGGTGGACTCTGGGAAGAAGGTCCGTGTAAACAAGGACGACATCCAGAAGATGAACCCGCCCAAGTTCAGCAAAGTGGAGGACATGGCCGAGCTGACGTGTCTGAACGAAGCATCTGTGCTGCACAACCTGAAGGAGCGCTACTACTCAGGGCTCATTTATGTGAGTACATTAGTTCATTTGGGTTCGCTCATGTGGCCTGAAACGGCTTCTGATGAATAGTCCCATTGGCCCCAAAAGCAGGTCTGAGATGGCTGCGCTCCAGGGTGGCTCTCCCTGTCCTGTCCTGTCCCTGTTCTCTATTGTCTGTAGAGACAATATGAGCATAATGAGTTGAGACAGAGATAAAATTTTAGTCCTGCTTCCTTGTCTTCTCTTACTCTTTGTTTTTGTATTTGCCTATGTTTAGATTTGCCTTGTAAACATGAAGTTCACAGGGTCAATGCTAGAGAGCTAAAATAGACGATGAATACAACTGGCATTTCAGCTACCCTTGTACTTGGTGTGATTTTATGCCCATTGCCAAGGATGGCAGAGATTTTGGCTGTGACCCGGTCATATCAACACCCTCACTCAGAAGGGCAGTGTGCTGCGGGGTCATGCATTAAGGGGGTGATTGTACTGAAGTCTTGTTCTTGCAGCATCAACTAATCTAATGTAACCAGAGTTTATTTAGCAATCCCATCTTCTCCTTGTGTTAGTCATTTACTCTTTAGTGTTCAAAATGCCCCAAATTAGGACTCTGACTATCTCTGACTATCTGTGCTTGTCTATCCACTCAATTATGTATTCAGAAGTATAATCTCTATAGATTGTTGGAGCTATAAAAATACACTTTCAAGGTGGCCATGGGAGGAGGATCAAAAGCATGATTTGCAAATTTCTAATATAACTTTTACAACAACAAGGTCACACAGCAGTTCAAACTGCAGCAGGGTGGAGTCAGGCTTACATAATGGAGGAGGAGACTAGAGCTCATGAGCTCCAATGTGTCAAAGGGGGATGGGCACACATGGTGCTATGAATCCATATTGACTCTCATGTTCACTTTAACTATCTATATTACTATACGTATTATAACATCTGAACCAGTTCGCTTCTTATAATAATGTATCACAATCAAACACTATACACTATAGATTTTTGCTCACTGTGTATGTATGTTTGTGCGATCTAAATGTGTGTCTGTTGTATTTTTCTTGATGCAGACTTACTCGGGTCTCTTTTGTGTCGTCATAAATCCCTACAAGAACCTGCCCATTTACTCAGAAGAAATTGTGGACATGTACAAGGGCAAAAAGAGACACGAAATGCCCCCTCACATCTACGCCATCACTGACACAGCGTACAGAAGCATGATGCAGGGTAAGTCTTATCCACAGGTGAACTATTTACATATTGACATTACTTGATCTGAGACCTAATAAAACAAGGCTATACAGGATGCTTACTATTTTGGTTTTACGTTCCACTGTAAAAAGATTGGAGTGCAAGGAAAATACTGTACATTGAACCTGAACATTAGAAGAAAGGCAAGCAGGGATAACCTTTTTTATCAAGCTAATGTTGGACAGTGTCTTTATTGCTTTCTCCCACTGGGCTCACTAAATACACTATGACCCCATGTTAGAATTTTGTGTATATTATAAACTTTTCTTTGCCCAAAACTGTCCTCACTGATTTGTCTACATTATAAGCTGTGTTTGCCTTTTTATCAAATACTCAACTAATCACTAATAATAATAATAATAATAATAATAATAATAATAATAATAATAATAATAATGAACTGTTCTACAAAAATCAAGAAGTTATTTTCCAAGTCAGATGTCATCACTTATTGTAATGTGGTCTAGTGTGTGGTTTAAGAATCAGCAGCTTCATTTCTGCATCAGGCGCTCTATACTCCTTAAACTTAGATTTTGCAGCTAATGTACAAATCATTAGTGTGTAGTTTCCTAGAGTCTATTGTCTGTAGCATTGGTAAGTATCTTTGAAATGCCGATGTACTATGGGAACGCTGCATTAGGGTGGCCTGAGGGTAATTAGCTGGCAGCTTCAAACTCCACTGCACCTTCCTCACAACAGGAAGCAGGAAATTCACATCCTGTCTGTGGCTTTGCATTTCCTGTCATACATAATGAGTGTATGCGCTTTGGTGATAACATGTGCACTTAATGCAGCATCATAGACTACTAATGGAAATGTATGTCTGTTCTCTCCAGATCGGGAAGACCAGTCTATTCTTTGCACGTAAGTTGACATTACTCTTAAGAAAATGGTCTTGGCATGTAAAATCTGTTAGAATCACATAATCTGCTGCAGCCAATAGATGTCATTTCTTTATGAAAGATTAACAACAAATAGGTCCAAGTTGCTTCTGTTAAAGTGAGAGCAGAGCATGTTTTTTCAAACTCAGAAGTAAAGTCTCATCAGAAGAGTGAAATCTTGAGAATATAACCATTTGGCTGCCTTTGTGACAAATTAAAATTTTCTCAAATGATGTGGTTGGATAGCTCGTAATCCTGTATATTTTTCCATACATAGAGGAGAGTCTGGTGCTGGAAAGACAGAAAATACCAAGAAGGTGATCCAATATCTGGCTCATGTAGCCTCTTCTCACAAGACCAAGAAAGACCAGGTCAGTATTACCTTTTGTAGTCATTTTCCCTTTTATAAACTGTTGTTGTTCCACTATGCACATCGCTCTAGATATAGGTAGGTCTAAAAGTGGTTTCGAAAAGGAATAGTGTTTCATCTTTATCAAATAAATATTTTAATTTGCATTTTAGATTAACAAATGCTTTTTATTGCAGACAATTTGTGTATGAAAGAATCTAGACAGCATTTTTTCAGTCGATTGTTGAACTCTACTAGAGCTAATTTCACTCGTAATACATTTTTTTACGGTTAATTTGATAATCTTGCATAGCCAACGTGAGTCAAATAGCCCTGAGGTACGACTTCATACTTTGTAAAACTCACAATAACATTGAACAGTATTTCTGACTGTAAAACTGCAATAGTCTTATCTTCACTGCCTTTGTGTGATGGATTATCCAGCTGGAGTTGATCAAAACCAATGTCTATATTTGTTGAGGTTGTATTTTTCTCTCCATCAACAGAGCAGCTCGGTCCTGTCACATGTGAGTTGAGTCTACATTAAGCTTCACCCTGTTCTTCCCCCTCTCTCACCTCTGTCCCTCGCTCGCTCTGTGTCGGACCGCTTCGCTTCAGGATTGTCTTGTTCAGGGCAGAGGTCACATGTCATAGCCAGTCAATAGGAAGTGGGGAGGAAGTTTATTGGCAGATCAGAGGCATCTCTACGCATATCCTCACAAATTCAGCCAGACAATGCAGAAATGAAAAAGAAAAAAAAATTGTCTGGTTGAATTGTTTTGTGTGCTAATCAGTTTGTTGCTAAAATGCTTATATTGCTGGTATTATAAAAGAAGATGTCCAGACTTTATTTTATCTCATCTCATAAAAGGCTCATGGATTGTTTAGATTGCATACATTACTTGTTACATAATTGTCAGATGCAGTTTTTTACGCTAACTTCTAAATAACAATAGGGCCAATTAAATGCTTTTTGGGCAAAAATAAGTAGTTGTGGATATCTCAAAAGTCATGTATGCTTTGCATAACTGGGAATACAGAAGGCTGACTTGAAAATAAGAAGACTGCACATAAATGGCCTGAAGTGGAATATTTTATTGGGATACTGGTGGTTTCCTGTAAATGTTTTTTCCTAGCAGATATTGATTTCAGGGAGGGAAAAAAATGTCCTCTTATATTAATGACCACTGGGCTAGCTCATGTCCAAATGCCGCAAAGGTCCATGGTTTCGTGCAAACCAGTGGGGCTTGATGGCTTGCACACAGATGTAAACATTAGTTTTTCTGGTTCCTATTCGTTCCCTGGGCGTCTTTTGGTGACAGGTGATGGGTTCCTGGTGTTTGGGCACTAACAAGTTCAGTGTTGGGACCTGCTTGGACTGTGTTGTTTGTCTCGTGGTATTCCTGTTTGATGCTTGTTTTTAAGTTTGTCACTTGTTGTTTTCCCACGTATTTAGAGTAAGTATGTTATAATTTCTACAATGACAAATATAAGTTTTGATCACTCATTCATATTAAATTATAACTGATATACAGAAATCAATTGGTGATTTATGTAGGTAACACTGATCATTTCATCTTTTGTCCGTTGCACCAGGGTGAGCTGGAGAAGCAGCTGCTGCAAGCTAACCCCATTCTGGAAGCCTTTGGAAATGCAAAAACTGTCAAAAACGACAACTCCTCTCGATTTGTAAGACAGACTTTCAGATCATATCTGTTGAATAGTGTGTACTTTTGTTCAGTGTCATAACGGGGTCTGATTCTTTTCAGGGAAAATTCATCAGAATCAACTTTGACGTCAACGGTTACATTGTGGGTGCCAACATTGAAACCTGTATCCTTATAATTGTATAAATTTCTGCATGCAGAGGTGATTGTTGATTACTGTTTAAAGAACCTGAATTAACAATGCAAGCCGATTAACAATGTCTATGGTGTCTAGACAAGACTTTTTAATAACATATATGCATGTAAATACATTAGAAAGTTTCCTTAATACTGTTGCTAGATCTGTTGGAAAAATCCCGAGCTATTCGCCAGGCAAAAGATGAGAGAACTTTCCACATCTTTTACTACATGCTAACGGGAGCTGGAGACAAACTGCGCCGTAAGTGTTGCATCCTTAAAAACATATTTTTGACAGCTGAGCTGTTTAACTGAATTTGACTGCATCTCCTAGATGATCTCCTTCTGGAAAACTACAACAACTACCGTTTCCTCTCCAATGGCAACGTGACCATTCCTGGGCAGCAGGACAAGGACCTCTTTGTGGAGACCATGGAGGCTTTTAGAATCATGGGCATCCCAGAGGAGGAGCAGATCGGTAATGATGACCAGAGCTGTGGTACAGAGTTGTTATGTAGTATCTAACTCTTGATCATATTAACATTATTCTTTCAGGCATGTTGAAGGTGGTGGCTGCTGTGCTGCAGCTTGGAAACATGAACTTCAAGAAGGAGCGTCACACAGACCAGGCATCCATGCCTGATAATACAGGTGGGACAAGAAAAGCAAGGCAAGACCAGGCCTGAAAGAACTGCTGCTTAACTGTTTTTGTTTTTTTTATGTAAAGCAAATAATAAGGGAACATGTTGGGCATACAAACTAGTCCATGCAAGTATAGTATGAGCCTAATAATGTCGCTTTCCTCTCTATTATTTCGTAAAGGGAGCACTTTCATTTGACATAAATTACACTGAACTAAATGCTTCTGCAGATGAACGCTGTAGCACTCAGTTACTCAAATGATTCACTTATGGTATTGGTAATTCTCAAAGTACTCACATACCTCCTCTTTTGAATCTCAGCTGCCCAGAAGGTCTGCCATCTCATGGGTATGAACGTGACTGATTTCACCCGGGCCATCCTCACTCCCAGGATCAAAGTGGGCCGGGACTACGTGCAGAAGGCGCAGACTCAGGAGCAGGCAGAGTTTGCTGTGGAGGCTCTAGCCAAAGCCACCTATGAGAGGATGTTCCGCTGGCTTGTCATGAGGATCAATAAAGCACTGGACAAGACCAAGAGACAAGGTGCCTCTTTTATTGGCATCCTGGACATCGCTGGGTTTGAGATCTTTGAGGTTAGCAACTTGGATGGTACAATGTAAATTTACTGCAGTACCAGCAACCACAATAAGACTTCAGTTTTAAAAAGAGTGCCTTTGAGTCAATTAGTCCTCCATCCTTTGTCTCTCCAGCTGAACTCCTTTGAGCAGCTTTGTATCAACTACACCAATGAGAAGCTGCAGCAGCTCTTCAACCACACCATGTTCATCCTGGAGCAGGAGGAGTACCAGCGTGAGGGCATCGAGTGGAGCTTTATTGACTTTGGCCTGGACCTGCAGCCCTGCATTGACCTCATCGAGAAGCCTGTGAGTTTAATAGTTTATCAAACCATTTGTGGCTTACTTCCTAATAAACTTGGTTAAGTACCCATTCCGGGTAGTGTACACTCAAGTGGTTACAGAGAATTGAGGAAAAACTCACTTTTTTCAGGCTAGCCCACCTGGTATCCTGGCTCTTTTGGATGAGGAGTGCTGGTTCCCCAAAGCTACAGACAAGAGCTTTGTAGAGAAGGTCCTTCAGGAACAAGGCACACACCCCAAGTTCTTCAAACCCAAGAAACTGAAGGACGAGGCTGACTTCTGTATCATCCATTATGCTGGAAAGGTACATTAGTTAATCTACAAATGATATATCATATTTTAAGACACATTATGACTTGACAGTTTGATTTGTTTAGGTGGACTACAAAGCAGATGAGTGGCTGATGAAGAACATGGACCCACTGAATGACAATGTGGCTACACTGCTGAACCAGTCTACTGACAGATTTGTGGCAGAGTTGTGGAAAGATGGTGGGTTAAACTTGAAGCTTTGGTATTGTACAAACACCCCTTAACATTCATTTGGGATTTTATTTATTTCTCTTCATATTGTTCTTTGGTTGCGGACCTTTGTTCTCACCTTTTCTTTCATCCATGATTTCCTTTGTTTGGCCCCATTTTGTCTGTCATTCCTTTTTGACTGGGTCTCAGAGGTGCAAAATTGTCAGAGAGCCTATTTTTATCAGCGCTTTCCCATTCTCCACTCAGACTCAGGTGACATGACTTCTTTTTCTTTTGATTTGCTTAAATCTACCACATCTTTCTGTGGCATCCTTCTGTTTTCAGTTGAGTGTCTACTTTAACTTCTTGGCTTTTGTCATTGAACTCTGCTCTCTCCTTCTGTGATAGTGTTGTGTGGGACCCCTGGTGTTGCTCATGGGTACTGCGGAAATGGGTATAAATTGCATGGGTTTGGTGTGGTTTGCCACAAAATACATGCCCACTGCAAGTTTGACACACAGACAAATGATACATTACAACAGCTCTACAGTCCATTCACAAACTGCTTTCTGCATCAAGTTTGTTTTTGGTTTTGGGTGTGTCTCATTCCTCTTAATTACAGTACCTTTTCCTGTTACTGTGCAAACTTTAACATTGCAAAAAAGTGTTTTTTTTTTTTTAGTTTTTTTTTTTACTGTGTTTCACCCCAAAAGGAGTGGGACATATAGGCCATACTCATCTATCCTGTAATTTGTGTTTTTTTTAAGTTTTTTCCAAAAGTATTGCTCCTTATTTGCATAAAGTGAATGTCTTATCAACACTTAAGCTTGTCTGAGCTTGAATAACTAGATGTAGTTCTATGGAAAAGTCTGTTTTTGGAGACTGACCCACAGATAAGCAAAATGCATGGTTTGACTAGTGTTCTGTTCCTTTTAAAATACATGGATCGTAACTAAATTAAACGTTATTTAATTTTTTTTCTTAAATGATCAAGTTGTAGTTCAAAAAACAAGAGAAATGAGACGTACCCATCATTGTGCCTCTCCACGCTTCACCTGCATTTGCTCCATTTTGTTTTTTGCCTTTTTCACTTGTGTTGGTTCATGTTTATTTGACAGCGTTCCTGTACATGCATACTGCCTAGGCGTTGGGTTTGAATTTGCATGGATATGTGATGACTTGTATTATATTTCGCCTAAAATCTTCTCTTTCCTCCAGTGGATCGCATTGTTGGATTGGATAAAGTGTCCGGCATGTCCGAGATGCCCGGTGCCTTCAAGACTCGCAAGGGAATGTTTCGCACTGTGGGCCAGCTGTACAAAGAGCAGCTGTCCAAACTCATGGCCACTCTGAGGAACACCAACCCCAACTTTGTCCGCTGCATCATTCCGAACCATGAGAAAAAGGTAAAAGAGCGTGTTGTTGACTAAAGTCGAATTATGACATTTACTTAAATATTTGTTCGTCCTTAGGCTGGTAAACTAGACCCCCACCTTGTCCTGGACCAACTGAGGTGTAATGGTGTGTTAGAAGGTATTCGTATCTGCAGACAGGGTTTCCCCAACCGCATCGTCTTCCAGGAGTTTAGACAGAGGTAAAAAATTACTCTAGGGATTGCTAATACTCATGCTAGCATATAGTCTGACAATTGTGCTCATTTGCAGGTATGAGATCCTCACTCCCAATGCTATTCCCAAGGGCTTCATGGATGGAAAGCAGGCCTGTGTGCTCATGGTAAGATATTTTCAAAACATAAGTTGCATTACTGTTTTGTGACCTATATAAACATCTCAATGCACAAATAGTTTGTACAAGAAAAGGTATAAAAAGGAAGTGCTTGAATGACTGTGCACAGATCAAAAGCCTGGAGCTGGACCCAAACTTGTACCGTATCGGTCAAAGCAAAGTGTTCTTCAGAGCTGGAGTTCTGGCTCACCTGGAAGAGGAGAGGGACATGAAAATCACAGACATCATCATCAGCTTCCAAGCTTGGTGCAGGGGTTATGTGGCCCGCAAGTAAATATACAACTGACTTAAACTGAACAGGTTATCAGTTTTGATCTAGATCTGTTAATTAATGTGTTCTGTATTGCAGGGCCTTTGCCAAGAGACAGCAGCAGCTTACTGCAATGAAAGTCATCCAGAGGAACTGCGCTGCTTACCTCAAACTAAGGAACTGGCAGTGGTGGAGGCTCTTCACTAAAGTAAGATATGAAAGAAAAACCTTTTAAAATGCACTTAAGATGCTGGCACCATTTTAATGTTTTTATTTATTAGGACAATGTAATACATACAGTAACAAAAATTTGTTAATCAGATTTTAACACTAAAACACTAGACTGTATTTTGTCTTGAGTCATACTGAGTTGCATCTGCAAGTGCATGTAGGGTATTCATGAACATACTCATGTGTTCAGGTGAAACCTCTGCTCCAAGTGAGTCGACAGGAGGAGGAGATGCAAGCTAAAGATGAAGAGCTGCATAAGGTTAAGGAGAAGTTTGTCTATGCAGAGCAGCAACTGAAAGAGATGGAGGACAAGCAGAGGCAGGTAATAAACTGACCATTCACATGTGTTAAATATTGTGATTATTTTAGGATGAGATTTTGGACTATGCATTGCATTGTTTTCACAGATAAATGCTGAGAAAATGGCTCTTCAAGAGCAGCTTCAGGCAGAAACAGAGCTGTGTGCTGAAGCAGAGGAGATGAGAGCCCGACTGGCTGCAAAGAAACAGGAGTTGGAGGAGATCCTTCATGACCTGGAGGCCCGTGTGGAGGAGGAGGAGGAGAGGGCTTCTCAGTTGACAACAGAGAAGAAGAAAATGCAGCAGAACATTTCTGTGAGTATTTGGAGCATAGATGGAATCAATGATTACTTCTGTTTAAAGCCAAACTCATGCAGGAGAGTGTGCTTCTAGGACTTGGAGCAGCAACTGGATGAAGAGGAAGCAGCCAGACAGAAGCTGCAGCTGGATAAAGTCACTCTGGAAGCCAAGATGAAGAAGATTGAAGATGATGTGATGGTTCTAGAGGATCAAAACACCAAACTTAACAAGGTTAGAATTGACAATCTTCACTCTATCCACCTTAATATAGAGATAAAAGGAATATATGATCAAATGTCCAAACACATCCACCCTTATAGGAGAAGAAAATGCTCGAAGAGAGGATCTCTGAGTTCACCACAAACCTGGCAGAAGAGGAGGAAAAGTCAAAGAGTCTTCAGAAACTCAAGACCAAACACGAGGCCATGATCACAGACTTGGAGGGTGAGAGAATTATCAAGTCCTGAATTTTTGCATTTATGCTTTTTTTAAGGCATTCCTAACTTGTACCCTTTTTTTTTTTTTTTCATTTCAGACCGCCTGCGCAGAGAAGAGAAGCAGCGCCAGGAGCTGGAGAAGAACAGACGTAAACTTGAGGGAGACTTTACTGAGGTCCACGACCAGATTGCAGAACTGCAGGCCCAGATCGCTGAGCTCAGGGCTCAACTGGCAAAGAAGGAGGAGGAACTGCAGGCTGCCCTTGCCAGGTATGTTACCCCTCAAAAATAAACAACAACTATTAGCATTAAAGTTCTAATTAAATTATATGTTTTGAAACTAAGGATTGAAGAAGAGGCTGCTCAGAAAAACATGGCCCAGAAAAAGATCCGCGAACTGGAGGCTCAGCTGACAGAGCTGCAGGAGGATCTGGAGCTGGAGAGACAGGCTCGGGCCAAAGCCGAAAAGCACCGCAGAGACCTGGGGGAGGAACTCGAGGCCCTCAAGACTGAACTAGAGGACACGCTGGACTCCACTGCAGCCCAACAAGAACTCAGGTACACAGAGTGGGGCATACTGTATGTGAACATTTGAATTATAGTATAAATTTAATGTAGTGCTCATTAAAATGGCTTAGTTACTCATAAATAAAATACAGGATTTCATTTATGCACATATGGTTATTTAACAGGCTAGTTTAGTAAGATTTTGTGTTTATTTTCTTAGGACCAAACGTGAGACTGAGGTGGCTCAACTAAAAAAGACCCTAGACGAGGAGGCAAAGGTTCATGAACAACTGCTGGGCGAGATGAGGCAAAAACATGCTCAGGCCTTTGATGAACTCAACGAGCAGCTTGAGCAAGCAAAGAGGGTAAACTGCTTTTTCACTACTTTACTTTTCAAAAATTATTACTCATTGTAACAATAATTGATAAATGTGTTGTCCCCTTTAGAACAAAGTGTCTGTGGAGAAGGCCAAGCAGGCTCTAGAGTCTGAGAGGAATGAACTTGCAATCGAGCTGCAGACGCTGATGCAGGGCAAAGGAGAATCTGAGCACCGCAGGAAGAAGGCTGAGGCCCAAGTCCAAGAGCTGCAGCTCAAGTACACTGAGAGTGAGCGCAACCGAGTGGAGCTGGCTGAGAAAGTGGCCAAAATGCAGGTAATGAATTATGTCTACTTTATAAGATCTATGAAGATGTCTGAGGTGTTCTGCCTCTAATTGCTGATCTGTTCATGCTGTGTCCATAGGCAGAACTAGATAATGTCAACACTTTGCTGAGTGATGTGGAGGGAAAGTCCATAAAAGCGACCAAAGACTGCTCTGCTGTGGAGTCCCAGCTGCAGGATGTCCAGGTACATTCAACAAATCCGTATTTGTTTCTGTAGAGTTTTGCCAGTAACTAGTGGTCTGACAAAAACATATTTTATCTGATGTCTGGGATCCAAGCATGTCTATATCTTGACCATTTAAACAGGAAGTGCTTCAAGAGGAGACCCGTCAGAAGTTGTCCCTGGGCACTCGTCTGCGGCAACTGGAGGAGGAACAGAACAACCTGAAGGAACAGCTGGAGGAGGAAGAGGAGGCCAAGAAGAACGTGGAGAAGCAGCTGCTCACAGCTCAGGCCCAGGTACACAGTTGTTTAACTATAATGATGATCTCGTACTTGCAGAATGTTAATGATACTGCTTGTCTATAGCTTGCTGATTTGAAGAAAAAGCTGGAGCAAGATGCCAATAGTCTGGAGTCTACTGAAGAGGCAAAGAAGAGGTACCAGAGGGACCTGGAGACCGCAAATCAGCGCCTGGAAGAGAAATGTGCTGCTTTTGAGAAACTGGACAAGACCAAAACTCGCCTTCAGCAAGAGCTGGATGACATGCTGGTGGACCAGGACCACCTGAGGCAGATTGTCTCCAACCTGGAGAAGAAACAGAAGAAGTTCGACCAGGTAATGCAGTTTTAGATAGAATTTTAATAGAAGATATTTTGTAATGTAATATTAATCTAGTCTATTCTGTTTTTAGATGCTTGCAGAGGAGAAGAACATCTCTGCCCGTTATGCAGAAGAACGTGACCGTGCTGAGGCAGAGGCCCGTGAGAAGGAAACCAGAGCTCTGGCTTTAACTCGAGATCTGGAGTCGTTGATGGACCTGAAAGAAGAACTGGACCGCAGCAACAAACAGCTCAGAGCAGAGATGGAGGATCTAGTGTCCTCAAAGGATGATGTTGGCAAGAATGTAAGACTTTTCTTCATTTCATAATCTTTTGCAAACTACGTGATTTGAAATGGTGGATGCTAAATTTCTCTGATCATGGTGTATTCAGTTCATTTGTTCTGAGACTTTAGCATTTTATTTTCTTCATTTTCATAAGTCTCATTGTGTTTTTTATATTGTCAGGTGCATGAGCTGGAGAAGTCCAAGCGCACTCTGGAGCAGCAGCTGGAGGAGATGAAGACTCAGCTGGAGGAGCTGGAGGATGAGCTCCAGGCCACTGAGGACGCCAAACTGAGACTGGAGGTCAACATGCAGGCCATGAAGGCTCAGTATGAGAGGGACTTGGCAGGACGTGATGAGATGGGAGAGGAGAAGAAGAGGGCTCTGGTCAAACAGGTGATGAAAGACTATAATTGGTTGCATCAGCAACATGTGTATATGTATGTCTCCATGTTTCTATGTAAAGTATACAGTTTTTACTAAGTAAAATGTAGAATTCACTTGTCTTCCCTTTCTTTTTTATTGACCTATGCTTTATAATGCCCTGTATTGTCCAGGTGAGAGAGATGGAACTGGAGCTGGAGGATGAAAGGAAACAGCGCTCTGCAGCTGTGGCCGCTCGAAAAAAAATGGAGCTGGATCTAAAGGAGCTGGAGGCTGCCATCGAAACGGCTAACAAGAACAGAGATGAAGCCCTCAAACAGCTCAAGAAACTGCAGGTCTGTGTCGGTGCAGTCACAGTCAAAATACTTTATGAGAGATTTGCATTGGTTTGGTTATGATCAATGTCCTCCCATCAGGCCCAAATGAAAGATCTGATGAGGGAGCTGGAGGACACCCGCATGTCCAGAGAGGAGATCCTTGCCCAGAGCAAAGAGACTGAGAAGAAGCTGAAGAGCATGGAGGCCGAGATGATCCAGATGCAGGAGGTAATTTCTCTGTACATTACACTCTGAATTTTAGATCATTTTGAATGTCGTAACTGATATTACATCTGACCTTGTACTGTAACTTTTGTAGGAGCTGGCCTCTGCAGAAAGAGTGAAGAGGCAGGCCCAACAGGAAAGGGACGAGCTCCAGGATGAAATTAACAACCAGGCTGCTAAGAAGTTAGTTCTTTTTTTTACTACTCACTCTTTGCTTTGACATACCTTTAGAAGAAAATGGTTATGCATCCTGCATGTTCTGCATCTCTCAAATCTGTTTCTTCCCTGTGCTGTCAGTGCGCAGGCAGCCGAGGAGAGGAGGCGTCTGGAGGCTCGTATCGCTCAGCTGGAGGAAGAGCTTGAGGAGGAGCAATGCAACACCGAGCTGGTCAATGACAGGCTCAAGAAAGCAATGCTTCAGGTCTGCTCATTGATCCACCACAAGTCCGATTTGTTCTTGTCTGTGTGATTGCAAAATATTAAAGGTAGCTTCTGTGTAGACTGATCAGATGAACGTGGAGTTGACAGCAGAGCGCAGCACTTGTCAGCGTGTGGAGGGGGCACGGGCCCAACTCGAACGCCAGAATAAGGAGTTGAAATTGAAACTTCAGGAGTTGGAGGGGACAGTCAAGTCAAAGTACAAGGCCAACATGGCTGCTTTGGAGGCTAAGATCGCCCAGCTAGAGGAGCAACTTGACATCGAGACCAGGTACAATCCAAGAATTCTAGTGTTACCATAGAACAGTATTTTATTTGCAAAACAAAGGCTTACACAAGGAGATCTTAGTTCAGTCCACACCATGTAAAGATATGATCATAACTGAACTCCGATTACTTTTTACTCAGAGAGAGGCAGGCAGCCACAAAGCTTGTGAGACGCACCGAGAAGAAGATGAAGGAGGTGATTCTGCAGGTGGATGATGAGAGGCGCAACTCGGAGCAGTACAAAGACCAGGTAAGATATTTGAATGGTGTCTTCTCAGAAGTCAAATCTACTATCAGAAAAGCTGCAACAACATTATGAGATGGATATTTGTGTTCTGTTTTCTGTTTGTACCCCTCAACCTAAACTACCCTCTTTGTATTTCAGGCTGACAAGTTGAACTCTCGCATGAAGCAGCTGAAGCGTCAGCTGGAAGAGGCCGAAGAGGAGGCCCAGAGAGCCAACGCCAACCGACGGAAACTGCAAAGGGAGCTTGAGGATGCCACGGAGTCTGCAGACGCCATGAACCGTGAGGTGACCAGCCTCAAAAACAAGCTTAGGTAAATGTCCACTGTAGTATTTTACTTATATACAAAAGTATACTCTGCACTCTTAGCCTTTTTCACCAATATTTATATCACCGCCCATTTTTAAACAAGTATAATGTGCATAACTAAGACATAGATTTTGATTTGATTTTCAGGCGTGGAGACCTTCCCACCTTTGGTGTGCGCCGTACTATTCGCACTGGCATAGAGAGTGATGAGGAGAGCGAAGCTAAAAGCGAGACCCCTGAGCCCAAGCCTGAGTGAAACGGCGCCATCTATAATCCACACAACTGAACTGCATTATAAATGAACATTACTGTACAAGCTCATAAGAAAAGAAGATATCATTAAACTAGTGTCTGGGATCTTTCCCTGGAAATCTATACCTGTGAGCATCTGTCACCTTAGACAATCTATGCATACACCACACACTTTCATTACAGAGACTCCAGCACACAGGGACAATCATTACACAACATGATACCAATACTTCCAAGACTTTAGCTTGTCTATTTGCTCGACTTTTCATTTTCTGGGAAAAGTAATTATACTATTTTTATAAGGAACCTTGCAATTATGAGTAGTCTGAACTATCTATTTTTCTAATTTGAAGAAGGTTAAAGAAAGAAGACAGATTTCCTGGAAGGGGACCAAAGTAATATCTCAAAATAGATTTGTATTTTAAAGTTTTTATAATGGTTAAAAATGGAAGAGCTTTTTTTTCTTGCTCCTGCTCCTCGCCTCAGATTATTATGAAGGTTTATACGCTGAAATGTATTCTTAACTTAGCTGCACTCGCTTTTCAGCCTATTATATGCACCTATGGAAACATTTTTGAGGCCGAATGAAGACTGTTGACTGTGCTGAATTTAATAATTTTGCACTGAGATAAAAAAAAAAAATCCATCTAAACCACTGCCATTTACATGTTTCCTATGTCAATTCTCACTATGGCCTTAACATGTGGCTACATTCCACTGGGCAGAAATGTTTGGCTGTGTGTTTTTCTGGACATGAATTGATTTGTATGTTTATCAGTGTTTATTGTTTAGGTTAAAGGTTAAAGGTGAATGGGAGGTGGTGGAGGGTAGACTCTGACTCACTGCACACTGTATTCCCAGGGCACGCTTGGCGAGAAATGCGATTTTGTCATAGGCCAAAGGCACATTTAAAATAACATTCACTGTAAGACATTTTTTTATGAAGGGGAAAAACAAGCTGTATCCCCAAGATGCTTTTGGCTCACACTGCTGGGAAGTGAGAGGAAATGTGTTATTCAAAACAGCTCACTCTTTCGCACTTAAAGGAATATATGGAAAAATATGCATCTTCTCCTTTCTGTGTCTGTCTGCTCTTGGAATCAAAATCCTACTGTGTTATAACGATTAAAGAGGCTTTCGAAACTGCTTCAAGTGCCACGTTTTTTTTTCCTGTGTGCATGTTGTGTTAATTAATTGTAGGCAGTAGAGGGCAGTCAAGGCTTTGGATGTAGAGCCTTGGCTTGCTCAATCCAGTTCCTTTGTAGGGCAAAGTTGTAAACAAAGATGGGGACTCTGGTAAGAACTTTTATTACTCCTTTAAACAGTTCAAATAATCCTGTTTTAGATTACATCATAGCACTTTGTCCTGTATTTATATAATCCTATATTTTAATTGAAAGATTGTGGAACCCTTACCAATATATTTTTATAATTTGCTGTTCCCTTGATATGTGGTCCTATATTTAAAAAAAATAAATTAAAAATAGGCAAATTAATGGAGTGCCTGCCTGTAGGTCTATTGGCTGCTTTTTCTCAGTGTGAAATCACAGCTTTCTAGAATCGCCCACCAATATAATTGTGTGAGCCATCGGGGGTAATCAAATGTTATATATTACATTTAACAAGAATTATCAAAAATAGGCCTGATGCAATGTTGACAATTATTGTACTAAAGTGATACGCTCCTTCATTGGTTGTTGTGGTGTCCTCCCAAAGAGCTGATTTGTGAGGATTTTTATATAACAGTAATTGGATGTTTTACCCAAATTAGTAGAAATACCTAAACACAAAAAAAAAGTTTTAAGTGTGGGCGTTTTTTTGGTGTGTGTTGTCGGCAGCCAATCAGAAATATAAATGGCCCATGCTGGGCGGGGTTTGTGAGGCATACGCGTTTACGACTTTGCCGTGGTTAAGTTAAACAGGAACCGGCCGGTTTGAAATCCGTGTTCAAAGACGGGTCCGCTCTCCTTGGCATCACATCAGTCTCTTTTTTTTTAACTTTTTTTTTTTTTAACGCTTAACCAGTTTTTACCAGAGCAATGTCTCTTGAAAGTGAAGTTAGAAGACATCTTAAATTTCAGCGGCTTTAGAGCTCCAGCTTCATTTTTGGGGGGAATTTGGAACCACATGCTTTCAAAGTAAGAAGAACATTAGGGACAGGACTACTTCTCTGCCTCCATGGAGATATTATTCATTTGCCAGGAACGTACCACAGTGCGGTATTAAATGTATCCATCTCAATGGGAAACGAGCAGGTGACTGTAACAGGTGAAGTTACAGGTCTTTGCAGTAAACACACTTGCTTACTTCACTGAATACATCCGAGATAGATGCGTTTAATGCCGTAGGTTCACAGTAACAGGCCGCGCAAAACGAAAATATCTCCAAGCAGGTGACGGAACTTCAACAGAAAAGTTAGGGTTACATTATATTAGTCACAGGATATCAAGACTTACAAATAGACTAGCCTAACAAATGACACCACTGAAAATAAGTTACCTGACCAGCCAAACCCACACGCTTTGACAATATAGAAGAGACTGGTTAGTCTGACAAATTTGAAGACTACACATGATGGCCTGTTGTCATGTGTTGAGACTTTGTTTCTTTTGTGTGCAGTATATGTTACAACTCACAAATTTGATGCTGCACGAGTTTCACACGAGGCTAAGGCACTTTCTTAATCAGCAACAGAACGTGTGTGGTTAGACCTGTGACTGACTCACAAATGAATAGCATACTGTTGATCAGGTGACCTGCAAGTTTAGTCCCTCAGGACCTTTGCAGAGTTGTGCATTTAATAACAATCTTCATCCAGGGCTTGGTGCATGCTGATAGCATTAACAATTTTAATAGCCTAAATATATATATATTTTTTTATTGTAGGTTTTTCTGTTTGTTGGTTTGAAAGTGACAAGACTGCATTTTTTGTACTGAAGACTATCCGAACTATGGAATTAGCATTGGTAAGTTTGACTTTTACTCTGAAGTCATAAATCTTGGTTGCCTTTTAGTATGGTGTTATGGTGTTATCTGTTCAAGACAACACCAGTTTGATAGATAACCTGTTTTAGGATTCTCCTTTTCATGTGTATCACAGGTAGGAGTTGTAATGCAACTTCAAAGTCGAAAAGTCAAAGTATAACTGGGTTGTTAATTATATAATGCACTTATGTAATGTAATCAACATCATAAGAAACCTAAATAAATATAGCTCACAAAGACGCCATGCCTTTTTTATTTAATAGCAGCAATACCCCAGGCAAACTCAAAATAATGTACATCAATTCACTATACCACTAATTATAAACGTTAGTAAAACTCAAGGGTAAAATTAATATACTCTAACTGCAGTTGACTTTTCTGTTTTCTTCATGTCTCTGTGCAGGCCCATCCTGCTCTCAAAGCCTTCATGTGTGGCTCCCTTAGTGGGACATGCTCCACACTGCTGTTCCAGCCCCTGGACCTGGTGAAGACCCGCCTGCAGACCCTACAGATCGGTGTGCAGCAAGGGTTAGTCAGCATGTCCTCATCTCACACTCAAAACAAATACTCTCAACACTGGTGTCAATGTGGGTCCAGTGCAATCTCTGAAATGCCAATAAGCCACATATTGAATCAACTGAATTGATTGTGTTTGTCCTGCAGCACATCCAGAGTTGGCATGGTGACAGTGTTTCTGAACGTTGTGCGCACAGAGAAGCTCCTCGGATTGTGGAAAGGGGTTTCCCCAGTGAGTGTTTTTACAGGGTTTTACACTGAATACAGCAGGTATTTCAATTCAGAAACCTAGATAAATGGACAGTTATTGTTCCTTTATTATTATCCTTAAACCAAGGAGGCTGTAATCTGTTAGCAAGATGATAAAGTACATCACAACAGAGACAAAAGACTGTAACAATTAATTTTGTAGTTAATGCATTTATTTTGTTAAACCGCTGTGATTTCAATTAATGTTTTATTATTGCAGTCATTTGCGCGGACCATCCCAGGTGTGGGCATTTACTTCAGTACATACTTCACCCTGAAGCAGCACTTTGTCCAGGGGCAAAGCCCTGGGGCCATGGAGGCGGTACTGCTGGGAGGAGGGGCCCGCAGTGTGGCTGGGGTCATCATGCTGCCTGTCACCGTCATCAAGACACGATTCGAAGTTGGACTTTTTTCTGTAAAAAGTATTAATTACAGTGGTGTTTATGGTCTTTGTCTAAGGCTGCTATCGTTGTTCTAGTGTGGCCGGTACAGTTATGGAAGTGTAGTAGGGGCCCTCCGAAGTGTGTGTCGGACAGAAGGTCCAGGTGCTCTCTTTTCTGGACTATGGGCCACGCTCCTCAGAGACGTCCCCTTCTCTGGGATCTACGTCATGTTCTACAGTCAGACCAAAGCGGCACTGCCCACAGGTGAGCAGGTCCTGGAAAAACTGGATATGCAAATGAATCCGAGTTAGTTCAGTGTCTAATAATGCTTATACTGGAAATCCATGTACCACAATGACATAAGATGATGTGTTTGACACCTCATAGGCTAACTTTAAACTAAGCACATAGTTGTGCAAGTGATGTCATGCTTGTTTTCTGAATCTGTATTTCCACAAATGTTGATATTCTTTTTCTTCTTTAATTATTTGACACAATTATAAGCAGAACCAGAACACCATTATATTGATGCTGAATACCAGTGAAACAATAATTAATGGGACCAACACTTGTTGGGGCAAGCGAATATTAAATGAAAATAAAATCCCTGTATTCAGGTCTTACTTGCACCTGGTCCATCAAACGTGAGGGTGTTTGCTGATTTCACTTAAATCTTGTGTTTTTTTGTTTTATTTGTTTTTTTGTTTTCAGAAATCAGCCTGTCTGTCTCTGCCCCTGTGGCTAATTTTGGCTGTGGTGTTGTGGCTGGTGTGTTGGCTTCTCTGATCACTCAGCCTGCAGATGTGGTCAAAACACAAGTGCAAGTCAACCCACAGCTCCGGACACCACAGGCCATTACATTCATCTATACGGTATCTTACATTTTTAAGATTAATATTGTGATTTTTAATTTGTGTCCAAATGGCAGCAAACATATTGAGACCTAGTTGTCCTATTCTGTATAGGAACATGGTTTGCAGGGCTTCTTCCGAGGTGCGGTGCCAAGGCTTCTCAGGAGGACTATGATGGCGGCGATGGCTTGGACTGTCTATGAGCAAATGATGGCACGTTTTGGACTTAAATCCTGAGAAAGAACCATCAAGAAACCATAACAAGTCAAGTCACTGAAAGATCTGACCAAACATGATGGTCAGCTATTAAATACCATGAACTGCACTGTACTGTTACATGGAGCGAGGCCTTTGTTTTGTACTTTCTACCAAATCAGTAGTTAAATATTAGAATTGTCCCTAAACATTTATTAACATTTTGAATAACGACTCAAATATTATGTTATGAAAACTGCACAATGTTATTTTACTTTTTTAAGTAGTCTGACCTGCGGACTTGTGAGTACATTTAGTACAGTATAGGTATTAGGCTCTTGTCGCTCAAAAACTGAAATTGCCTCTTGATTCAAATTCATTGTAAATGACCTCCATGGATCTTTCACATTGCACTTTAACTCATGGACTATTCCTTTTGAGTGTCACTTAGTTTTTACTTTTTGTTGTTCATTTGTCCACTAATCTAATGTAAGTATTTTTAACATTGTTCTGTTGTTTTTATTTAAATAATTAAAAAATAATGTGTGCTCTCTTTTTGTGTATAACAGTAAATTATTGAGTTAACATGTTTTCTTTACCTGGTAGGCCATGTGAATCTAGGCCTGGAAGGGCAGGCTACATTGGTTGTAGACTGTGACCCAGTCTTCCAACATTATTACATAACTAAGTAGAATAGACTGGATTAGGGCCAGTTGTGAATGAGTGCAAGATGCCGAAAGTTATCAGAAAGTTTCTTTCTGATAAAAGAGACATTAGTCAGCACACAAAAAGATAAGAGGGGTAGGACATGACATTAGAGATCAAGGGAGAATAAACATAAAATGCTCACTTAACTAGGTGTAAAAAAAAGTAATTTGATACAGTTTCATTATGTATAGAAGAATACAGGGATATTATAAAGATGGGTAACAACCAACAGTAGTAACACCTTTTCACTTTTCTTGAATAATTCATAACATATAAGCCTTTTAGCACACGGGTGATCACTGAGTAATATAAATAAACATAAATCGGAATAACAATGCTCCTCTAATCCATGACTTCCACGTGGCATCAATTTCTGCTCATTCGCTTCAAGGTTTCCCAGAAATTTGTAAAACGTCATTGACAAATAGGTTACTCTCAGTTATCCAAATAGCCTAACCATTAATACGCATGTTATAGGCTGATGCCATTTTTTAATTAAACAAACTCTCTTCTGTATTAACGCTGTGCATAATTTCGTTTCAAAACTAATAAATATAGTTTGACATCTTTGTGATGAATGTTGCAACGCCTGTGTCCTGGACGTTTTATCTTGGGTAAATATCATTGCGAAATATTGCGGTCTTTAACCGAGAACTCGACGTCTGGGGAGTTTCTTAATATGGTCTTTCCATCTTCTTTGTCTTAATATGGGATACTCATCCGACCCACTGAGCTGTCCCCTTGTACCCTGTCCTCTGGTAACATCTGCCTCATTTTTGGTACATAACGTCCTCTGGTGGACAAACTGTAGGACGAATGTGGTAAAAATTTTTGAACGTTGATTTGTTTATGGGTTTACCTGGGGAAATTGTTTAACGTTATCAATTTCATCTTGCTCATAGAATTAAATTTAATAGCTAAATAATATATACAAAGCAAATATATTTTTTGGACTAACAATACAACGACCAATCAGAGGTTCGGATTTGGGGTATAAAAGTGACGTCATTTCCGCTGTTCGGTCTCTTTTTCACCGTGTGGTCAGATTTCCATACGGCGTTGTTTCGTGGTGAGTTTTTAAGGCTTTTATTTGACAGTAAACGGTTTCAGTGCGAGAAATTAAAGTCTCGTTCAATCATACACGCATTTAATTACACGATATTCCAATTCACGTGCGTTGGGTAGCCTAACCTTTTAGGTATAATAGCTGACACAATATACATTGCTAATATAGAGCTAACATGCTAAGTGTAGACACGCGGATCGTGGCCTGGCTGCCGCTGAAAGACTCACATGAACATTCTATAAAGTTGTCTTCTCTTTCCTGTTTTCTGACTAGAAACGAAGCAAAAAAATTGCACAGTTCATGTAGGCAATTATTAATGTAGGAGGAAGGTTTCATTCGACAGTCTGACCGCTTCTAAACAAGGTTGTATTGCTGGGTTTCAGATGGCATCACTAAACTATAGGCCAGTCACATTTAATACAGCTAGGGGCAGCTAAAATTAATATTGTGAAAATGTTGATTTTGTTGTAATGAGTTTTTGACTCTAGTAAATGAGAAAAATGACCAGATTAAACACTTGTGGATTTACCTTTTAGATAGTTCATGGTAAAGTAAAATGTAATGAAATGGGAAATCTGACCCTTGCCCCCCTTCTGATAGTATGTCATTACGTTCTAGAGTCTGAAAACCACCAATAAAAATTTAGAAAAATGCAATTTGTCTAATCCCCCTGTGTCATTCATTCTATAGCTCTCCCAATAACTCGTTGCTCAAGGGAAAGCGGTCACGATGTCCGGAGGTCTGGATGTCCTTCAGATGAAGGAGGAGGATGTGCTGAAGTTCCTGGCTGCAGGGACCCATCTGGGAGGTACCAACCTGGACTTCCAGATGGACCAGTATGTCTACAAAAGAAAAAGCGACGGTGCGTGGCCAGAGTGAGACAATGAGTTTAATGTAGATTTTCACTAATGTTGTGGAATTTTATGTTACAGGTGTTTACATCATTAATCTGAAGAAGACTTGGGAAAAGCTTCTGTTGGCTGCTAGAGCCATTGTGGCCATTGAGAACCCAGCAGATGTGTGTGTCATCTCCTCTAGGAACACTGGACAGGTAGGACCACACATGGGCTAAACTTATGCACTCTGTTAAAGCCGGACACCACTGTTGGTGTTCTGGTGTCGGAAGTGTGCTAGAGTGAGCTGGCTGGGTCTTACAGGCACCACAAGGGCTGTCGTCCCATGAGTGGTGTTGTATAAGACATAGCCACATGTCTAGCAATTCTATAAAGGAAATAAGATGTATTTTTTGTTTTTGTAGAGGGCAGTGCTGAAATTTGCTTCTGCCACTGGTGCCACCACATTCCACGGTCGCTTCACCCCAGGAACATTCACCAATCAGATCCAGGCTGCCTTCAGGGAGCCGCGCCTGCTGATTGTGACTGACCCCCGTGCCGACCACCAGCCCCTTACCGAAGCCTCCTATGTGAACATCCCCACCATTGCACTGTGCAACACTGATTCTCCCCTGAGATATGTTGACATTGCCATTCCCTGCAACAACAAGGTGAACACTTACATTAAAACTCATGCACACAGCAAGAGTCTGTGCTGTCCTGTCTGCACAGGTACAAGATGTGTGCTATAAAAATGCCTCACCTTGGTCTGCCTTTCTTTCACTACATGAAAAGAGGGGTTAAATGTTGTGGCTACATATATGCACATACTCATACAGTGACCATTTTAACTGATGGCCCATGTCTTTTACAGGGTCACCACTCTGTTGGTCTGATGTGGTGGATGCTGGCTAGAGAGGTCCTGAGGATGAGGGGTACAATCTCCAGAGAACACCCATGGGAGGTCATGCCCGATCTGTACTTCTACAGGGATCCTGAGGAGGTAAAATAAACATGGTGTGTTAAGCAGAAATTTGGGTGGTTAACTTGATCCTGAATGTCCCTCTGTTTCAGATTGAGAAGGAAGAACAGGCTGCAGCTGAGAAGGCTGTTGGAAAGGAGGAGTTCCAGGGTGAATGGAGTGCTCCTGCTGCGGAGTTTGCCCAGCCTGAAGTGGCTGACTGGTCTGAGGGTGTGGCTGTGCCATCTGTGCCCATTCAGCAGTTCCCTGCCGGTAAGGTCTTAAAATATTTCTATCTCTAGTGTCTGTAGATTGGCGAGGTTTTAATTTTTTTTTTTTACTATCTTTTCATAGCTGCTGCACCTGTCAAGACTGGTGAGGTGTTCTCTGGTTAGTCATATTCGGCATTGTATTTACTGCCTTTTTTTTGTTTTTAACGTGACACTGATTCTTTTCTGCTCTTGCAGAGGATTGGAGCACTCAGCCTGCCACAGAAGACTGGTCAACTGCCCCTACTGCCCAGGCATCCGACTGGGGTGGAGCCACTTCTGACTGGTCTTAAATTACCAATGACAATAAAAGTGTTTTTTACACGCTGACTTGATTCTGGCTTGTGTGTTCCTAATATGAAGGGTTCTTTTTCTACCCAGATGCAATATATAATTTATGGTAAACTAAATTAACTGGATCAGTATTGGCCAAAGGTCAGACCAGTGTGATCCTGGAGAGAATGCACGCAGCTTGTGTAGTGACGGATATTTGGAAAATAATGTAATAAAGCGTTATTCCATGTTCAATAATTGACTTAAAATGCACTGAAATGGACGAAAGGATTAAACGCATAAATGCATGGAGGACATGTGGTGCACATCTCCCGCCTGTAATATACTCCATCCGCCACATTCGCGCGTGTGGGGCAGAGGGGCGTGTCCCTGCGCTGTCATTGGACGAAAGCGGTTCCTTTTCCTTCTCGCCTTCCGCTTTCTTTTCATACGCACACCCAGCCTCTGAATAATGATAATAATGATCAAGATGGCTACTACAGAATCTTCCTTGCGGTAGCTGACCAAATTAATGGAAGCACTTCAGAGGGCTAATTTTAATAGTTAAAGGCCCTCTTCAGCGGCGGGTCCGCGGCAAGAGTCAAACTAGATGGATTAAACCGGGCTGCGGAGATTGAAAAGTCATTGTGTTGCCTGCAGCACTCATTCTGGGGAAGCTAGGCTAGCAGAGCAACGAGCTAGTTGTACTTGTCGACCACCTCTGGTTTGGCTTCCAGAGGACCGTGGCGCTGCCTGTGCTGTGGCCTGTAGTTGGTCGGAAAGTGTCAGATGGCAGAGCCGAGGAAAGTGCCCTTTGTCACCATCTCATCCTTCAACGCCGCACAGCCGACCCTGGAGCCCGGTAAGAAGCGCCGCCGCGAAGATGACGGGGCGGACATCACTTTTGGGAAAGATGGAGGTGGAAGTACCGCGGGCAAAGGGGTAGGAGGTGGAGGGGCTCTTTTTGGGAGCACGGAAGCGGGCGAAACCGGCGAGAGTAAGCCCACTCTGCGCCTCAGCCTGTCCCTGAGCGAGCCGAGTGAACGGGGCTCCGCGGAGTTTAACTACAGCGAGCTGACCAACAACACTCACCCTCAGGTTAGTCCAAACACGGCCCCATGATGTGCAAGAGGGGCCCAACCTGGCACCACACTGAAGGCTGACAGACGGATATGGTGATAAGGGAATAGACAAGCCCTGTTTGTGCAGCCCAATACATAACTAAAAGTTAGGCCATTAGCTGTGCCAAATTCATTTCACCAATAAAATTCAGTGGCCATATGACCAAAGTTTATAACAGCTTTTTTCACTTGGATCCAGCGCACCATAAACAAACATCTTAATGTTAGTAAAATCATTAAGGAAAATCACGTCGGTAATTAACAAAACATGGACGGATGAGTCAGTTCATTTTTAAATACATGATTTGTGGCTATCCTGTGCTGATTTATGAATGAAGTTGATTTATTTATTTTTTTTATTGTTTTACTAATGAGTACCACTAATCCTCTTGATTTTAATTAAGTTAAAAAGACATTGGTGTAAAAAGCCAAAACAATGCTGTAATATTTTGTGTCCCCTTTTATTTATAGCTGTTTCCTCACACAATTGTTTATTTTGCAAATTATAACTTGTGCACTGAAAATTTTATTATTTATCATTTGTAGGTAAAGACAGTTTGCTCAACGGCACCAAAAGGACTGACACCCTCCCTTGACCCCAGTGACCCATTTGCTGATGATGAGAAGGAAAGACTCGAAGTGGAGGAATTGGCCAGGAAGTTTGAGAGCAAATATGCAAGTTTTACTTAACTTTTTTAAAATATGCTTATTTATTTTGTGTATATTGCTGCTGTTATAATGTTTGCCCAAATGTCTTATCTGTGCAGGGAGGCGGAGGTGGAGCCAAAAAGAAGAAAAAGGACCGCATGCAAGATCTTATAGATATTGGTTATGGCTACGATGAGACCGACCCATTCATTGACAATTCTGAAGCTGTGAGTAAAGTATTGTGTTTGTGTGTGAATGTGTATGTATAGACACTGTATTGTACTACATCACTGCTACTATTATATTTTAGGTATTTGTAACTGAAAAGAGTTCATAGTGAGGAGGAGTTGTTATCTCAGTTGTCCTGAACGCTAAAGGCTGGTTGTTGTGGACATTCACACCATGTGTTTGACCTCCTGAGCAAGAAATCTGTTTAGAATTGACAAAGGATATATTTGCCACAATAATAGAGCAAAAAATATTGCTCTTCTGTGTTTGGTCAGTATGATGAGCTGGTCCCTGCCTCTCTCACCACTAAACATGGAGGCTTCTACATCAACACAGGAACCCTGCAGTTCAGAGCTGCTTCTGACTCAGAAGGAGAAGACCCCAACACAGCTGAAAACCACTTTAAGGTAAAGGCTTTGTCTACTGTGTATGTTTTTAATTAGTATGCATCATAAGACATATACATTATCACTTTTATGACTTTAAATATTTATTTACATTTATTTTACCACATTTTATGGGCCCTTTTAAAAGACGAAAGTGTGACTTTGTTTTTGTTGGTGCAGAAAATGAAAGATGGAGAAGAACGGGTAATTAAAAAACGTAGAAAGAAGCAAGATGGTGGTATCCTGGAAGAAAAGAAACCTAAGAAGAATAAAGTACCAAAGTCAGGGTAAGAAACTCATGATTTTTATTACTATATTTTAATAGATAGATTGATTTGTATTTGTTTGTTTGTTTGTTTTTAAATCTTTAGACCTGTGCACTACATACAAAAAACTTACTGCTCAAAAGTGTTTTTGTAAACAGTGAAAGACACCTGTACTTCCTGTGTGGTTGTTTCTTTTGATCCACACTGTAGATCTAGAACACTTGAAAAATCAATTTAAATGCTTTCTTAATGCTTTTTAGACCTTCTTTGTCAAATGATTATCTTTAAAGTCATGTTAGAAACCTGATTGTTTTATTCCCTGTTGTAGAGTGTCCGCTCTGAATGCTCACCGTCCAGAGAAGAAGAAAAGGAAGAAGTTGATGAAGGACTCCCTGCACTTGGCTAACATGCTGCGGCGCTTCAACAGGGAGAAAGAGGAGATGCGCAAAAAGAACCTGGCTGGTGGTCTGCAGCAGAGACCTAACCCTAAACTGCCCCCTCCCAATAGCTCGCTGCTCACCAGTCAATCCAAAACCTCTGGAAACGACTGCAACATGGCCGACCTGACCTCTGACCCTGTGGTGTTGTCACTGCTCGGGACAGCGAACAACGACATCCTACAGGACATGATGGGAGACCTGGACTTTGGGATGCTGGACTCCCCTCACAGTCCGGGCCAAGGAGAGAATGGCTCCTTTGGGACGGGCCACAAGAGCAGAGTGTCTCAGGGCAGCTCCATGACCCCGCCTCCTCTGCCTGGTGGACTGCCTGCTCCGCTGGCAAAACGCATTGAAGACCTTAGAGCGGTACAAATCAGCTATTTGTTTGCTTTCTGAAATGTTACAAGTCTCTGAATCTTTGCAAATCCAAACCAGTCAAAATAGTACATCTTGTCAGCGCAACGGTGAAAAAGTCTCTGTACAGCACACAATCACAAATCGCACAAATTGTTTTAAGCACATTCAAAACATTTATTTTTTTGTTTTGTTGTTGTTGTCGCCACAGGCCTCTAGACAGTTTGATGAAGAGGGCCGAAAGAAGTTTTTCACCTTGGACATGAACAACATTTTATTAGAGTAAGTTGGCACCAGCACATGTGGCAGGTACAGACACACACATACTAACTCATACTTGTGTCCTTCTGTGTGTTTGCCCAGTATTGAACTACAGGTCCAGGAGCAGCCTTCAGAGGTGCGTGCAGCTGTCTATTCCCACCTTGAGGCCTTTGTGCCTTGCAACAAAGAAGCCTTGCTCAAACGACTCAAGAAACTCAGCCTCAACATCCAGGTGAGCAAAGAGCTTTTCCTTTTCAAGGTAGATCATGCAAACTCACACAGGTTAGATTTGAAAGCTGAATGTATATTTTTGTCATTAACATAAAGACTATGTGATCCATATCACTTCAAAACCATCTCTCTCTTTCACAAAAACTCCCAGACATGTTGTCTAGTTGTCTGTAAGTTTTGGTGTAGTAGTATTGTAAAAGAGAGAGCTGTGTGATTTTTCTCTGGTCCTATTGTATGCTCTGTTAAAGATGCATCATGTTAATTGATTTTAAAAATAATTATAACAGTAAAATAAATACTTGGAGATGATTATATGTTATACCATACAGTGCAACATGGAAAGAATCAATAAAAAGTAATAGTGTGAAAGGAATGGTAAGCAGCTGGTGATGTTCCAGGAGATTATAAACAGCGCTCACATCAGGGAGGTTGTATAGATGTGCTGACATGCTCTTCTCTATGTCCTATTTTCTATATTTACCAGTTTGTGCTGTGTTCTGAGTCCCTCCTGAGTCTTCTCTTGTCTCTTAGGACGACCGACTTCGAACTCCTCTGCTCAAACTCAAACTGGCTGTGTGCAGTGTGATGCCAGAGCAGATTGCGCGCTACAATATGGACTGCATCGCCAAAGTGGCAAAGTAAGGATCTCAATGAGTGTCATACATATACATATGTCCCACTGACTGGAGCATGCAGACTGCAGTTAGTTATTGCATGCAGTACATAACACTAGCATTACAGAAGTGTTATGCCATGTTATTACAGCATTACCTCCTTCTAATTCCACTTTAATACAAGATAAAATTTCAAAATCACTGTTGACAATTTGCAATTAGCGTTTATTGGAGGTACTATTGGCAGGTTAGCATAATAATAATGCAAATAAAAATTCTTCACAGTACAACTGCACCAGTTTCCAAACTGCTTTGGTGCTTTTCTTAACAAATTGTCAATCTTTCCAGGCAACAAGAGGAGGGGGAGAGAAATGGCTCCGACGACGATGATGAAGAGAAACCTGGGAAGAGGGTCATGGGTCCACGCAAGAAGTTTGTGTGGGATGATAAACTCAGGTACAATTTACAAGATGGTCCTAAAGGTCCTCTTTGATCATACTTTAAAATAATCTTAAAGTATTAAAGCTTGTGTGTTCCTCCAGGACGCTGCTGTGTAACCTAGTGCGGGTCAAACTCAACTGTTATGAGCTGGAGGGGAAGACCTCTGTGTCTTTGGAGGACTACCTCAAGGGCTTTATGGAGAGCGAGGTGAAGCCTCTGTGGCCCAAAGGCTGGATGCAGGCCAGGTGGATATACAACCTTGAATATATCTTTATTTTTTTATTAATTTTTTTATTTTTATTATTATTTTATTTATACTAATTAATGTACTTAATATAATTAATATACTTAATATCTGCATGTTTTTGACTGAATGTTTTTCCAGAATGCTGTTCAAGGAAAGTATTATGGTGCATGGTCATCTCACAGGCTATGCGTAAGTTCACGGTCATTTATTATATCACATCATTCCATGTTTTCTCCACAGTATGGAGCCAATTTCCAGATATAAAAAACAAACTTGTATTTTCCTCTCCTCAGAGCAAAGAAAAAGGTGGTGTCTACTCCCAAGGCCAAGCCTAAGGTTAGTCTAGTCTCCTGTGGGTGTCACCCTCTGTGGTTCATTAGCAACCAATTAGCAAACATGTAAACACTCTCAGCTACTGTTCTCAGCTGAACAGAAACATTACAGATTTATATACCACAATTTTGCATATTTTGCCATGTCATATTTATCATGTATTAAACTATAATATTATAATATATTATAATATTTATTCTGTATTTAACTTCTTAATGTGCTTCGAAGACTTGGTAATTAATGTAACTCAAAACTATATTTACAACAATAATGTGGACTATTGAGGTGGTTTAAACCATAGGAACAGTTTTGTTAATGCATTTGTCAGGAGTGTATATTTTTTAAACTGTTTTGTGATTAACACAGGAGCCAGCGATATGGACACAACGAGCTACACCTTCAACTGCCCCTACTTCGTTACCAGTTGCCAAGAGACCGCCCCAGTCGCCAGCCGAGCCCATTTGTCTCGACTCTCTGGATGAGGACCTGACATCCCCTTCTCTGGACTCCATCTCCCAGGCCTTAGCCATCCTGGGCAATGCTGCCAAGGGCCTAGCCCAGGGAGAGAGCCCCCCATCCCCTGAAGCCCCCAAACCTCCCAAACCCCCCACCAACCTCCATTCGTCCCCTGTCCTCCAGCAGCACAAGAAGAACTCCGTGAGCAGCACACCTCACTACATGTCTACCTCTACGTCCAGTCCGCTGTCCCGGCCCGCCTCTCTCAGCGCCTCCCCTCAGGCCTCAGTACGGGGGCCTGGAGTGGACAATTTAGGGAAAAACTCACAACAGGTTCACAGACAATCGGTGCTGAACTCTCATAGACCTGTGAGTGTGGGAGTGGCTAAAGCCAACATGTCAGCTGCCACACCCCCTAAGCCCCGCCCTCCAGCCACAGCTTCCCCCCTGATGGCGCCCTCAGGTCTTCTGAAGGGCAGCAGCTCTAAAGACACTCTCCTCCTTACATCCCCTCAGTCCCGTCCACACATGCTCCAGTCTCCCTCTCCACACCTTACAGCCAAACCTTATATCCCTCCTCGACTCCCCCACACTGCCTCCCCGTCTCAACCACAGTCCAAATTTATCACGCCCATGCATGCAACCCTCACCAAACCCACCCACAGTAGCATCGCGCCTATCATCAAGTTATCTCCCCGTGCCCCCAGCCCAGCAGTGAGTGTGTCTTCTTCACCCTCCCTTCCACAGCCCCCCCGCTCTCAGGCAGCACCCTCCATGCACCAGTACTCCCCCAAAAGCCCCGCTTCTTTCCGCCCACCGTTCTCAGGTTCTCCCGGAGCAACAGGCAAACCGGGCCCCGGCAATTTTACCGTCCCGGGACAGAAGACCCCCAGCAGCACCACGTCCAGCCTTATCAACAGCTTACCTGTGAACAAGCACACAGCCGCCTCCATCACAGCCGCCTCAGCCAGTCCGAGGCAGAGGCCAGGGTCAGGGACCCCTCAAGGAGCCAAACCAGTCCCATCCACTCCTTCGTCCACCACCTCACCTCAAATAACACAGGTTTGTAACACACAGTCCACTATACGACATAAAAATTAAATCTCAATTTGAGTTTGAACTGAAGGAACCTATCAACACAATTCAGAGGAAATGTACCATTTAATTAACAATTTATTTTGTTTTATTAGATGTTTTACATTTGTAAAATATTTCTATACCACACTTACATTTGTACGCTGTGATACGTGTTTCCAGGTCTCTACATCAGGTAGCAGCTCTCTGCTGGGCTCATCCCCATCTCTGCCTTTGGGCTTTGGGATGCTGGGAGGGCTGGTGCCTGTGTCTCTGCCCTTCCAGTTCCCCTCTCTGCTCAGCCTCAACTCCCTGGGGACAGCGGGCTCCAGTACCACAGCCAGCAGCTCCACAGCCAGTAGCAACGCCCCCTTTTCAACACTGACACAGAGTGAGTGTCCTTTTTAAAATATATATATATATTCTTGTTGAAAATTTTCATATTGCTTACTGCATACTTGGCAATGTAAGCTGGAGTAAGTGTGGGAATTGCATTCATGTGACAGGGGCTAAAACCACTGCATAAAACATTTGAAAGATCCTGAAAAAGAAATGTACAGTGGCTTGACATGATGGTGTGCTTCGGGTTATTTCCAAAAATAAACTCCAAAAAGTTGTGCTAACATTTGTGATGTATCACTGTTTATAATAGGGAATATACATTTGAGCAGAGCTGAAAAGGGATCTGTGTTATCTGGGTGTTTTGTGTAGTTTTGTCATGTTCCGTTTTTGCTGCATCTTCAGTTGTCTAAATGTGACCTCCTATATTGATGTCCATTTTGTTTGCCTACTTCCCCTCTGTTTCCTTCCTAAATGCTTGTGTACCCTCCTGTCCCATCTCCTCAGATGTGTTTAAGAGTCTCCAGTCAGGCTCTCAGACCGCTCTGCCTCCTCACTTGCAGCTCGCTTTCTCAGGTAACTTCTTCCCCTCTGTCTGCCCCTGTCCTGGTCTCCTCTGCTTGTGTTGTCATGTATCTGCACTTCTGCCTTAAAGTCTAACCTGCTGTTGAATGATATTACCAGAGCTCACTCATTTGAGGTTGTTTTTGAGGTCTCAACTGGTGGTCAAAAAGTGAGTCTGGTTATTAAAATAAAGTACGAGTAAAACATGTTCAGTTTTAGCCAAACCAGTATGTGGTAGTCAAGTCAGAGTTCTCTAGTCAGGTTGAGTCATTACTCATCACATCGTGTTGTCAAGTCACGTCACAAGTCCCTGGCATCTTGGCCACGTCACTCTCATAAAGTTTACTTTTAAACCTGGTTTAGTAGAATCAAATGTTTCCCTACAATTACCACTAGTGAATAATAAGCGATTATGCTTTACAGATGTCGCTCAAAGCCAAGCAGATGTGAAGAGGAAGACGTTATGATGCAGCAGGATCAACCCTGGTTCAGGAAACTCTGACCCAAAGAACAGAGAACACTCTTGAGATCAATACCACAATGAAATGTCACCTCCTTTGTACACAATTTGATCATTTTAAAGACTATTGATACGACATTGGCTAAGTAAAATGACAAGACTTTAGTTTATGTTTACAACAGACCTTTAACACTGTGGACAGTGGAGAAGAATGGGTGGAAAGTTCAGGTGTGGGTTTTGCTTGAATGTCTTCTATTATGGTTGGAAGTGTGCCTTTTGTGTGTGTGTCCTTTGATGCATGGTCAGTGTGTCTACTTGGTGCTGTTTTTATAATAATGTAATTATTACTGATATCTGTAAAATATCTGTAAACTGCAAATTTGTTGAATTTGAACTTTTTTTAAAAGCTGTACACTTTTTCTTGAATTTGAATTCTTAATGAATTCCTAGCTGTATAGAACTTTTAATTAAACTGATCTCTTTTTAGTTGGTATTTTATTATTTATAAATAACAAAAACCCTCATAATCTGCCCATCTGTACAAACAACCAATTCTACCAAATATTTTTAGTCTAAATGCACCACTAATCATTCAAATAATTGAATTTAGAGACTGTTTCTCAATTTTATATGCACTTGTTTCAAAATGCATTAGTGTAGGTATTTTTCAACAATGTGGCAGTCCCAATATGTAGAAATCTAATTTCAATGTTCCCCTCATTACCACAGACTACTCCTCAAACACATTTGTCAAATTGATTCTGCATTACAGAAAACTCGGGATAAAACAAAGGCAGTGAGGGTTTAATTTAAATGAGTGGTAAATCAGACAAAAATAACCCAGACACTTCAACACAACAGATCAACATCTTTGACACAAAGGAATAGGCAAATATAGTTCCAAGACAAATTTCCCCCTGATGTCAACCAGGGTTACCTCATCTACTGGACAAAAATCATACAAAAAAAGTCTGATCTAAGCAGTTTACAAAAACAATGTGAAGTGTAGTTGTACGGATTGTACCGAAGGCCCAGACATACACATCTCCAGCGGAGGTTCACTTTACAAGAGGTCGTGTCTTGTCGTCATCACCACACTGGTGCGCTTTGTACTTTTTCACCTCAGCCATGTACTTTGACCAAGCATCGCTCTTGCCTGGCTCCGTCTGTGCGGGCAAAACAGACAAAACAGTGCTTTGACAGTCCACCCCCAACATTATAATGCATTATAAATACACAACCAACTTACTTCTGAGTCCTGTTTCTGCTTCTTTGCAACCACGCCGGTTTTAAGGAACACACCGCCTCTGCGCTTCCCCACCTGGGTTAAGGCATAGAAGACTGACACCGTTATACGAGCCCTTGCAGGTGGATTGCCAATGAAGGAGACTACACCAGAGCAGAAGTTCTATATTCAGTCTTCTGCCACCACCAAAGTAAAAAGTACAATGTTCAGCCTAACCCACCAGCACTTAGTTTAAAACATGTAATAGATGTGATAAATGTTGTACTATAATCACTCTGCACACAAATGTATGCTTGCCTATTACACATAATGGCTGTTAAGGCACTATACTATGTTCTATATCTTACAACTGCTAAACCCCTTACAAAAGTGGTCACAGCCGGTGGCTTCTTTTCCTCTGGCGCCTGTTCGGTACTTGTCCCGACTCCACTTGGTTGCGCTTCTTTTTTTCGCTTCTCCTCTTCCATCTTCTTTTTGAACATCTCCATAAAACTGCCGTCGTTTGCGAACACATTGGCCCCGGTGCCGGAGGCTGGAGTCGGGCTGACGGCGGGAGCGGGGCTGGAGGAGGGCGTAGGGCTGCCGCAGCTCGAGTCACTGCCGCTGTCGCTCCTTTCGTATCTCTCATGTAAGCGTTTTGACTCCATGTTGTAATTATAGTCTTAATAGAAAATACAAAATAATGCCTCTTTGTGCCCAGACAAACGGCCTCGTTTCCCTTTAACAAAGGGATTTAAAAGTGCAGGCACTGAGGCTGACGGGCACCACCCGCAATAATACACTTTACGGATTTATCCAACACCAAACTATGTATGTTTCAAAGAAGGAGCAGAAAGTGTCAACCTCGGCCTTGAAAACGCAAAGTCAAAACAATGTAACCTACAAAATTAGTTTAGCTAGTTAGCTCCGCTGCTAATCAAGCTAACGCTTCGGGCGGACGCCCTAATTTTCGTCCACTACATAAACAAACGATGTTATTCAATAACACTGACAAAAGGACGAGGTTCGGCTTACTACCACACGTATACAGTCCCAGCAGATACTCGTTTAGTAAAATGTTTACGGACGGGGTCTGCTCACGAGAAGCATTCCTCACTCAGGCAGCCATGTTTATTTTGCATCTCTCACTAGTCACGTCGATTACGTCGTGTCTTTGGCGCCCTCTGTGGACACGGAAGTGTAACTGAAACTCCACTGATGAGCTTTCTGGAACATCAGGCCAGTGTGCCACACCACAAGACATTTAAAATATCAACATAGAAATCAAAGATGAAAATCTAAATCATAAATCATCTTTTTTCACCATAACAAACATCAGATCAATCTATCATACTGGCCTCTGACATAAGATTGGAGAATGCCATGGATCTATAAGAATTTTATTATAATTTCATGGAGAAACATACAGTGAAGTATTAGTTGTAAACGGATTTTTGGCCTTACAGAAAAAAAACACATCTTTTTTCCTCCAGAATCCCATTTATTTGTAGTGCAAAAGTAGAACAAACTACAAATACTAACTTGTCTCAAACCCCAGTGTAAAGTACCATAATCTACACAACTCTCGACAAGCAAAAACCCAGTGTAAATAAAAGCTCTGCCACTACAAACATAATATATAAAAATGTGTGCACACAATGCATTGTTTTGGTCTGTGTAGATTAAAGAACACAGGGATCAAGTATAAGTTACAGCCAAGTTATGGGACATGTTACTGACATTACTTCAGATGTTGAAAAATAAAGTGAAGAAAAAAAAACTTAAGTGAGGTATTCTGCTACATTGAAACAAGCAGCTCTATTGTTAGTAGTTTACAGACTTGATTAAAAGTGAATTTCCAGTTTGGGCACTGCTGAAGGTTTTAATTGCTTATTTGTCATCTCACTAAAGTGACTAGAGATTTAAAAAGTGGTGAGTGCAATTAAGCCCATAACCAACAACTTCATTCTTTGGGAAAACAAAAAATACATATCTTTACATAAACTCATTAATTCACAAGATCTAGCAATTCATATTGTATCCAGTGTTGACATTCAATACAGGAGAACAGCATTCTAACATTTTTGAGAGAAGTATGCAATAAATTAAGAAGTTGTGAGGCATGGGATAAACCCACCATCCCAGGAAAGTGCTTTGATGAAAATTCAAAAAGTGATTAAACATCCTTCTGTGTCGCACATTAATGTCATATTTAAAAACAGACCAACACGTATAAAGACAATAGCCAAAAAAAACAATACACACACGCACACACACAGCAAAGTAAATGTACCAACAACAACCAAGGATGATGCACCGTGATTTGTAGCATTATTTCATACTCCTTCCCCTTCCAGTTACCCTGTCTCAAGTATTGGCATTAATTTTACATACAACTAGCTCCTTTGATCTACAGTAATTTAAAATTCACTTTTCACCATTACAACATGAAAAATAATAATATAAAATAGGCCAAAAAGAAATAAAAAGTTACCTCAGAAGGTAACATAAGGCCGTTTCTAGAGCGAAGAAAACAGCAGCTCTTCTCTGGGACCAGAGAGAAAAACGTTCAAACATTTGCCAGCAGGGGGCAGTAGCAGCATTTAAGACATCTGAGGTGCACTAAAGGCAGACAGAAGGCTTTGAGGTGAAGTCGTTACTTCAAGTTTGTTAATGTTTGTCTGAAGTTTGTGAGGAGGTTATCTAGGCTGGTGGCGGATCAGGCCTCTCTTGGCATTGGTGTACTGCCTCTGCTGAGCCAAGAAGGACATGTTCTGATGGGGCGATGTGAGGCGCTCTCCAGCCACACTCTGGTGCAATGCCATGCCCTACGAAACAGAAGAAGGAGTTTCATGTTAGTGTATATCTGTGACACACACAACGGGTCACTGGACACTCATTCTAAGAGAATACAAGCTTTAGTTTTAGTACAACAAAAATCTACCATTTTATTTGACAAAAATGTACTGAGATAGGAAATGCATTGAAGTCAGACATGTAAATAAAATAAAAGGTGACAGTATATTTTGTGATGTGTAATTCTCAAATGGCTTACCAGGATTTAAAAAAAATTTTTTTAAAAGAAAAAGTAAATCATTGTTGGGGGGGGGGGGGGAAGTAATAAACGTCAATATCTAGATCTATGCCCATGTAAACTCCAAATCATACCCAGTCACTTTACATTCAACTCCCAAGTAAACACTGAACCAATTGCACAGCCCTTTTATGATATTATTATATTAGTGTAGAGTTGCAGTGGCTTACAGGTTTTAAATGCAAGTTTAGTATAACCAAGACAATAAATCTGAATGTTGCTAGTTAAATGTGTGTGCTCACCATGTTATACCAGGCAGAAATGATGAGCTTCTCCTCTTGGTCGTACCTGGCTCTGCTCTTCTCATAATCGTGCTGCAACAGAAAACCACATTAAACTGATGTCAGAATCTGAGAGACCATTCAGAAGGGCACATACCTCCAGGTGCTGGATCTTCCTCTCTCGCTCAGACAGTTGGTTCTTCAGAGCCTGGACGTCCGGCCCGCTTGGCTGCTTTTTCGGGTCCAAGGTTTTGATCACCTGTGTATACACGAGTCATGTTTAAGTGAAAATGATATTGTTGGTATCAGATGTCACAATGCTTCTACATTATTATAATTAGGATGGAAGGCAGATTTTGGTTGCAATATGGCAAGTTCATCAATTATAGCAACTTTTCTTTTGGCAAGTTCATCAATTATAGCAACTTTTCTTTTGGATGTTTCGAAATAAAAGCAAAAACTGTAGAGAGGATGCAGTTAAACAAATACAAGAATAATGCAGGGAGGATGATCTACGTTTCAAAGCCTACTTCCCCTTTATGTTTGACTGGCATCATTATAAAAAGATATAAACAAAACAGTTCTTTGTTTGTAAAGACGCACCGTTCTCGCTTTCTCCATGTACTTCTTGTAGCGCTCCTCCATTTGCTTCATGTCCTCGTCTTTTTTCCGCAGAATCTCTTGAAGTTCATCAATTTTTTTTGCCACTGAAAAAAAAAAAAAAAAAAAAAACTAAGTAGAAATTTAGGACTTTAAAATGTTCAGTGTTAATGAGAAGGTATTAGACTTCTATGGAGTATTAATTGTTAACACATTACATATTTAGATGACCATGTTAACTTATACCGTTTCGAAATGGCAAAATTCACCAAAAACATGAAAATGTTAAATTAGTTTTGTTTCATTGTTGCTCCCCCTCCTGTTCTCCTTGCTAAATCACTCCCCCTTCAAAGCACTGTCACAACACACTAATGAAAGTCCTGCCCAATGGTTTGTGACGTTGTAGTGTATCATTTTATACCCTAATTGTACAGCTATGAAAAATGGCTGTGTGGGACCATGGGGTACGTAGGTTTGTGAGTCTTGTACAATAGGCGAGGGCTCTACTAACAATAAGGAGGCTACAAATAAGGCCTGGAAGAAAGTGCAAGATTACTGAAACATGTATGGATCACATAAAACCACTTCAGGCACGTTTTTGATGAAGGAGTGTTATAACATGGAAGAAAGCTCAAAAAAGTTAATTTTGCATAATACCCCCTCTTTAAAGATTTAGCTGATTCACTCACTGCTGCTGTCCACTTTTGGCTCCAAGTCATCGATGACCTCCCTCTTTTTCTGCAGATCTGAGTGGGCCTCATGAAGCTTCTCTCTGAAGTATAAAAGGCAATAGTGAATGTCTTCTCACCACATTACATTTTATGTTTATCTAGCTCATATTCAAAGCCTTATTAAAAAAAACAAAAAAAACAATAACAAATCATCTACAGTCTGTTCAAACAGTTTAGAACTTCCCAAGAAAAGAGTCAAAGAAAGAAGTCCTAAATATTGGTCATAACTGATGACATTGATGGAGCATAGTTTTTAACCAAACTGAGGACAAACTATGTCAGGTTAATTAACACCATTACAGTTGAACTATAAAGAAATGCATTTTGTGATGTGGCAAAATACTTACAAATGTTCCTCAAGCTTTTTCTTCAAAAGGGAGGACTGTGAAAAATGAAGAACATTATTAGACCAAATATTAGTCCCAATTTATTCATACACTGTACACAGCAAATGTAAAAAAAAAAATAAATAAATAAAAATGCAGAGTTCAATCATGTGCCAGTTGGAGAGAGGGTGGCCGTACTTACGATGGCCTGATTTTGGCAGGGGTGGTCAATGGGGCAGGTGCAGGCAGGTAGAAGGACAGACAGAGGAGCAGCGGTTAGCAAGAGTCACCACAGCAAAACATGGGCTACTTCCCCACACTTAACATCAAAAATAAAAAAATAAAAAAACCCAAACCAGGCTAGCTATTTCAAAGTCCATGCAAACATTAAAAACAGTATATACACGTACAGAGAGTTCAGAAATATAATCATTTTGTTCAATGTTCAAAAGTATGAGTCTTCACTCACGTCCTCGTTCTTGCTATCCTGCTCATGGAGGGCTTTCTGCAGCTCCTCAATTTGAGAGCGCAGTTCTGTGATCTGTTGCTGATTCAACCTAAAGATATACAGTACATACCCTTTGTCAACTACGACTACAATACAATAGAACACAAGGTCAACATCTCCAAATAAAACCTTCAAATAACACTGAATGAATTAAGAAAAACACAGTAGTCAAATGTAGCAGCTTTTGTCTAATTATTTGTTGAACCAAGATTTAAAAAAATTTTGCTCTTTCACTCTCCAAACTAGGATTGTCCAAGAATCACCTTGATACTAAAACTAGTATCAATACTTATTTAAGTATAGACACTAAAAACCAAAACAAAATTTGATGCTTTATGAACACTTCTCACTTACCATGTGGTCTTAAACTAGCCTAAGAAAGAATGTACTTTTCTACACAAAACAGTACCATTTTTTATTAGCATTGTAGTATCAACATTTCTACTGAGCATCAAGCCTTAGTACTGAAAACAAGTTTGAAATTTAAATATCGTGACAACTCTCCAAAAGTGGGAAGTCTGTATATTTAATCTCGCCGAACAAGCGCCCAGCCTCGACTTCTCCACAGGGCCTTACTGAGCATGCTCACTGGCCTCCTCCTGTTACTGTTGCTGAGGAGTCTTCCCACACCCTGGCCCTGGTGTTGCATAGATATCCACCCACATCTCCACATGCCCACAGCCTGTAAACACACACACTCACGCATACACACAAACACACACGCGCGCACACAAGCACCAGCCAAGGGACAATCTGGCTTTTCTGCTGTCTGTCCTGCGGCCGGCCCACACAGCACACAGTCCAGAGGGCCGCTTGACATTTAGGCAGATATCACTCCCACCAGCAGCCAAACAAGCCTCTCTCTGGCCAAGAACACACAATATGGTCTACGCATACACAGCAAGGGCTGATCTACACACTGTGCCCGCATTTTTCTGACCGGTCACAGGGATCGTACCTGTTCTGAGTCTCCAGGGCGTTGTTGGTGCGCTGGGAGTGCTCCAGCTCAGCCTGAACCTCCACCAGTTTCTGTCTGTACGTCTCTTCCTGAGCGCACAGCATCTTGTTTTCACTCTGAAGACGGACCATGGTTTCCCTGAGCACAACATTACACAGGCAGGTACAGTATATAAAGAAGGTTTTTATAAATCAAAACAAAGTTAAGTCCTACCCGTGGGTTTCGATTCACAACATAGTTTGCATCACACATTTAATTGCGATGTGCATTTATGGTGCAAGTGATCAGCATATTCATGATTAGGTTTGATATTACTAAAGGCATTCTGAACCCCCACTCCCCCTTGGAGAAGTATGTTTGAGAAGACAGCTGCATTAAGAGTGAAACCGTGAATCACAATATGACCATAACTGTTACAGGGATGAGATCACATTTTCTTTAATCACCATAATGACCGGCTCTATGGTCAATTGTAAGCCCTTCTACCCCAAAAAGGCATATGAATCCCATTCTTAAATCTAGAACTGAGGCTTCACAAATCCATTTACATTACAGGTGCATTATTCAGGCTTTGTAAATAGAAAGTTCAGTTTACTCTCTACTTTTTTGTCCAGTTGACACAATTTAAACTACTTTTGCTATAGTCTCTGTCTTGATGCCTGAAAGATACAGATTGGTTTTGTAAACTACTTTGACACCTTAGTCCTGGCATTTTCAGCAACACAACTTTCTACAACTTTCTTGAATGAAGACAAACACAGCAGTAACATTAGAATGATAAGAAAAGTGGATTTGACACAATATACGCCTTTTAATGTCAGCCCATGTGAACCAGAACCACATAAGACCGTTCTCATCTCTGTAGCCTTTTGAGATCATGAGACACAGACATGGGGCACAGTTGCCAACCTCTCCATCTGACAACGCCCTGGCCATGTGTGCACAACTGCCATGTGTCGCTGCAATGAGGTCCAAATGCGCATCTAGGTTAAAAATAAACTTTCAAGCGAGATAAACCCACTAACCCAGCCATCAGAGGGTGAATGTATAGGCTACGAGTGGGCTCATGATAGTGACACCAAGTGAATCCGTGTGTAATCGCGTCTGGTACGGTTAGTCACATGAACCCCCACGCCACAGCTCTGTTCTACTCTCACTACGATGCAGAGGAATAAAGAAGCGGTGATAACATCAGAGTCCTCGTACTTGAGCTCAGTGGGCATGATTTCTGAGGCCAGGCTGCCGGCTCCTCCACTCTCACTGAGGGATCCTGCAGAAAAAACAAACATCAAACAAGATCATCGTCAGAAAGATCAAGAAAGAATGGGAGAAAGCACTAAACACACTAGATTCAACAGTTTTAAGCTTCTTTATACGTTTACAAGATTTCTTTAATAAAATGCTTGGCTTTAAAATTATTCATTAGATATAGTTATATACCTGTTCAAAGAAAAAAGTTTAAGTTTAGTTTAAGGGGAAGTGTATACAGAATTTGTATTAATTTTACAGATTTGCCTGGCCTTTTTGAGTCATTTCTCTCCAATTCTCCAGGCCAACTTAAAACCTATTCTGGCTTCTCACCTCTTGTGGCACAAGTTCCGAGTGTAATGATTGTGTGCTCCAAGATTAGATGATTGGAAAGTTATTTCAGTAAAGCGGCATGTCACAGGAGGCTGACCACTCACCAGCTTCACTGAGGCACCTCTGTTGGACCTGTGCACATCTGAGCTCGTCATTTGTCTCCCGCAGTGTGTCTCGCTCTGAGAGAAGACGCTGGAAAACAGAGCTGACATTTAGGCCACCTAGACTTTACCTAGACTCTGAGCATATAAGTTCATATTGTCAGTACAGTATGTATTCATTCAAGTATCTGAGAACATGAATCACTGGTGTCAGAACGCAGGAGGTGCAAGAAGTGACACAGGACGTGGGAAGTTCACTGAAAAACTGCCGCAATATTTGCATCAGTTTCTCCTGCAGCAGGTCTTTAAAAGTTTAGAGACTTTTGGTAGTATTAGATATGTTAAGGCGTAGATTTTAAAAAGGCCTAGAGCAAAGTAGAGAAAAATGTGCAATATATGCAATATGTGTTATATTATAGTTTGGAAACACTGATGAACTTTGACTGTTGTTTTGACTCACTTCTTTTTCCTTGAGCAGCGCGTCGTATTTGTCGTGAAGGTTCTTGTACTCAAACTGCCACTTCTCAGCTTTCATGGCCTCTGCAGAGTGCCTGGTGTGAAGCTCATGAGCCTAGAAAGTCACAGAGCACAGCAACAATCTGAGCTGGCGCCGACATCTTCACAAACGGTAGGGATTTTCAGACACGTGCACGGGCCAGCCTGTGTTTAACTTCACTTCGCTGACACAACAAGTATGGCTGCCCTCCTCTCCCGGCCTCACAGATTGCCTTGCCTGGTTTGGTCAAACAAACTGATATGGTGGGAACTTGCTGAGATAAATAGCATAGCACTGTTCGTGGCCAAACAAAATTAACTTTTAGTATATTAAAGTCTTAAGATTGTTTTTTTTTTTTAAATCTACATTTTTCCACTTTCAGATATAGAAGAGTGTCCCTTAGGAATAAAACTTAAAGCTGGGGTATGTGACTTTTTTGTTTACAAGGAAATTGTGTTTTCCCCAAAGAGGATATTGTAAAAGCAGCATTTTGTTATGTCTGCAGCTAATAATAAAGTATTTTTATTTCTCATCAACACAAAAGTAAGCACAGAAAGCAGTGCTCAGATTGGCTGCGCTTGGGTGGTCCCCCCAGTTTTACTTCACACCTGAAAAAAGTTCTTCTTAAGTCGTTCATGTGGCCAAAAATGAATGCATGTGAACATTAACAATGTGCTAAAGGGTCTGAGAGCACTATAGACAAGTAAGGCAGATTTTAATACCTACTTCCTCCTTCCACAAAGTAAAAATCAGGTACATCAACTTTAAGGATAAAGCTCAGGTAATGTTTAGTAAGATCAGTTGGAACTTGTTTGTGAACAAATTTTAATCCATTAAAGAAAGTTAGTATGCCAAGTCAAGAACTTGGGTAGTATTACACTTATAAAGAACATGTCTCTCCACTTGCCTGCCTCTTGTAGGTGTCTAGCTGGTTGCGCACAGCATTGGCCCTCCTCAGCTCGTCCTCCAGCTCACAGGTGCGCTGCATGTACACCGTGTTACGCTCCTCCAGGAGACGCACCTGTCGCCTCAGATCGCCCAGGTCCTCCAGCTTCCTCTTGTATGTCTCCACCAGAGCCTCCAGCTGGCTCACCCGGCTCGATGAGTGTCTGAGGGACCAGGGAACAATGTACATAAACAATACTTAACCTTAAGTGTACTCAACCCACATCATTTAAGTTTTTTCTTTTTAAAAGCAAACAATTTCACTATACAGACCAATACTAGTTCATGTGAAGCTTATTATTCATTCTCTAGTCCAATAGAATCAACTCAAAATGCCCAAACCTTCAATGTTAGAAATGCTCAAGAAAATTCTTTTTAGATACTGTCAAATATTAAATCCACATTTTATCATTTATCAGTGCTGATGGTGCTATCTATTACAGCATTTTGATTGGAGCAATAATTACAATAGGCCCGACTGTGCACCATCCATGTTTTTGACAGAAATACATGGCAAGGATAAATCTATCGTTGTAGTAGAGTTCTTGAGTGAGTAGCTTCAAAGTGTGAGGCCTGTGTCAGAGCTTCAAAACTGAGCCCACAGATGTCAGAGGAGTGAATGGACGTCTGTGTGTGGGCACTTGTCTCGAAGAGTGTAAATGGACGATCACTGAGATAATAGATAATGCTTTGTTTGGAACTGTACCGTCAGAAAATATGAGTCGGCACACACTGATCATATTTTAGATGTATTTGTTTAATTATAGATTCAGATAAAAATATAAATACACAGATGTGTCCGTTTGTTCATAGTGGAATTTTTAAAGAAACATTATCTTTTTGAAGAGACTGATTTTCTTCTATAACATTTTAATATTTAACACATTTTGGATAATGTGTGGGCACACATGATGGAGTCATGGAGTACCAGAATGCAACTCTGCCACAGATATTTTTGTGTGTGGTGTGTCTGACCTGAGGATGTCCATCTCGTCTTTGAGGGACTGGGCCTCCTCAGCCAGACTGGTCAGCTCCTCGTTCCTCTGCTGCAGATCCAGAACCTCCCTCTCCAGGAGGTCACTACGCAGCCGCAGGTCATCTCTGCTGTTCTCCAATCTGCAGGTCAGAAATGTAAACTATATAACACAAATGCATTAGCGAAGACTCAACCTGTGAAGCAAGCAAAGATTTAACTTTCCTCCCACTTACAATGAACCTTATCTTAGAAAAGACAGACAAAGTGTTTACGGCTGTGGTTTACCTGTAATTCTCTTCTTGCAGCTGCTCCATCTGACTCTGTAGCAGTAGAAGTTTCTTGCCCGTGATGGCAGTTGTGGAGGAATCCAGGGAGTCCGAGCGGCTCAGTTTGTCTTTGAGGGAGCGGGTCTCAGCCTGAAGCAGGGACTTTTCCTCCAGAACCATGGACAACTGTTAAACAGAAGAATCCATATAATAAAAAGGGAAAGATGAAGTATGACACAAAAATCAAGGTCATAGCCGATATGGATGAAGGGCTGTAAACAGTCTTTTTATTAACAAATATTAAAGAAAAAAAAAAAAAGTCAGGTGGTCAGAAATGGTCTGAGGCAGATGGAACTTTATGAATAGCTTTAGTTGTTTGCATTACGCTCAGAGGAAAAGCTGCAAAAAAACAATTTATCAACAGTTGAAAATAAGAACATTGGTTATGAATAAAATGAAAATTGTTAATATAATTGGCTATGAGGAAATCAGTCAAATATTTTAAAAGATGCTCTGGACAACTTTTCTGGTGTAGGGTCCACCACCTGTTTGTCTCCAAGAGGTTATCGTTTTTTCTAGAATATCTCACAGTATGACATTAAACTTTACTTAACTTTAAGTAGTTTACAGCAGTAGGCGGAGCTGCAGGTCAGATCTGTGACGAGACAACTGTGCTTACATGGGAATTTTCTTTTTTTAGTGTATTTATGAGCAATACAACACCTGTAATTGAAAAAAAATGCAAGATAGGCAAGTTTAATGCCATACTGGAACATTCAAGGTAACGCAAAGTCTCTATGGCAACAAACAGGTGACAGATCCTCTACCAGAAATGTTAGAAAGCACAATTTCAAAGTGTATGTGGTAATAAATCCTGCATGTTCAACTATTGATGCAAAAAGATGGGTTAGTATAGTATTGTTTTGGTTGCAACTTTACTGGCTTAAACGAGAGTATGGAAGACTGTAAAGCAACCTGCTGTCCATCTACAGCCAAACCATACACTGATCTCTATGGACAGCTTGCATGCTTTAGCACAAGACCGGCACCAGTAATTAGCTATCAAAACAACACAAATGACTAATTCCTAATGCGTGGGCTACGTCAGTAAACAAACAGGTGGGAGGGAGCGGTACAAATTATTGTTGGCCATGGCTCCATCCCCAGGCAATGTGTCAGTTTTATCTTGTTATGCAACTGAAACGTGGCTCCAATGCTCTAAAAAAGTCCTTTATCAAACAGTGTTGGAAAAACAAGAGCGGGAGGCGTGCACTCGGCAAGCTAATCAATACGGACTGTTGGACAAAAGAGAAGAAGACTTTAAAATACAAGCTGGCACATTGTACAACAAAGGAGGACAGGTAGAGAAAGAAAATGTAAATAATTCTGAAAACAACAACACACAGCCTCAAGATTATACCATGGCACTGTTTGAGAAATGAGATCATCAGAAATCCCAAATGTGGTGATGCTAAATTATGCTAAGTAGTAGTGAATGATATGGATTCAACCAAAAGCTGAAAATAAACATGCTCCTTATGTAAAACGTGGCTCATTTTGAAAACAGAAAATGGATCAAAACTGAATAGAGCTAAATTGACCTGAGTGTTGCAAATTTCCACTAAACTTCCAACCAGTACAATGAGCATGTGTGATCGCTTTCTTTGACACCAACCAAGTGACACATCAGGAGTTATTCTCCAGAGAAAAGTTTGAATTTGTAGCACAGTGACACCACCCTTTCTATACTGAAGCAGTGAGAACACAGAAAACTTTTCCGAAGTTTTGCTTCTTCAAATCTTTAACCTTTCTTCGCAAAGTGCAACATATTTACCAAAGGTATTATTTGCACCAAACTGAGTAATAACCATTAAAATAAAAACCAAACAAACTTGCAAACTTGTCACTTTAAAATAGTGTGCTATGGAACTTTTCTGGTATTGCTGTCTGGAATGTTCTACAGGATGGCATAAAATATATCCAAGGAGGTGATTCTATGTCAAATCACCCCACCACAAAAGTTGCATAGCATACCTTTAAGTAGTAAAGCAGAGTTCAAACTTACACACTCTTACTTTAATTATATCCACGGGTTTGGTCCATAGTTAAATGGTCTGTCACTCAGTAATCTCATGACACAGAAGGTAAACATGATGAATGGGTGTTAAACAGCAAACTGCACCGCTGTTGCTGCTCACTGTGTGAGCAGAATCCTCGAACAAACAGAAGTGAACTATAGCACGGGTCAGCATTGTTCAAAAAGTGACAAATGCTCAGCACATTCGAAGTGTGAAGTTGTCTAAGAGCATCTTATCCCCCAGACCATAGCCTTTATATTTGTGGCACACACCTGATGCTGCAGATCTCTACAACGCTGGCTCAGGTCTTCCTTCTCATCTGCCTCCTCACTAAGAAAATAATACTTCCTGGACTGTGGAAAGACAAGACAGGAAAGCACACAGTAGGAGGGAGTAAGCATTAATAAAATGTTGAGTACAAAGGACAACCAACAGTGTTTTTTATAGTAAATAAAACGAGTTTCACCTGGTAGTCAAAGTCTCCATATGTGTCTGGGCTTCCTGGTTCAGATGTTGGCTCTTTTGATAACAGCTGAAAGGACACAGTATGCAAATACAAGTTGTTAAACAGCACTCTGTAATAGCACTTTCAATTCCAAAAGGTTTCTAAATAAGACCACTGTGCCACTTTCATCAGTTTTCTTAACAACAAATGGATAGAAGAGTAGTTTGATTAGAAGATTAGTTTGACAAGGCACTGAGCAGTAGGTGTAGTTTGTGTGAATTTAAGGATATTCTTTAAAATCAAACATTTCTGGTTCTGTTCAGTCTGATATTCAGTGGATTTATAGGATTTTGACTGAAGCGTGACTAAGAGCAGGATTAATGCAGAGCGCAGAAGAAACAGGCTCACCTCCTGAATGGCAGTCATCACAACATGCTGCACAGACTCCTCCAGTGTCATTATCTGCTGGATTTGCTCTGAGAAAAATAAAAATACAATCTGCTCAGGTGGAGCCAAATTCAGATTCATGGCAAGACTCTCGAAAAGGATGTGAGTATTCAAAAACCAACAGGAATATACAATTGCACAGAAAGTTTCACTTTCACTTGTAGTAATTCCCAGGGCAATACTTCAGTTAGTAATTGGGTCATCTTTGTACAGATGACTATGTATATACAGCAGCTGCCTGTGCTCCTCAGTGAGCCCACTCACCATCCTTCTTCTCACAGCTGACCGCACAACCGAGAACAAGCTGCACCAGTTTCCCCAGTTCAGTCACGTCTCCCATCTCCCCAATGAGGGTCACATCTGGGAGGTGCTCGTCTGAGATCTGGTGTCCCAGTATCTGACCATGAAAACAAGATTCATAAAAACATGGTTTAGACTGGCCATTATACATTTCACCATCAGTAAAGCTCATCTCCACAAATTTATTTTGTGTCTTTAGAATTTACCAATTCACATCATCACTTTAAACTGGCTAACATAACAAGGGTCAGGTTTTTTACAAATCAATTACTGTTTATGGTGAAAAAGTTTTGGCAGCATCACATGCATTTAGTGTGTGTTCTTAGACTTGTACATTTGAAAATGTATTATTTCATTATCTAAAAGTACTAACACAACATCTTTGGCAGATTTATCACCAATTTAATCACTCGATTAATCCCCAGCAAAAAGATAAAAACTTACATCGTGGTAATATTCCAGCATACTCTTCAAAATCTTTTTCAAGTTGCTGACCTGTAAAAGGAAATCACAAAATCTATTTTAGTCTGCAGAGTGCAATACTTCTCCAGAGTTGAGGGATTTTCTATAATTACCTTGAGGCGCCAGTTAGCCCCGTTCTCCTCCTTAATCCTGCCCAGCCAGGTCTCATTAAACCAAGAGGGGTCACTGAGACAAGAAGCAAAGAGAACAGTGGAGATACAAGAACAACATGCATAAGAAGATTTACCAGTGTTAAAGGGAACACTGGTCAGGTTGCAACCAGAACAGGAAAAAAACATGCAATGTTCAACTTTGTTTTAACCTATGTAATCATCTGTAGAGACACAATACTGCAATACACATTTGCACTGTTAATAGGGTCAATCTCTTGCATAACAAAAAAATAACAAATGCAGATTATAAAATATATGTGAGTCAGAGAGTCAGTGTTTAAATATTCACTGAAAAATGTATGACTTAAAGGTTTGCTCTTACATTCTGTGCAGCACATGAGCGATGGCCACTCCACTGGTCAGATCATACTTGCTGTTACATGATGGCACCTGAAATGTCTGCAGCTGCAAAAATAAATAAATAAATAATACAAAATATATATAATAATAAATATAATAATAAATAAATACAAAAATAACTGTACACTAAAACAAAAGGAAGCATTTTGATAGGACAGAAACATGGGCGAACCCCCAAAGACTTTCAGAATCGTCTCAATCATTAAAAATCTCTGACAGGATGCGTGGCTGTCACTTTAAATGGTGACATAAGACGGGTGGTTGTGTGGCAGGTGCACAACAGGTGGGTATATAAAGGTTTACCATGATAAAATTATGCTGAATGCAGTGTCTTTAACGGTGTTGCTTAGAGTGTTGGTTATAACTTTCTTAGTAATCTACTGTTGATAAAACAAACAGGTCAAGTGGTACACTAGCCACGTAAACAAGTGCAAACTCGCCTCACGTTTAGCCAGTTAGCTCAAGTGGCAAACTAATATATAAATTATTAGTAGGAATAGGACCTAGTGTATTTTGCGTCCTCGCTTAATTACTTTGAATTAATGTAATGGATGGTGAGTTTAGGTTAGCATATTACTTCTATTTTTACCTGTCAGAGAGCCCATCCAGCTAACAGCGCTAGTACAACATAGCCGTGATTAAACTTACCCAAGTTAGCAGAGAGTCACACAGCTCTGCTTTGTCCAAGCTCATTGTATCGGGACAAAGAAAACAAGAGACAGCGAGGGAAACACTGAAAACAGTAGATAAAAACTTTTACGCGTAGTTTTCCCTTCAGCCCTGTCACTTTTCCACGTCAGTTTTTACCAGCCATGGCCTCCTGCTGCTCTGGACGGTGCGCGTTTCACCTGTTTTTATCTCGACGAGCTTCCGTCCGGAGAGCGTTTCCATAGAGACGCACAGACGCCGCGGGTCAGAGGGTCAAGGAGCTGCTCTGCTCCGTGTGCAGGGAGGACACGGAGACACTGTCTGCACTTAATTATCTAGCTAAATAACGTCCTTTGTATTAATGTGATTTGATTATGTTACAGTTCATAACCTACTTTTGGAAAGCGATAATGTTTGGTTAGGAAGTGAACCATGTATCTTCAGATTAGACTAAAGCTTGGCATCATACCACATACATACATTTTAGGCTATATGTCTGTAATAGGCCACAGTTTGATTTTTAGGTATGAAAGATGGCCACTCGAAAACCCTAGAGGTATACCAGAATTTCTGATTGTTTCCCCCTAAACCACCACTGGATGGCTCTAGTTGACAATAACACATCAGAACAGAAACGTCTTCACAGGTCTGTGCGGTTGCTTTGGGGATACATGTGTCTGGTGGATTAAAATTAATTGTAAACATTTTATTTGATTCAAAGTAGTAACTTTTCTATAAAATGTTCTTGTTGTTCAGTGATCGGGTTTAGAACATGCAGGTAATATTTCCATTATGACTATTAACACTAATGGCAATGTACCATACCAAAATAGCCATGTCACAGTGGGTATACTGGTTATTTTTTATTAGTTTTGATGATGATGATGTTTTGACCTAATATCTAGTCGGTCTATTCAAGTTAAACAAAAACTAACAGCTAAGTTTAGTAACTTTTTCACTATCTTAAGACATATTATGGAAAAACTCTCTATAAAATTTCCCTGTAACAAAACAGTAAAAACAATTATAAAGTGAAGGTGAAAAATCATATTTTAAGTCATAAGGTAAAAATAAAAATCAATCAAAAAATCTAAACATTTTACAATAGGCAACTGTTCAAATGAAGTGAAGCTGTACAAGTAAACTCTCAGATTTCACAAGCATCTCTCATATCAGTAACATTGCACAATATTAATCTACTCCCTTTTCTCTGTAGCCTGTGTGTATCTGCCTGTCTACACGTCCACTTGTTTCATAGCTCTTCAGAACCCCTGCCCACTACATCCTGTTTACTCTGGCTGGCCTAACCTGTTACAGTGAACCAAGCCCACACCTGCGTCTCAGCTAATTTATTTCCTTTCCGGGCTTTCTCAGGAAAAAAAGAATGCCCATTTGCCACACACCTCTACCTTGACCATATTTGGCTTTCCGGGTGGTGAGATGATTTGCAAGCAAGAGGCATGCTAATTATGCCTAGTAAATTATTGATCAATAAGGTAGTCTTGTAACACATCCACGTGTTTAACTGTGGTTCATATTTGCAATTGTCCTTTAAAGGCAGTAAAGCTGACTGAAATACAATTTAGGCCCAAATTAGCATGTGTTTATTGTGGGTAAACGTCAACCCATCTACATTAGTGTGTCTATTCTATTTCTGAATAGGCAACATTAGCAATAAACCCAAGATCTGAAGTGGCTCTTCTAACTGGAGGTTTGTGGTTTGATCCCATCTCCATCCAGTGAATGCCTGTTGTTGTGTTCTTGTGAAGACATTTCACACATCCACACTGTATGAATGTGGTGAGTGACTAGATGGGGTCAGGTCATTGGTGTAGACTGGCAGCCATCAGTCAGGTGGTTTCCAAAACCCCCAAAAATGGTCATGAATATTAGACGCCATCCAAAATGTTACAATAAAATGTTTTAGAAATGTCAATATGAAACCATTGAATTGAGATGCAGCAGAACAAAAAATTCCACATGGAGGTCAGAAGCTGACCCAGACCCATGCAGACCCCGGCCTGAGAGCAGGAGGCATGCTCCCTCTCTGCTTCGCTCTGACAGTGCGACGTGACTATTTCTGTTGATTCCTCTTTTCACCCCTTTGCTCTTTCCTTATTCCCCAGATGTGCTTCCTTCCTGAAAGTCCAAAAGCTCTACTTCTCTCTACCAGCGCTGCTCTGACGCACACAAAGCCTTCAGGGGGAACTAAAAGGCTGAAGGTGGGAGGGCTGGCCACTAACATTGAGTAAGTATTCCTTTTTTAAAAATCTTGTGGTTTTCTTGTTTGGAAAAAAAAAATCTAGATAGTTCTGTTTTTTCAGATTTAAATATAATGTTCCTAACAGTAGGCAGTTGAGGAACAGACTTTACTATATTATACAAGTCAAATGTTTTCGATCTTGGTTTGTAGTATGGAAAAATTATGGAAAAGTTATAATGGAAGAAGTATGGATTTGTGATGAATAACTAAAAATAACAAATTTCAAAGAATATTCTCACCTTTTCATTATCTTAAAAGTGTTGGGTAATTGACTTGTATACCTGAGTTTATTTTGAGGTAGAGATAGTATGATAATGATAGAGGCTACTATGCCATTTTCACATGTGGCATTATTGGCACATCAACACATGTATATTATGTCTTTAAAGAAAACAAAAAGGATGAATTTGTGTTGTAGTTCGGGAGTTATAAATGTGGACCGCTGCTACTCCAAAGCTTATGTGATTACTCTCCTGTTTGCTGTTCCAGCTGTCACTTCTCATCATACTTGACACTGTCACACTGTCAGTACACATCCATACAATCATATGAACAAGGGATAACATAAATTTACTTTGGTAAACTGTGGTTGCAGGATAAAGTTTGACATGACACATGAAAATATTATGTGCATAATTATTACTGGTTTGACCAAGAACCTGCACAGCTGTTGTTATAGGTCAACAATTTTTTTTTTTTTTTTTTGTCTTCACTGCACAAACTCGTAAGCACTCTTTGGAGATAAACACATTTATATGGAAAGTTGTGGTTGCTCCAACAGTTCCCACAACCCTGAATTTCAGTGATGTGGTTTGGCCAGACAATGAGAGCCTGCACCTTTAAATGATGGAATGCCAGCGATGTGTGGCTGTGCCCAGGCATTCCGATTGGAATGTGCTGGAATGTTGGCAGTGTTCTGTTTCCCCTACAGCTGTCCCAGGTGTTACCGGGAGAGCACAAAACATGGAGGTGGACGGGTCATGAATAAAAGTGTGGGCGTGCAGCAGAAGGTGGAAAACAACAGTGTAATGAGAGTGGGCCACTGTAGACATGAGGTCACTGGTGCAGGTAGGCTGTCGTGACATGTACAGGCCCACAGCACAAACACTTTTATGGCCTTATCAACGTCTCCTCCCTCCACACAGAGCCTGATTTATACTGTTGTTTGGGCAGATGCCAAGAATAAGCTCACCTCTGGAACATGCCAGGGAGTGTCCGCTTGGAGACATGTGTGGACCAGGACAACAGGTGCCTTGTGTCTTGTAAGAACAACTTTTAAATTGGCCAGTGTGGAGTGTCTTAGCTCTATGGCAATTGGTAGAATTAACTAGAATCACTGGTGAAATTAGATGAGAAAAAATTATATCATGATCTTTATTTAAGTTGTTTAAAGGTACACCATGTAACTTTTCTAGTTGAGGGTTTGCCACCTGTGAAGTAAAAACTCCAGCAATGAAATATATGAAATGCCATAGTGTGGAACATGCAAATAACATCTCTATGGAAAAGCTAGTGGCAGACCTCCAATCCGAAAAGTTATTGTGCATATTTAAGACCATCTTTCAAAATCAGGCCCCAGTTATTTGATGCTAGAGCCAGAAAACCTTCTTCAATCTTCTGTATTGTATCAGGGGGACTGAGCTCTCATTCAGGCTGTCTGAACAATCTTAAAGAAATATTAGAACAGAAGTGATTTGTCAAATAATTGGCATTAGTAAATATTTATTATAGGTGGCATGTACTCTTTAAGCAATATTTATTTATTGTGGCCATATACCAATAATACTTAATGACACTGAATAATGACCACTTAATTTGTCCAACCAACATTCAGCTTTTACAGCTTTTTATTCAGCTTTTTCTAGACCACTGAGAAAACAAGTATGAACAAGTATGTAAATTAGCTTGTGGCTAAAGGGATAACTATTGTCACATTAGTAAGCAATGCCTATGTAAACTAACACTAATATGCAGCCCCATACAGTCTTATGTTACTTGAGTATTTTCACTGTGCTGACAGATGACTCAAGATTACCCACTGTTATGTCTGAACCACTCCAAACTCGAAAGCACTTCTTATGTAACAGGCACAATGACCCTCCTGATATCGATCTAAATCTGACTCTGACGCATAGAGGCCTTGTTCTGCTCTGCTCTGAGGGCTCAGCCACAGCACTGGGGCAACGAGAAGATGAGGCAGAATACAAGGGGCTGGGGATTCTTTCTTTTAATCTAAAAGATGTCACAATGCCATAACACTAGGCAAAAAATAGCAAATTGACCCAGTGTTGACCCTAAGCACAATGTATTACCCTTTTCCATTTAATATTTTTAAAGCCAATAATTTATAATTTAAGATTATTTTTATATTGTATTTATTTTATAGATAATTTATTTGGATAAATATGTACAATATCAATGCAATGAAAGTCATTCAGTAAGGTAATTTATAACATCACCCTTTAGCATTACCATTAGTATAGGGCAGACATGTCAAACTCAGGTTCGGGGATCAAATTTGGCCCACAATATGATTATATTTAGCCCTGAGATCATATCAAACATGTATTAGAGCTGGCCCGTGGGCTACAGATAGGCTATAGAGACATTATTTATTTAAAATTGTGTTATTATTTTACATTATGCTTGTTCTGGATTCAATGTTTAAGCAAAACTATGATTAAACATTTATTTAAATAATAAAAGATTTAACATTACATATCTCGAAAGAAGAGAAAACATGCAGATGTTGTTGAAATTTTTCAATAAATATTTAGTTAGGCCCACGACTTAGTCCCAGTTTTTAATTTTGGCCCTCTGTGAATTTGAGTTTAGGGTATGTGTAAGGTTTTACAGTTTTCAGCTTTTCACTTGTTATGTTATTCTACACAGAGGCAGCACATGGTCAGCAGAGGTGACTCATGTGGCCTG